TCTATGCTAACTACTATAACCCATTAGTCAAAGTTGTAGAATTAGTTCTGGTATCGATAATCCCACTTTTCAGGGATCTAAAATCGTAGCTATCATAAAATCATTCTTTAAACATAAATCATTTTCTCATTTCATTCATAAGCATGATCCGTCATTTACATAGCCAAAACACAAAATAATCATATGCTTGGTCTTATTTTCATGTATTGAAAATAATGAAATAAAACATTTACTCATTTAGAAACATTCATATATATATATAGGTTCGACAACAAGTAAAGTATATGAGATTCTACTTACATTTTTTTTATTCCACCACTTGATTTTTCCTCCAAAATAATTAATAGCCTATTCAAGATAATTTCAACATATTAGAAATTAATCAACCCATTTCAAGACCAATGATACAAAAGAAAATTAAGTTAAACAAAAGTTAACTCAACTAACTAATACCGGCAGCCTAACCTCTTTTCATTAAAATGATCATATCTCAATATATCCAAATCAAAATTAAGATCTCTTTAATGCATTAAAAACTAGACTTGATAAGCTTTCTAACCATATATGGCTCACCTCGTAATTTTTTGTAGATTAATTATAATAATTTTTATAATCCATGTCATATACTACTGCTAGATAGTATGTATACTTTCTAATAAAAATTACATATTTATTTATAGGAAACTTCAAATTCAATTCCACTTGTTCTGTTGGAAAGTAGACTCAATATGCTTAAACATATATGGCTTAATCTGTAATTCTTTGTATAAAAATTAAGACAATTTTCGTAATTTAACCCTGAAGCTATTACCTTACAGCCTATATATCCTTAAGTAAAAAATTAGGCAACTCTTCATAGAAAACTGATATTCGACTTCCGTTTATTTCATTAAAAAGTATATTCAACATGCTTTCCAATGATATATAAAAATCATAGCAATAATCTATTCATTAATATAGAATTCTATTTTAATTCACTATTGTAAATCATAGTATCTCATCAAAAAATAGTATTTCTCCTTCAATCTTTAAAAACTCAAATCTCCATTTTCAGCCTTTAAACTTCATTCAATAATCATCAATAAATCTTAAAAATAAAAAATAAACAAAGCCCAGTAGTTTACCCAAATAGATCATGAAGATTAATGAAAGATTTCATAATTTTTCTTGATTTTTTTCTTAGAATTTTAACTCCAAATAATAGCAACCAACATGGTATATATTTTAAATAAAAAAATGTCATATACTCACCTTTAGAAGATTAATTCAATTATAGTCTTCGATTTTGAATCATATACTTAATTTTTCATGCTCTCTAACCCTAAGAAAGATGGATAATAAGAACTTGTATTTTTTTTTCTATTTTATGATACTAGTTTTTTCTCTAGTAAATCATTCAACCACTTTTTCTTTAGTAATTAACATCCTAATTAACTTAATGGGTTTAGTAGTAGTCTAGCCCAATTATCATTTAGGCTGGGATATTACATTCCCCCCTCCTTATAAAAAGTTTTATCCTCGAAACTTGATTTACATCCATATCTTATTCTTCCATTTCTGAAATCACTTCTCTTGCTATATGATTGTTTCATTAAACTTTTATAAAGGTAACAATTCAATCTCAAAACTTGTTCTTTCCAATCAACCATTTAAATAAGATAGTTTCGATAAGCTAAAACTTATATCATTTTTAATTCTACATACCCATATCCAACTGTATAGCTTGGATTAAAAATATATTCTCTCACCATAGATTTGCAATACAATATGTATAATACATATTTGAGGTGGCAAGATTCTTTATATTGAATTTCTTTCACTTTATCAAGAACTTCAAATGTCCTTGCATAATATAAACTTAACATTCCTTACCTTATAATCCTCATAACACTTTTAATGATGACACATTTGAGTACAAATGATTAACCGCTTGAAGGTACAAATCTTATCGTCAAATTTCGGTATAATTTTTTTGCTTACTTTAAACCCTTGCTTAATCAACCAAAATTTATCAATCATTTGTTCCATAAATTCAAGAAATAAAAATTTTTCTTCTTTTGTCCTTATGCCAATAAATCTAAAAGACTTAGATCTACTTCCATACAAAACTTCGAAATGAATCATTGAATATTTGTCTTATGACTATTGTTATAAAAAAATACTTTTTTCAAGTTATGACATAAGTACTTCTTAGAAAAATGTCAATCAATAACAAAGCCTCAAAAGGAACACAAAATATTTTTACCCAAAATCCATTAGTCCTTATTTATTAAAGATTCATCATTTTCTCAACTAACAATAGCATAAAAATTTAAAACTTAAATCAAATCAGGCTTTCATTGCGTACTCTAATATTTCATTCCAATAAAATTCAAACAAATTAATTTTCATAATGTTGTTTCATAACAAGAAAAACATATGTCCACAAATTTTCATATAATTTACTTTACGCCAGGGATTCATAACCATAACAACCTTGAATAACCATAACGTTTATTCTTACCTTTTATTATATTTAGAGTTATCACAAGTTTTTCTTAAAGTATTACAACACTTCTAATATATTTTATGCCAAATGATACAAATTTTACGATTATTCTCACCTTTTTATATTAACACATATTTTTTGGTTGAATTATTTTTTATTTATAATACTATTTTTTTACATTACCATTTTATTACGTTTCAATAATTTTTTTTTTACTTTTGTTATTACTTTTGATTACGTTTAGAATTATTATAATTTTTTTCTTAAGATGTAATAATGCTTTTAAATGTTTTATATTAAATTATACTAATTTTATAATTATTCTTACTGTTTTACGTTAACTCTTAACTTTTTATTTAAAATTATTTTTTTATTTGTAATAATAGTCATTTTATATTGCTAACTTAAATATTTTTGTTCTAATAATATCTTTTTACGCTTATTGTTACTTTTAGAAGTATTACAACTTTTTTCTTAAAGGTATTATGACATTTCTAACAATTTGATTTCAAATAATACTAATTTTATGATCGCTCTCACTTTTTTTTATGCTAATACTTTTTTTTTAAATTATTAATTATTGTAATAATAAAATATTATTTATGGTACAATAATTTTTTTTACATTTTTTCTTACTTTTTATTACATTTAAATTTATCACAACTCTTTGCTAGAGTGTTACGATAATTTTAATCCAATTAATGCCTAGTAACACTAATTCTACAATTATTTTTATCTTTTTACGTTATGACACTTCTAATATATTTTTACTCTAAATGATTCCAATTTTATAATTATTTTCACTTTTTTATGTTATTAATTTTTTTTAGAATTATTTTTATTTATAATAATAAATTTTTTTATATTATCAACTTAATTATTTACGTTATAATAATATCTTTTATGCTTACCTTTAATTACGTTTAAGATTACAATAACTTTTTCTTAAAGATGTTATGACACTTCTAATCATTTTACATAAAAAAAAAATAATTTTATGATTATTCCTATATTTTACATTAACATTTATTTTTTGGTATAGGATTATTTTTTATTTATAATACTAATTTTTTTACATTACTAATTTAATTATTTCCATTTTAATACTTTTTTTTTTACATTTATTGTTACTTTTCGTTAAATTTAGAATTATCACAATATTTTATTAAGGTGTAACAATACTTGTAATCATTTTAAGTCAAATAATATTAATTTTATGATTATTCTCATTAATTTTTTACATTAACTTTAATTTTTTAGTTTAAAATTATTTTTTTATTTGTAATAATATTTCTTTTATGTTATCAACTTAATTATTATTGTTATAATAATATCTTTTTATATCTGTTGTTACTTTTCATTACATTTATAGTTATTACAACTTTTTGTTAAGGTGTTACGATACTTTTAATTCATTTTACGTTAAATGACATCAATTTTATGATTATTATCACATTTTTATATTAACACTTATTTATTAATTTATAATTATTTTTAGATTTAAAGCAATAATTCTTTTACATTGTCAACTTATTTATTTACTTTATAATAACGTTTTTTACACTTATTTTTATCTTCATTGTATTTAGAATTATCAAAAAAAAAATTTAGGGTATTATAACACTTTTAACATATTTTTTGCTAAATGATATTAATTTTGCAATAATTCTTACATTTTTATGTTAAACAATTTTCAATTAATTTTTTTAAAAATATTATATTATCTTGTCCTCTATTTTAAAAATTTTAAATAAATTATATTTATTTGTTAAAATTTTTTATTTTATTTAATAAATAATATTTAATATAATTAATTAAAATTAAATTAATAAATTAGTTATTTATATCTAATGATTGTTATTTAATGATCTTGTAATAAAATCAAAAAATTTAAATTTACTGTAAAAATTCCCCGACCGAAGTTATAATAAGGCTGGACATCATAAGGGCCACAACTGCACAACAGTTACTGGTCGATTTCAAACGACTAGTACAATTATTGATGACAAACCAAAGGCTCACAGCCTTCCAGGGATCAACGTCTGGTCCCAAGTACTGTCTGAAGGACAACATCTAATGCAAAAAATTCGTACAAAAAAAAAAAGACATCTAATGCAAAAATATGTTCGTATAACAGACGTTATTTAATAATTTTACATCACAGCATATATCAATACAAGATCTTAACAGTTTTTCCGAGATTAATTTAGCTCCTCTCTATTTCAATCTTAAATTGAGAATTTTGTTGATAATTAAATTAAAAATATATATAAATATAAAAGAAATTTACGATACTTTAAGAATTTATAATAGATTAATTTTTTCATCAATATTAAAAAATAACAATATCTTATAGCAGATGCAATTTAATAATTTTTGCGTCAATAGCATCAATAATATTTAAGAATATTTATTTTTTTGAAAAAAAAAAAGGAAAAATGCATTTTCTTTATCGGTAAAAATGATTACAACACCTTTAAACAAGCTATATATACACTGAAACATTAAAAAATCCGATGCATCGATCTCAACATGTACCATACCTAACAAATAAAATATCTGCTGGCCATACACATCAACATTTATGTGTATAATATTTAAAAGTGATAAATCAAAATTATATTTGTGAACCGAAATTAAATCTGTGATTCACATGTGATTGTTCATACGTACTTGGCCCAACAGCAGCATCTATCTTAAATCAACAACATAAACAGAAATATCGTGCTTTCTTTCATTTTGGGGCATGAATTAAGAATCTGTTCGAGGAACTTCTATAAATAAATCTCAGATACGTATTGCTGTATATCACTCACGGACAGAGGAGAAAGGGAAAAAGAGTTGTTTCGGAGTTCTTTCTCTTGTTTGCGTTCTAAGCAATAACTATGGAAGTCAAGCATGTTTCAATTCAAGCATTAGTTAAAGAGATAAAGGAGGAGATGTTGTTGGACATCGATGCTTACTCATTTGTTTCCCCTTCTGCCTATGACACTGCTTGGATGGCAATGATTGATCCTTTAGATTCCGACCAGCCATGGTTATCACCCATGTTCAAGGATTGCTTGGATTGGGTACTTAATATCCAGACAGAAGAAGGGTATTGGGGTGAGTGTGACGCCCATGGCAATCCCACCATCGAGTCTCTCCCTGCTACTTTGGCTTGTGTAATTGCACTCAAGAAGTGGAATGTTGGAAATCAAAATATAAAGCGAGGTTCTCTCTCACAACTATGTATACATAAATTAGTGGCTTGTATCACATCCATGCTTTAGATTAATGTTTTTAATTGATTTTATTCATGATAAACTTCAGGATTGGACTTTGTTCATGGAAACGCCGAGAAGCTCATTGGAGTAACTTACGACCACTTTCCTCGTTGGTTTACCATTGTTTTCCCTGGAATGATTGAAGTTGCACATGAAGTTGGGCTCGAACTTGCCTTCCCTTCCCAACTAAATGGACTGTTGTTAGACATATTCCACAAACGGAAAAGGATCCTTGAAACGTAATTGCTCTCAAATTTTACCTTAAATCTTTCGTGGTCGTGGAAGAAACTTGATATTCAAATTAAGCATGAATCTATGACGATTTAACTAACCTGTTGATTCATTATTGATGTGAAACTTTTTCTCTAGCGAGGAACTTGTTGGCAATCAATATCCTCCATTGTTATCGTATCTTGAAGCACTGCCTTCATCATATGATATTAGTGAAGAAGACATAACCTTGAACTTGAGTGGTGATGGCTCATTGTTCCAATCCCCCGCGGCCACTGCACGTGCTTTCATGGCTAGTGGAAAGGAGCAGTCTCTATCCTATCTGCAATCAGTTGTAGGAAGATGCGCTAATGGAGGTGAGCCAACTGCTTGATTTTGTCTTGCATGTGTTTAGTCAGCTCCCAATTTTATAAATTAACCCATTTGAACTTTAGTAAAAAGTTAAGTTTTGATGCAGTCCCACCAACTTATCCCATGGATGAAGAGCTAATAAAGCTTTGTCTGGTCAATCAACTACAAAAATTGGGGTTAGCTGAGCATTTTACACATGAGATTGAAGACAATTTGGCCCAACTTTACCGGTATATGTAGCATTCATCTATAAAAACCTGATTTTTCACTCTCTTTTTTCCTCGTGCTCAATCAAAATAGTAACCTTTGGCGTCAATTTATGGTTAAAACTTTTAGGAATTATAACAGCAAAGAGTCGATGGCAAAACCAAGCAATAATGCAGATGTCTCAACCCAGCTGCACAAAAACTCTTTAGCATTTCGACTCCTCCGCATGCATGGTTATAGCGTATTGCCTTGTACGATCCACTTAAAGAAACCTTCACCTTTCTTTTAATTTCGTGCAGCATTAACTGGAAGATGTTGCATGATTATCTATTGTTTGCATTCGCAGGTCACTACTTCAGTTGGTTCTTGAATAATCAAGAAGTTAGAGCTCATATTGAAGAAAATTATGAACACTTCTCAACCACCATGCTCAATGTTTATAGAGCCACGGATCTCATGTTTCCAGGAGAAAATGAACTTCAGGAGGCGAGATCATTTTCTAGGAATATGTTAGAGAAAGTTACATCCAAGGATACTCGCTTTAGATCTGTCGGGCTTAAAAAAATGGTAACTGAATATGTCTCAGATCATAGTAAATCCATCACATTATACCATATGCTTCATTAGAATTAATATTATAAACTTTTTTTTTTCAAAAGATAGGACTCCGTTTGGTAAATTAAATTCTATTTTGATCAATGCTACAAAAAAAAAAAAAAAAAAGCTAAGGTAAATTAGTAATGTATAATTCCCAAATATTAATAAAAAAAATTCTTATAAATTAGTTAGCACTTTTTGAGAAAAAAAAAATCAAATGACAAAGAAATTGTTTACTTTTTAATGTCATAATAAGCTTTTAGAACATAAGAAATTTTATATTTTATAATTAATAGAATTAAGAAAATTCTTAATTGCATCATTTCAACCTTTAACACAAAAATACACTAATCTCAAAATGCATCCTATGCTTAACTCTAAAAATAAGGACAAATTTATGTCGCATCTTATATAAGCTAGCTCAAAATAGACGTCAGAGAAAAGGTCCAATTTTTAGCCATTTTTTTGTAGTAATTTATTTATGCACGAAATTATATGAATAAATCAATAATTATATGATTTATTGATAAAATATTAAAATTTTTTAATTTTAATAATTAAAGATCATAATTTTAAATAAAAAAATTATACGGATCCTTTTTACTTTCCCTTACTAAAATCTATTTTTAGAATAGTGCCATTCATGTACTTCAATTAATTTCCTTGTTTTTAATTTCACCAAAAAAAAAAATTTCCCTTGCTTGTAAAATGTCTCATAGATGGAGCATGAACTGAGATTTCCATGGATCGCTCGACTGGATCATTTGGAACATAGAAGTTGGATTGAAGAGAATAACACCGACATTTTGTGGGTAGGCAAAGCCTCCTTCCACAGGTATTATTATATCAGGCTGCAATATTAGTTTGTAAACAATGTAACTTGACTAAAGAAAAGCAACTTGGCTTAAATGTTCAATAATCCGTCAAACAGTACAAGGTTAATCTATCAAACATCAAACCTTTTGGAAGCAGGTTGTCACCCCTGTTGAATAAGAAGCTAATCCAACTTGCAATGGCGGATTACGAGTTTCGGCAGACAATATACAAGAATGAGTTGGCGGAAGTGGAAAGGTGTTGTTAACTCAATGTATAACTAATACTAAGTATGACTTTGTTTTTATGATTTCTTGGGTTCCATTTCCATGGACTATATGTATAGGTGGTCCAGGAGCAGTGGTATGAGCAACATGGGATTTAGTCGAGAGAAAACTACATATTGTTACTTTGCCATTGCCTCCAGCATTCCACTGCCATATGACTCTGATCTACGGATTATAATTGCAAAAAGTGCTGTTGTGATAACTGTTGCGGATGATTTTTATGATAAGGAAGGTTCTTTAGATGAGTTGAATAGCCTCACTGATGCAATTGGAAGGTAATCACAGATGAGAACTAAAAAGTTGATTTCAATGGGTCGATTTTCGATCCTTTTCAATGCACTGATACAATTGGAATGCGTATGATAGATGGGATGCTAATGGATTGAGTGGTCATGGTAAGACTATCTTTGATGCCCTTGATGATCTCGTCAGAGAAATTGTAACAAAAGTTATGCAACAGCAGGGAACTGATATAACAAATTTTCTTCAGCAGATAGTAAGTTTAAACAACAAATATGTGGTTCATTCATTTTCTTTTGCCCTGAAAGTTGTGAATTAACATATACATGAAACGTAATTCTTTTTCTTTTTTACGGTCAAGTGGTATGAAACGTTTGTTTCATGGCTTGTGGAGGCAATGTGGAGCAAGGGTGGATTTCTTCCATCAATGGATGAGTACCTTGGAACTGGAATGGTATTCATTGCTGCACATACCATGGTTCTTCCAGCTTCCTGTCTATTAAATCCAAGCTTAACCGATTGTAAAATCAGGCCAGGGGAATACGAGAGTCTTAACAAATTACTGATGCTTATACCTCGTTTACTGAATGATATACAGAGCTATCAGGTGACAATTACTGAACATTGTGAAGGCCAGATTCATGTCATTCTTTATATGTAAGGAAGATAATTAATCATTTATTGTGTAATCACAGAAGGAACAACGAGAGGGGAAAATGAACTATGTATTGCTCTATTTAAAAGAAAATCCAGGAGCAGACATTGAAGATTCAACTGCCTATGTGCGAGAAATAATTGACAAGAAGTGGGGAGAGTTGCTCCAACATGTTCTGATGGATGGATTCGGACAATTGCCCAAACCGTGTAAGCTTCTTCATCTATCATGCGTGAAAGTGTTTCAGACGTTCTTCCACTCAACCAACAGGTTTGATTCCAACACAGAGATGCTACAAGACATCCAAAAGGCAATCTATATCCCTCTAAATGTTGATTAACCTCAAAGCCATTGGTACCTCTGAAGGAATTATATTAATCAGCTTCCATTCTGGTCGGCCTTCCAAATATGAAACATCACAGATCGAGCTAGCTAGTACTTAATTTGCCTTTCTGCTGCTAAACTTTTAATGTGCCTTTCTTTTAGTTCAGTTCAGTTCATAAATTATTAGCCTCTGCTGCATTCAGTGCTGCTTTTCAAGAGTTGTAAAAGCACAGTCCTGTAATCTCAAAAGTCTATTGAATAGTTTAACTGGGAAGATAAACTTTGAGCCAAATAGTGACGTAGTTAATATGTGTAAGTTTTCTTATCACCACTTCACTAAAAATGAGGAGAATATGAAAATGGATAAGCTATTCTTGTTTTATAATCCATTCATTGAAAGGAAAAAAATTTTAAAAAGGTGAAAATTTGATTTGAAGATACACGTCCAAGCATTGAATGAACATCTTGACTGCTTTGTGGAATATAACAACCTGACAATGGTATGCACAGGAATTTATATGGTGGGTTGACTGGGTAAACCAGCTAGATTGGACAAAAGAAACCTCACACAAACAAAAATGGTAATTTGACAGCAATTCTTGTCCTTCTTTTATTAGATAAACACCATCCAGGGCAAAGAGTGACAACTTATTATTAATTATTCAGCCAAAAAGAAAAGGGAATGCCTCATAGCTGGTCGCATATACAACAGAAACAGGGATTCCTGTTCATTTGCCTTGCTATTTGTAGTAGCCTAGCTCATCTCCCATGCACATAAAAGACTTGAAATGACTATTTTTGTTGGGAAAAACACTCCTAGAACTTGTTATTTTTCTACTTTTACTGTTTTCTGCTACTATATATAGTGCTAAGACCAAAACCTTGAGGCTCTATCGGGAGGAAGGTGGGGATTCACCAAGGAGAAAAGCTGAGAAGAAAGCAAGTGAACTGCTTGGTTTGAAGCACGGTACTGCATGGCCGGCTCCTCTAAATGTAGCAAAGGTTAGTCCTTTGTATTCTTGAAACCAACCGCTGACCTGACCAAAAGAACAAAGAAAAAAAAACCCCTTGAAGTTAGAAGAAGACACATGCTTGTGCTATGCATAGTGCACGACCAAAATGTCGAATCTTCCATACAAATGCAAATCTAGATAGATAGATTATACATAGAGTTATTAAATGAGAAACAACAATCATCTACAATAAGCAACTCATATAATTTTAACATGCGCACTCAGTATTCCACTTAAACCATCACATTATAAGGATTAATTAATCAATTCTCTTTTTGACAAGATGGAAGGTTTTGATGACAAAATTAGAGCTGAGCATTTTCATCAGTTCAGCTTATACATAAATCCAATGTTCAGAACTTCAGATACATTGCAGAATGAACCAAAATAAAGAAATTCATGGCATTTCAGCACCCTTTTGAAAGGAGAATGGAGTTGTTGTTTATCTCTCTTTTCTTCCCATGACAAATGGCGAAGAGCCTCCCCTTTCCCTACCTCTCTTTCTCTGTCTCAGAAATACTCAGGTGAAGGAGGTTTTGCAGCCGATAAATATATTAAATGTCTTTAGTAAAGTTGTAAGCTCAATAGAATCAGATTGAAAATAAAATATTAATCAGAGTCATTAATAGTCAAACAAGTTAGACCAGATGTTTTTATTTTCACTTTGATTGTCATCATCAATACCTGTTTCTTATGGTACCATGGTCTCCATGCCTTAGTGATGGGCAGTCCCAAAGTATTTATGCTGTATCGCGTGGACAGAACAGGAACTCTTCCATCCGTGTCTCCACTAAACCACTCAGAAGCAATTACATGAGACAGAAAAACAAGCGACTACAATATCTAGAAAACTGTTTAAAGGATGGGAATTACCTGTAGACCCAAATTCTAACTCCTGCTACAATAAGCTTTTTGTATATAGGAAGAACTGATGGCTTTGAATCTGCCCAATCATCAAATATCTTTTTACTGCATTATAAAAGAGAATAACAGTGTTTAGTTAGCATTTTAAAACCACAATTTCAATAAGCTTCTTCTTATCATTATAGGCTTAGAATAATGATGGTTGAATGGATTATAAAGAATTGTAGCAGGACATCTATAATGCATTACTTGCAGATGCTCCAGTTCCTGAGATAGTGACCATCACTAACATGGAGAGCCTTTTGAACATCCAGTCTATTGTAGAAAGCTTTGGCATAATCATCAAGGCAGGGATCAAAGCCACCCAAAATCCTTGGCATCTGGTAAGGTTCATGAAACCATCATATCAAAACTTTGTCACAGACATTAATGGAAGAGCAATAACATGGAATAAAGGAAATTATACCCCCACCAAAAAAAAAAAATGACAAGAATTAAGTCATGAGAAATTCCTCTGACATTGATATTATATTATAGGATAATGTCCTTGGCATCTGATAAGGTTCATGAAACCATCATATCAAAGCTTTGTCACAGACATTAATGGAAGAGCAATAATATGGAATAAAGGAAATTATACCTCCCCCCCCCCCCCCCCAAAAAAAAAAAAAGGACTAGAATTAAGTCATGAGAAATTCCTCTGACATTGATATTATACTATAGGATAATGTAAGTTACAGAAATGAAGCATGGGATCACCATATTGGAAGTTCGCTTCATCATGACTTGCAATGATTTGTGATCTGAACCTGCAGTATCACCAATGCACACTGGGGTGTATAGGCTGAAGATATCAATCTCCTTATACTGTTTAAGTACTTCATCCACAGCTTTACAACAATCTTCATTTCCCCATGTATCATTGCTGTTAAAATCACAGCTTTCACTGATTATTTTGTGAGTTTCATCAGATACCACAGCATGGCTCCAAGCATAATCCACCAGACCTCTCCAATCCTCAGCATCATATGTTTCAGGATTACCTAACTGTTGACGAAAAGGAAATTCCAGCACGTCAAGCAAGCATGCAATAGTTTAGTGGAAAAAGTAAGACCAGATTGATTATCATGAGTTTATAACCAGCCAAAAGAATTTTTTTTTTTTTTAATAATTCAGAAATGAGCATACCAAAATACCCTTGAGCTCAATATGAAGTGAAGGATCCTTATTATTGTCATGGACGAGCTCAGCCAGCTCTGGCACATATTTCCCTGTGAAAAACAAGTCAATTGAGAATCACTCTGTTGAGATAAAGACAAAAGTAATTATTAAAGAGGAATACCTGCATAACTTTCCCCAGCAATATAAAGGTTTCGTGTTCTATATGATGGAAACTTCAGGAACCACTTATGCAGGAAAGTGTAAGCATCATGTGCTGGAGCAAGTAGTCCATAGCAGAAACAAGCACCAATTATTTAAAAGAATAATCTTCTTATAATCAGATAATAATCAGAAGTTCCTATAATATAATTTATACCTAGAAGCTACACATACTTTTTCATGTACCTATGACATGCAAATTAATTTGTGCCATGTTGAAGCAAACATATGTTATCTACATAATATTGTAAGTAATTTAGAGGAGGGAAATTTGAACTTGAAATCCCCTTTTTGGTTGGAGTGCTTTGACAACTAACTAGGTTATATTTTGGCCACAATTGACCAATAATAGTGGCAAGATATACGGTCGCAGCAATTTACGGGTGTAATTTTGTGTTAAAACTCACCGGTAAACTCATCTCCTAGATGATCATAATCAGTAGAAGTATTTGAGTACGAAAATCCAACTCCAATCGGAGATTCCAGGAATAACATATTGGCTTCTGCATCATCAAAGACATTAAAAAATTCTTAATATGATATTGGAATATGGAGAGAGCAGAATACAGAGGTTGATAGGAGCAACCACAAAAGTAAGTGTATTGATTTTATATGAATTTCTGTGATGCAATAACATATATTTAACAATGACCATGTCGATGACAACAATAATGAATAACCAGGATGAATAGATAAGAAAAACATATTTGCAACTTCATATGCACGTTGGCTAGAAAACTATAAAGTGTGAACTTTATACCTTTATTCCATGAGAAGTTGTTAAATTTAATTCCCTGCCCATCAGTGTCCACTATAAAAGGACCAATCTCTTGTGTTGCTCCATAACCCACAGAAGAGCACCCAGGACCTGAAACAGAACTTGTCACTTTATTGGAGAACATAGAATAAAAAAAAAACAAACTGAATTATGGAATGAGGCTTATTTCCACGAGCGGATATCAGGAAAAACAATGACCTCCACTAAAAGAGAACATGGAACAATGATCATATATCTTATACCCTAGGATAATTAAAGCAAATATTCAACAGTAAAGTTTGCTTATATGGCAACACTAGTAATGAAGGAATCTGTGATAGCTTTCTCTTTCTCTCTTCATCCTTTATGTACAAAATAAATGGAGGTAAAGATTAGATGTTATAGGAGAGACCTTTCAGTCAAAAGATTGGAATCTGAAAAGCCTAGATTAACTTTTAAAAACAAAGTAACCTTTGATAACAAATGTATTTTCTAACACCAAGATCAAATTTGTTCTAGCCAACATCTTCCAGTACAATATAGCCAAAGGTGAACAAGAATAGAGGCTCTAGAACAAGTAAGATGCAACAGCTAGAAGAGAAAATTTGATCACTTTCCAGATAATTTAATCATTATCCTTACCTCCATTAAGCCACAGCACCAATGGTTTGTCATCAGGGTGAGACATAGCCTCATAGAACCAATAAAAAAGTGTTCTTCCATTCTTTTCATTCACAGTGACATAGCCAGCATAATGGTGGAAGTCTACAGCTGGCTGGCCAGGCAAGTTGGTAACGAGATCATCATTTCCCAGGACATGATGCACTGATGATATAGTTGAAACAAAAGCCGAAGTAAGGAAAACTGTCAATTTCAGTCCAAAATCCATGTTGATAAAGACAAACAAGTCAGACTGACTTCAATAAAAGAGGATTGATGGCTACCAAGAAGCCCACATATCTATTTATACTGCCTACTATAGGGACTATTTCAAAGGTAATAAGATACCGAAGAAATGGTCATAAGTGGCACCATGGTTTTTCTATGATTGGCAATCTGACATGGATTTTAGGCAGTTTCTAGGGTTTTCAAGGGACGGTGGAATCTCTGTGTGGCTTGTTAAATCATGGTAACATGAAGTGAGTTAATGATTTTCCCCAATAACTTATGCTAAACACAATCCACATGATCTTATTATTTGTCAAAGTAATGATCACTATCAGTACTAAGAAAAAAGTTGGATTCTAATTAAGAGATACTTGATTACAATAGTATCTGTTATTACCCATTGCAATATTGCCATTAACCAGAGATGCAAGGAAACAAGACTACTGATACAACCAACATATGGTGACCATCATATATACAAAATCCTACTACTTCTTCATATACCAATTATAGTGACCATCATATACCAAATTTGGAAGTTAACCATTTGAAAGTAAACAAGTTGTGAAACATCAAATTTCTCTTTTATTTCTTCAGTTTATTGGAACAAATGATAAAAACATGTCGGAAAGGGGCTTTAGCAGCTTTAAGGTTAACAAATTATTGGTTAAGTAGAAAAGCACACACACACATATATATATGGTGATTCATAAATCCATATTCAATCAGTCAAATTCCACAGTTACTAAGACAAAGACAGACCGATGTTTTTGATATTGAACCTTCTATATTGTTTCATACTTCTGTCAGCAATAATGTTCAAAATGATGGGAACTCAATTGTGTAAACTTTGAACATAAAAGTTTGACTGAGAAAGGTTATCCAGAATTTTGTTCATTTTGCCATGCTTGTAAATGCTTCCTTTTTGTTTTAGAATAAGTTTTTGAGTCTAGAAATTAAGCTACATTAGTAAAACTCTGTACATTTTAATAATTAAGCTCTGGTGTATCATGAATAGATAAATAACTGATGATAAATTATCATTTGGTAAGTTGTGTGGAGAAGGGAAACCATAGACTCAAAAATATCGCCCGACATTACCTGGGGATACTTCTTTCTTTCCTCTCAGACCAATCGAAAAGATGAAGAAAAACGGGTATTTCTTTGTGATAAAGCTCAATGAGAGAATGACTGATCAAGAGAGCCAAGACCAAACAAGTTCAACTTCAACATATCCAAAACAAGGGACAATTGTTAACATATTCTCAATAGATATAGTGTTGAATCAGTAGCTTCTTTGATAAATAAATAAAAATATAACTAATTACAAAAGAATGAAGTAACAGATGGATTTTTTTTTCAATTCAGCTTATGCAACAGATAATTGCTCTACAGATTGATCCTGCAGTAAAGAGAGACTGGTTAAGGCATTGGTTTGTATCAAGTATTGACCTATCTGATTGTCCTAAGATTACTAACAAGTAACAACAACCTAATAGGAGTGCCCGGAATGCCATGGTACTAACTACCCCAGTGTTAAGCATCATTATCCTAAACTAAAGATGGTTAGTTAAATCATTTAAAGGCCAGACAGATTGTTTGAAAGTCTCCAATTGTCCACATCTACAAAGACTACTACAGCACATGGCAATATCTTCATAGGAATTGGCTGGCTTATTGCCAATGATTATCTTATCAAAAAGTAGCCGGTATATATGAAAAGACATTGTCCAACAAGTGGTTCTTCTAAAATACAGAGAAAAAGCTAACTGTTCTTAAGCATCTCATCATCACAAAGTTGAAAGATGGAGTTCTGTGGCGAACCTTGTGCGCCATGACTCTTGAATCTGGTGAACCTCAGGTGGTGAAAGGTATGAAAGGAACATCAATTAGGTTGTTGCACAATGACCTGGATTCCAACTTTATTCGAATAATGAGATGGAAAACATCTCATAGGTGTTCATTGTATGACTTATGTCTTTTCTTTATTTTCTATTTGATGTACATTTATCCAAAGCTAACTGATATATATTATCATCACACGCATTGACGATATTCCTAACTAAAGTTTTCCTCAAGTATTTATGCACTGGTTCTGAAAGCATTAATGAACATAAACAAATAACGCCTTCATCTAGTTGTGATGCTGATCAATCTGACAGTAATATGACAGATACTCCCTTTAGCTAGTCAATAAATGAGAAAAATTACTTTCATCTTTCTTCTTCACTTATTTTAATTAGTTATATGTAAAACACAGCAAAAAAATCGATCCAACAAGTGCATCATTCTGTTTTTGTACAAAGAAATGTCACCCAAAAAACAAACTGGCACGTGCACTTCTGACTCATATTAGCATACATGAAAAATCAGGTTTTCTTTAGCTATGATTAACTCAATAAAGAGGTAATTTCCACCTTTCTAGTTTTGAAAGTAAATAAATAAGTTTGTTTTTCTTTATCTGATCTCACAACCTTCGTAGTTTTAAATTTCAAGCAGCAGAACCAGCTCCCATTTGCCGAACACTGCAGTGTTGTTTCTTTTTCATATGATAGAAACTATATTAATAGTTTCTCACTTCAGGACATAAAGATTCTATGATTTTTTCTGTAGAAAAAATGCTTAAGCCATTCATATCTAGTATTTTTGACCTATGTTCTAGGATCTACACAAACAAGAGCCTATAAATGGTGGGAGACATTGATAATCAATGGTTGTCTGACTATTCTGAAGCATGAGAAGACACATTTGGCATGTGGAACGTATTATGTATAAAATTCCCATTGACCAAAAATCTGATTCTGATAAGGCTCATCGTGAATCCCAAAAATCTGATTCTGACAAGCCTCATCTTGAATCATTCTCTTGATAACACTTTCAGGGCAGCAATTGTGTAATTGATAATTTTTTATTCTTTTGCTACAATTGCATGACCAAAGTTGACACAAAAGGCACGAATTTCTTTGTTTGTTCTCATTTTAGTGGGCACAAGCATTATCAATTTCATGATGACCTAAGAACTTTACTGTAATTAGTGTGAAGAAGATAGAATTGTGGCAAGCACTGTGCACAATGCATTGACAACCAGATGAAAAGAGTACATTATCTAGAAACGTGTCTAGGACGAACTTATCCCATAGCTGTGAATAAGATGAAGGAATCTAAACTACTTTGTAAATGTTGCTATTTGAAATGCTTCTCATCAATGTAACAGCATAATCATTAATTAAATTGGATCAAGCAGACTAACTCTAATATGCTTCAATAATCAAATTATATGCTGCATTTCCCTAGAGAAACCATTTTGGGCTAGCACAGGCCCCCATTCTTGACCTTTTCAATTCCCCATCTTCTGGATTTATCAATAAAGTGCTACTGAGGGTCCAACAGATTAGCCCAATACCTAGCTATGATCCTGGAAAATTAGAGTTTCTGGGAGGGCATGTTTTCATTATTTCTGGTCCTGTTGCATGTGAACATGCAAAATTATGTCTTTGTTTCTTGTTTGCTTTCACACAACAAATAAATTGGATATATAATTGCCCACTGAATTATCTATATTCATCGTTCACTTATCCACTAACATGAAGCTAACTGCTACTAAAATATCATTAAGATCCGGTATTCCCATCCATGAATTAAAACCAGATTACACCCCCAATAAGTTCAACTACGTAACTGCAAGAAATATATCAAAGAAACTACAAATAAAACTAAACTAATTGAATACTTAACAGCCCACCATTCCCTTAGTCAACTGTCCAAAAAATGAAATATTCAACAGTTTCTTCCCACTCTTATGACAAAGAGAGTGAAAACCATTTGCTTTAACTTTGTGCAGGGGACTTGTCCTACTGGATGTTCATAAAGAGGACCACTAACTAGATGAAGATAGCAATGTGTTTACAATACAAGACAAGCGAAATGAAAACTTACCAAAATCGAGAACATCATGAAGTTTAGGTGGAGAGAGACTGAAAGAAGGGCCTGGAATGTGCTCCATACTATTAAAATAAAATTTACATACTTTCTTTTCGTGGTTAATTTTTGTCAAGTTTAAGCAACTAAATAGAAATTCAATCGCCTACCATCTTTCTTTCTTTCCTATCTTCCTCATTATCATTTGGGATTTATGTTGAAACTGCCTTCCCTAAGAAACAGAATCATTTCTAACTGTATCATTTGAGCCACCAGCAGATACCTAACAAGCACCAACCCCTCTTAACTATGTTAAGATATCCTAGCCTGCATACCTCATTTAATAAAGTAAGCCAATCAAATGCTATTATGCTTAAAGCCTATGTTCTCCTCTTTACTCTAAAAAAAAAAAAAAAAATCTAATTGAATAAACAACCTAAAAGAAGAGCTAGACATAGAGGGTAGACCGATGCATGCATTTTCAAGTTCAAGGAAGGTGTTAGAAAGGACCAAGAAGGCTAATTAATACAACCAAACCCTCAAACTCTAGTTTCACAAGGCAAACATACCCTACTGTACTGTCCGCCAGCAGCTGGCCTATGAGAAGGAAAAAAACTTTTCAAGGTTATACAGTTGCACATGTAATCAAATGCTAATAATTAATACCAATTAGAGCAAAGTTAGCGTTGTTAAAATTCAAAACAGTACAACTAGTGGTAATGGAACATTACTACTTGTTCAGAAAGAAAGCAGTCTTATAAGGTCCAAAAGAAAGGAACAACTGACCAAAACTCCAAAGTGAACAGACCCAGCTAGCAAGACTTGAAAAGTCAACAGAATCATCAGCCTGAGTATCCTTCCGCAACTCTGCCACTAGCACAGCCCAATACAAAAGTCATCTTCACCAAATCCAAACCCAGAAAACCTTTAAACCAAACCGCAAACTCTTTACCGATCAACAGTATAACCCCAAAAAATCTCAATTTTGTCCCTCTTTCTCTCCAAAAATGATGGAACAGGAAGAAAATGTTCACTATTGGGGCAACATCTCAGAGGAAGAGTACTACAAGCAGCAAGGAATCAAGGCATCAAAATCATTCTACACCTCACCAAGAGGCCTCTCTCTCTTCACAAGATCATGGCTTCCGATCTCTGGCACTCCACGTGGAGTCATCTTTGGGATCCACGGGTATGGAAATGACATGAGCTGGACTTTCCAGTCCACACCAATCTTCCTTGCTCAGAAAGGTTTTGCCTGTTTTGCCCTTGACCTTGAAGGCCATGGGAGATCTCAAGGCCTAAGATGTTATGTCCCAAATGTTGATTTAGTTGTTCAAGATTGTCTCTCTTACTTCAATTTCATCAAGCAAGACCCTAACTTTGATGGGTTACCTTGTTTCCTTTATGGAGAATCCATGGGAGGTGCTATTTCTTTGTTGGTTCATTTTGCTGATCCAAAAGGGTTCCAAGGAGCAGTTCTGGTAGCACCCATGTGCAAAATCTCAGATAAGGTAAAACCCAGATGGCCACTTCCTCAAGTTCTCACTTTTATCTCAAAATTCTTGCCCACTTTGCCAATTGTACCAACAGAAGATATCTTATACAAATCAGTAAAGGTAGAAGAAAAGAAAATTATAGGAAACAAGAATCCTTCAAGATACAGAGGAAAGCCAAGATTAGGTACAGTTGCTGAACTCCTGAAAGTAACCGAGTATTTGAGTCAAAAGCTATGTGATGTGAGTATCCCATTCCTCATCGTACACGGCAGTGCAGATGTTGTTACGGATCCCGAAGTGAGCAGGGCTTTATACAATGAAGCATCCAGTCAGGACAAGACAATAAAGATATATGAAGGAATGTGGCATTCGTTGTTGTTTGGTGAACCTGATGACAACATCGAAATTGTTCGCAGTGATATTTTGTCTTGGTTGAATGATAGATGTAACACAAGATCAGAATAGGTTTATCATTTATACTTTATGATTTAAGTAATATTATAAAAAAAAATCATGTTTTAGGGTTGATTTATGTGTTGTTTGATATTGAGGATTGGAAATTCAATATACAAAATATTTGTTCAAGGATTGGGATGCCAACTTTGGATGAAAAAGCCAGGGGCAACAACGGTCACTTCATTTTGAGTCTAATCTCTATGGAAGCAAACAAATTAACGAAAAGTCTTTCTATTCATCTGTCTCCTTGCCATTTTTACGCTCAGAGACGATGGTATATACATAACCGAGTCATTTGCTTCCTCTTAAATAACTCTTTATAGATCACATGCGCCGCAGACATGGTGACTTCAATGAGGGTGTAGCTTCCTCTTCGTGCTTGAAGAAACAAGATAACAAAGAGAAAATTTATTGCAGTTTGCATAATAATTTGATTCGATGCAATTATTATGCGTCTCGTGACTGGTTAGGTTTTGAAGTGGTCTTATGTTCTCATTCCTAGATATGTAAATTTTACCACACCCAATAAGAAATTTAATTTTTTATTCACATAAAAATATAGATAAATATTATATTGTAAAGATGAAGAAGAGTATAAATATAATTTTAAATTTTTATTAAACATGAGAATGCAAATGAATAATATTTTATCTACTTCGTATCTATATATTATATATATGTTTATTTATTTATTTATTTATATTTAATAAATAAATTTTTATTAAATAATATAAATTATTATTTTAAATTAATTAAAATTAATATATTTTTATTAAAAAATATATTAATATATATATTTATAAAAATTATTTAAATATACAAAATAAAAATTTTTAAAATAAAATTTAATTCTTTTTTTAATTATATATATAAATTATTCAAAATCATTAAATACATACGAAGATGAAAATAAAAATTAATTTGCAATAAATTTTAGATATAAATATAAAATAAATATAATATAAAAATTTAGAGACAAAAATGAAAAGTATTTCTCGTATCCTATTCCGTCAAGGTTGAGACAACCAAGAATGATTAATACCGTCTAAAGCAAAAAAGCTCAAAAAAAAAACAATAATTGTGCCTTGAAATTAATGAATGAACACTCAAGTAAAATAATAGACTTAAAAATCGCCAATGAAGCTACAACTTTCCATTTTTTCGTATCTCTGGAAAAGAAAAGAACAGGAAAAGAAGACCTATCAGTATCATCTACAACTACTCTGACTAAAACAGAATCGCACGTTCAACTCTATTACTATCTTTTACTTGTTATAGCGCACTTGCCCTAAACCCTATACAATGCCACAGGTGACGAGAGGTTGAGAACCATCAATGGCCGGAGAAAACAAAAAATTTAACTTTCCTTTCGTGTATTCACACAGTGTCAGAAGAGGCTTTCTCTTTCCCCTCATGTCCAAATGGTATCTGGGTTAGCAGAATGGGTCAGCTAGGCGGGGAAGATGGGTTAGGAAATGGTTCTGAAGGGATAAGCTGCGTATCCAACATGATGCACCGACATTGGATGCAAGTCTAACACTGCCAATTTATAAGAATTGTAGATTTACCACTGTAATTTTAAATGTCATGCCATAAACAAGTATTCCAAGTCTTCTACTGTGAGACGAGTCTGACAACCTCCTGTTTCATCCTCCCCAAATGCAGATGCAACCATCTCCCTCTTCTTTTGCTGTTAATTTAAAAAAGTATAAAAAAAAAAAAGTCATTTATTGCATAAGCAAAGGTTTCAAGTTAAAACAAATAAATTTGTGTGAAAGTAAACATAGAAGTATTATTGGCTGCTAGGAAACCATTTAACCAAGGGTATTTAACCAAGCGCAAGTTAGTTTTAGCTTAATACAAGGATAACACTACAGATTAGATATATTCGGTCCTAAGGTCATATTTGATGTGTAAGATTGTTGATTAAATAAGATAACAATCATCTTATATCATGTTTGATTTGTATATAAAGATAAGAATAAAGATTGTAAAAAAGATTAATATACTTTTAGTATAAGATTATTCAATCATCCCTAAGTAAAAAAGATTATTTTTAATCTATGAAATTAAATTTATATGTCTAATTATATCTTTAAAAATTATATTAATAATTTAAATTATATAAACTTTGAAAAAATATAATTTTAACAAATAAATAAATTATCTTATCCTAATCTTTACATACATTAAACACAAAATAAAATGACATTATTTAATTTAATCTTATTAATAATATTATCTTATGTTATTCTATCATAATTTGCATACCAAATATGACCTAAATTCCCTTATTCATTCTTTGCTTATTCATCTTTAGCTGTCAGTCAGATACCAAAATCTCAATCTTTCATTATATTACTAGAATGCTACCTGTTTGGTCTAGAGACTTTTTATAATTTTTATAAAAATTTGAAAATCTTATATTTAGAGTTTTTTCTATGATTATTTGTGCTGATTGGTTATAATTAATTTTTTCTTTCAAAATTTATTTTTAAAAAATCTCAATTTTAATGTTTTCATTTTTATTTTATATTATTGTTTTTAAGATTTTTTTTTTCAAATATTTAAATTCTACATTTGGTAAATTTTTAAAGAATTTTTTGTTATTTTTGTGTGTTTTTAGTTGATTTTGTGTAAGTTATTTATTTCAATTGATTATTGTTTTAGTTGCATTTTTATCTCTTATTGAGGTTTAATATGATGGATAGTTTTAAGATTTTTGAGATTGACTTTTTCATTGACGAGTCTACTCACCTCTTATTTTTTATTTTTATTATAATTATAATTATAATTATAATTAAACAAATAAAAAATTTTAGAAAAAACTTTAAAAAAAAGTTAAATGCCACGTGACAAGCAAAGAGCTCGTCACATGGCATCATAGTAATCTTAAAAAATTTTGAAATTTTCTTTTAAAAATTAAAAAAATAACACATGACAAGCACATGCATTGATATATGTCATCACACTATCCCTTAAGAGACAATTTTAATCTATAATTATTGAAATTTTAATCTATAGTTATTGATGATTATAGATTATAGATTTTTTAAATATTAAAAGGAAAGATGACATATGACAAGTACAAGACTTGCCACATGTCACTACACTATCCCCTAAGGGGTAGTTTTAATCTATAGATTATAGATTATAAATAGTTTAATCTATAGTTATAGATTGTAGATAGATTGTAGATTATAGACAGATTAAAGATATATGACAGATTCCTAATAACTATCAGGAAGAGGCGTCCACTTGCCGGACCACATGCAGGCCAGGGCTTTGAGGCGCAAGCTCAGGCTGCCTCTATGCCCGAACTTATAATAGACAAATTTAAAATAGTTTCATATTTAGCTTTAAATTATATTTAATTAGAATTACGTCATTTAGACGAAGAAATAAGCATTCAGGCCCGGCGTAGCCCAGGCACAAGCTCAAATTTTTCTGTGTAGCTTATGGACAGCTTTATCCATGTTTATAACACTGATCGTCACCGGTAACACTATCAGATACATCCAAATTTTTCTAGACAGCTGCCAACCATATCCATCATCACATATAATCTTTAGCTTGATAAAAGTTACGGTATTAACTACGAAAGGGAAAAGGAAAAAGATGATGTGCCTAAGGTGCTTACCTGAAGAGCTAAAATACGATCTTCAACTGTATCTTTCACAGTTAATCGTAAAACAGTTACAGCGCGAGTCTGTCCGATTCGATGTGCTCTGTCAATTGCCTGGTCCTCTGTTGTAGGATTCCACCAAAGATCAAGCAGAAGAACATGGCAAGCTGCAACCATGTTCAGCCCCAGACTGGCAGCTTTCAAAGACATAATCATAACAGAAACCTACAAGCAAAAGAATCAATTTCACAAGTGGAATCACTAAACACCAGACTCTTGCACTCTCTCGTGATAGCATACAAAATAATAGAAGATAAAAAACAGATGTAATTAAAACCTCTGGTAGGGTGTTGAAATCTTTCACTGCTTTATCTCTAGCAGCAACTGACATAGTTCCATCTAGTCTTCTGTATTGGATGGAAGAACTCTTAAGACAGGCTTCAAATAAATCCAACATCCTTGTCCACTGGGAAAACACTATGGCTTTCTTTCCAAATACCTTATAGGAATCATTCAAACTTTCATCCTTAACCAGATTTTTTTCATCTGGAAAACCATTTGGTGAATCCCCAGAATGGAGATTGGATGAACCTTCTGGATAGCTACTAGTCTTTAATCTATGATCTTGAGGTTTAGCTAGCGATTGCAGGACCTCAAGGGCAGCCCTAATTTTGGAAGAATCATACATACTATCCTCAGAACAAGGCCTAGATACCTCAACAACATTAGAATCAGAACAATCAAGGGAACTATCATGACCAGGCTTCTCAGAAAGAGAACTGTTTAAAGTGGCATTTGAAAACACAGAAGATGCACTGAGTCTAACTTTGCAATTTGCAGTGGCACACTGGTCCTCATCGCCAGAGAGAAGTTCAGAGATGCATTGGTTGCAGAAAACATGACCACAGATAGCAACAACAGCATCATCTGGTGGATCCTATAGAATAGAAGCAAGGATGTCAGAACAGAGAGGTCTTAAGAGTTCAAGGATAATTAAAGGAAAAACTAAAAAGAAAAATTATGTCGAAAGAGACAATTAACCCAAAGCTGTTGCAAACATATAGTGATAAAAAGTCCAATTAAGAAAGTTCTTAAAGAACAAGCAGAATTTTGGGAATATTTACAACCATATAGAGATAGAGGGACATGAACCTCACAGGAAAAAAAAAATTGTCAAAGCTATCATTTTTACTACAATTATTGTACAATTAAACTATCAGCAAAATTAAATCATGATTATAGAATTGAAAAGGAAGATCAAGTTAAAATACATTAGAAGAACGATTTCTCAGATGAATAAAGATCTCCCGAGACTCACATGGCTAACAGAAAACCTTGTAACATTTATTCTGGGTCACCTAGGAAATTTACAACCATTAATTAGCCATGCAAGTCAAAACATGCCTCCCTAACAGCACAATATGATCCTTCATCATTCCCCAAGCCGAACCATCTGAACATACCCAAACAAGTATTTGTCTATCCTCATTGAGCAAAATTCATTATTTGATCACTAAAATCCTTAAAAACCATATGAACAGACAGATGTGTTCCTAGGCAAGTATTAATCATCAGAAATGTTGTAAGAAGCAGTTCTTAAAGCAGACAGAAACCAACTAAAGAAACAAGCAGAAATAAGTACATACATTGCAGATGCCACAGAGTGCCAAAGATGATAAACAACTCAGAAGAAATTTTAGCTTCTCCTGAGGAAGCTTCTTTGCAGTCTCAATCGATGATCTCCATGAAGAGTTTGAATCAAAACCCCTGACAAGAAGAGGATGATCACAGGCTTGTCGGAGGCGCAAAAGCATCAACAAGATATTCACATAGTTTTGTTTGATAGTCCCAGCAGCTGCATACTCCTGATAAAGATTTTAAAATTAGCAAAGAAGGACAGAATGTACCATAGAAGAATAATATGACCACATAAACTATAAGTATCATTAGGTATATTCTGATAAGCTACAAGAAATGTAGAAGATCTGCAATGTAAATCTAAAACTTAATTAGACTAAAACCATACTTTAAACTGAGCACGTGAATCAGACTCCAGTCTGGAGTAGAAATCACGTTCCTCGTTTGTGAATTCCACCTTTTTAAGTTCTATCACTTTAGGTGGCAAGTTAATAATTGGTTTCCCATCAAGAAGAGTACCTGCACAAAGAACACAAGGTGATCATAAGTGATTGCATTTACTTGCATGCAAATAACAGCCTCAAGGAAGTTCTACTGCCATGATATACAAATTGGATTTGGAACATCACTGTAGAACCACATTTTACTGCAAGACCAATTAAAATTAATTAAATCTTGCACATTTAGTACCTTTGGTGCGACGTAACATTATTGTCTGCAAGATAGCTTGCAATTTTGGATACCCTTTCACTGGATTTTTAGTAATCGGGACCTTTATGGAAGAACAGAATGACTTGTAAGAAGCATATGGGTCATATCTCAGAAATCTGAAGTAGCTATAAAGGTCATCAATGGCATTTTGAATTGGAGTCCCAGACAAGCACCATCTACGTTTAGCACGAAGGCCCCAACAAGCCCTAGCAACTTGAGTTCTGTGGTTTTTTATGCTTTGGGCCTCATCCAGAACAATTCTAAACCATCCAACTTTGGCAAGAGGTCGAGAAACAGAATCAAGAAGCGATTCATCCACTCCCTTCTTATGCTTCACTCCTTTTTTATTAGAACTAGAAGGGTATTTCCTTTTCTTGCATGGTGGAAAATCCATAGATGAGGCATGTTCACCTTCCAACTTCCTTTTCTCATCATCATCTCCACGAACAGGAGAATGCTTTGGGACCTCCGTGCTAACGATTGAATATGTAGTAAGGACAACATCATACTTTGCTAACTCAACAGGATCCTTTGTTCTGTTGCTTCCATGGTATACTAGAACAGAGAGATTAGCTTTTCTTGTTACCTTATTATGTAACTCCTCCTCCCACTGCCGCAATACACTTGTCGGACATACAATGAGAGTTCCAGCAGCTGGCCTTCCCTTTGCTTGCTCTGATGTACAAGAGCTTTTCTTTGAAGTACCATTTGCCATAACTTGATTGTTATCAGATTCTTGCTTCATCTCTTCATCATCATCATCCAAATTTAGTGTTTCCAACTCAACCTTTCTTGTATCTTGAGAAGATGCTCCAGAAGATGGAGGCCTTTCCATAAGAATAAGTGCAATTGTTGATACAGTTTTTCCTAATCCCTGCAAGAAAATACATACATACATACATATATATATATATATATGTATAAGTAACTCATGATGGTGTAACTAGTGTAAGACAACATGAGAATATGGCAACTGACCTGATCATCTGCAAGAATTCCTCCTAAACAGTGCAAGCCAGCTTTCTCCTTCTGGGTCATCCATGACAAAGCAATTCTCTGTTTCATGGATTATGTTAGAAATGAATTGGAACAGAAACATACACACTCACAAATGAACATGCAGGAGAACTTTGGCACCCACCATGCAAACATACAGAAAATAAGCAAAGCAACATGGAAAAAGCAATTTTCAACTTCAAAATCAACAGTTACACCATAGTTAATAAATAGCACAGTACCTTAAATCAAACTACAACAAAAAAAATAACATAATCTCTCTGTCATAGTTCTTTCTTTGACTGCACCCACAAATGGTACGGAAATATATAACCATTCACAAAAAAATAAAGCATAAAAAAACAGCAAAAGACTCAAAATATTAGCATTGCACTGTTCGAAGAAAGAAGTTGCAAACGATCACCATATATAACTAAGTTTGTGTCAATTTTATCCAGCTCGATCAGGATAAGTATATTTTAGCTATGTTGTTCTTTCTTGCAGATAAGTCATGCCCATTTTAGGCATTCATAGATAACCAAACCTAAACCCTATGCAAGTACTTTTAGATCAAATCCTCAGCTGCAGCTATTTTTACCTAATGCAAATAACATTTCCCAATCACTGAAGTAAAAAAATTCATAGAACCTCAATATTCACAAACTGAAATACAAAGGAAAAAGTACGAGATAGAACAATTCAAACCTGATGTCGTAGAAGAGGTACTGTCAAAACACCATCTGGAGGACTAGCTTCAGACTTTGGCTGAGAAAGAACCTGTGATGCATACCACACTCTCATTAATCAAGTCAACATACAGTGACAAACACTGCATATAACATTGATTCCAATATAAAGGGGCACTAGTTTAGATTAGAAAGTAGGCAACTCAATGCTTTATCCACACAGGAGTATCAAAGAAGCTTAAACATCCATCTCACATAACACTTCCAACTGGAAATATCTACACTCTGAGACCCAATTTCATGGCAGAATCAAATTAACCTGAAAAGTTTTTTGAAAGAATCTAAACTCTGAAGATTTTTAGTAGACATTTTTTATTAAACATAATAACAGTTTATGTAGCTGAGTCTTAATTCAATAGCCCTTCTGGCCAAAGGCAAGGCCCTAGTGCTATTTGAAAGAAGAGGAAGTGAAGAGGGTAAGTGGCTGTTGAATTAACTGGGGCTTGATATTTGAAGGAGTCACAATCATCTTTTACAAAGCCTTCACTTTCCCCCTCTTCCAAAGCATTATTTTGCCTTTGCGCAAAATACAACAGAAAGAAGACGTAAAAAATAACATTGCAATGTTTTAGAAGTATAAATCAGAACAGGGTTCTATTAAAGAAATAGATAAATCATAAAGGCACTATTTTATTTAACCACTCCATAACGAATAATAATTATTTTTCTTGGTGGTGAGAGATAATAAATTACCATGTTTTATAAATAGATTTCTTTCAAAGAGATCAGTGAACTATTAGGGCCACAATTTCATTCAACCACTCCCTAAAAGATTACCTTTTTTTGCAGTGAAAGATAATGCATAACTAAATAAACGTGTAATTACAAAGGAGCTGAAGACTGTTTCTGTCTAGCCACCTATGCCACAATGGACTAAAATGCAAGCAATCCCCGAAATTCATCCAAATTCTATTGATTCAACAAGCATGGGACGCTGAAATTATTCCATGCAGATCAATTGTCAATTTAAATATGTTCTGTATCTACAAACCTTCGAAGTTCTCAAGATCAAACATCATTTTAAACTTTAAAGAAAATAAAAATCAATATGTCAGCACATTACCGATCCATAACTGCTAAAAGCAAAAAAAAAAAAGCAATTTCAAACAAACAGCACTAACCTGCAATGCAACCTGAAAAATTAAACGCTCATCATTTCCCTTGACCCTGACACCTCCCATTCCTGGGGTATGAAGCAGGTTACTAAACTTAGCATGTGGCAAACTAGAAGTATTCTTTACAAGCAGCGGGTATTGATTTGAGCAGGCAGGTTGACTGATGTCTTCAAGAATACATATATCAGGATCATCATCAAAATAGGATCTGCAATCTGATGAATTGCTGTGAATAGATTCAGGACTGACTTTTGAAAGACCCATACTCAAAGGAATCAGCTTTCTCTCTCTTTCTTCGCCAAAACAACCTAAGTGCATCTTGGTTGAAGTAATTGGGTGAGTGCTGGAAAAATATTGCTCTGAGGAAGCTAAATTCAAATGTCCACCATAAAGGGAAGATTGACTTTTAACGTTTAGATTAATATCTTGATGATAATGATGAGCATCCTTGCCACTAAATATAAACTCCTGATTTGATATAGAAGGTGAAATATCAGACAACGATTGCTTCAAGTCTTCATCAACAGATAATAAGTCATCAACCCTGTTAGTAGACTTTCTCCAGCTAGCTTCAGCTAAAGCTTCAGCAGAATGGTAGAAGATGCTGCCAGATGTAATCACTTTATTATCTTCATACTTTACACAAACTGCTTGATTGTTGTTTGAAATGCAAGGTTGAGAATGACTGAATGGCTGCACCGATCCTTTGTCATAAAAAATTCCATCATTAGCAATGTATGACAAACTTCCACAGGCAGGTAAAACATGATCATTCCCTTCACCTTCAAAATGCTGTTGCTCTACATCAGAGAAATCAGTCATTGAGAGTTGTGACGCAGACCTATTATCAGTCCCATCCTGACCATTGAAAATTATCCTACCACTTGAGCATGCACTCTCAGTTGGAAATTCGACTACTTCACCCACCTTAATTTCTTCAGACATAAAACTTAAGGAACTAAGCCAATGGTGCACTGAGGAATCAGAAAAATATGCATTATCTCCGTTCATGTAATGAGGTGTAACTGAACGAGGATCACTAACATCACTAACAATGTCAGAACCATGACAGATGGTAGACTCATTAGAAGTAACATTAGGTGAAGTCATATCAGCATCGGAGGAAAACTTCATAGACCTACCTACCTTACTTTCAGGAGCTTCCAGGGTTTCCAAGGTATCATTTAGAAAATCACCAACATGACCACATATTAAGTTCATATTCTCAACAGCAGCGCTGTGCAAAGCATCTGCAATATTCAGTAAACAAGAATCAGTATTTCCACTAAAAATTTTAGGTACAGTACAACGCACTCAAGCAATGGTATACAAAAATTTCAAAATGCACAAGGGACTGACATTGTTTAGGTTTAATTAGGGAGTGGCTAACATACTTTTGTAGTCAAAATCCTCTGCAGTATTCTTGAATTGTATACAAGTTCTATTACCCACAAGGTCAAAATTTAAATTATCTCCACGATCTAACACATGGTTGCCATCCATCTCAGCAAAACTAGATGCTGTTGTACAGCTAGGCATCTCAAGCACAGGCATTCCAACCACCTCTGTATAGGATGTCGCTTGACCAAATGGACACCACTCTTTAAAACTTACGGAGGATGTCGGGACTGGAGAACAATCATGTGCAGAGGGTTCTAATTTCCGATGATAATCAAATGAACCACCTATAGACCACGACCTAGCATCTGGAGCCTCAGACTTATGCCTCAAAAGATCTCCAAAAGTAAACCCTGAGGAACACGATTCTTCAAATTCCAAGCAAGAAGATATCATAAGAAATTCATTACATCAAGAAAACAATTAGAAAAATGTTTGTGCAAGAAAATTTTACCACTCTGAACCTGGATGGTTTCAGGAACCGAGTCCTCTTGAGACATATTTCCAGGTGATGGATCTTCTGGATTACCCTGCAATTTGGTAAAGATAAGTTAAACTACCCAAAGAAAGAACAGAAAACACGGTTGAACTTTCATCGAGAACAAGAGGCATAAGAAAGCTATGAAATATCAGTTCAATCTTTTATAATCATCCCATGCAAGCTTTTATAATCAGAAGTTTTAGACCGAAAAAACCCACATTGACAATTTCAATAAATTAAATGAGTTGATTTGAATTCCAGAATCACAAATTCACCAAGGAAATACTTGGAATCAATAAATTAGCAGAATATATTCTATTTCATTCGATTTCAACCAAGCTATAAAACTCAATATTCTCATCAAATCAGCTAAATTTAAGCTGTCACTGACTCGTTGCTCATAACAGAACATGGGAGATGAATCAACTTGCTAGGTTTTCAATACAGAGTCAGTGATCTAAACAACAAATTCCGTTCAAAATTTCAACACTTGAGAGTAGGATTCCACCAGAATCTTCACGCTCCAAACCCTAAAAATGGCACCGGATATAACCGCGAGAAAATAACTACCTGTGGAGGATCACAATTCTCTTCAAGAATGTGATGGAAGATGTCGAGATCGACGCAAAGACCATCGGCAGCGAAGTCATCGAACTTATAATCGGCCGAGGGATCGCCACTTGGCAATAAACCGGAGCTATCATTATAGTTATCCTCCCCCATCATCAGACAAAAAGAACAACACCGAAAACCCTAAATTGCTTTTTGAAAACCCTAACCCAAAGCTCTTGTAAACCCCGGCCAATTCACGGGAAACAGCCAAATATTGGATCCAAACAAACCGAGTCGCATCACTTAAAAGAAGAAAGAGGGAGAAGTTTCCGAGAAAGTTCTCGTTGGCGGTTTCAAATGAGATGCAACCTTTTGTTTTTAGCTTTGGAAAATAAGTAAAAAAAAATGGATAGAGAGTCGTAAAGAATGTGGTGTGGTGGCCTTTTTTCGGGTTTAAAGAGGGATTGGTTATCGGCGAAAGACTTTTTAGCAGACGAATTTTCTCTTTTTTTTAAATAATAATTATTATTATTTTTTAAAATCTTGTTTGTCTCAGATTCTTCGGTTGAGCGAGCGGGGAGGGAAAAATAAAGTTAGAAGACTTGGAGATACTACGTCGTAGTGTCGTTTTCATATTGGATTTTGGTTTTTTGAGAGAATTAAGCGGGGCGGCGGAGTTGGGCGAGTCGGTGGAAGAGACACGCGAGTTAAACGCGTCATGCCAGCAATTGTCTTAATCGGACAAAAGAAAAATATAGAGATGCACGCGCCACCGAAGAGCAAATGAACTTCTAGAAGAGGTGGAGGAAACTTCTTAGTACCCACTCCCTCGATTTCTAACTGACCAAATGAGTGATTGATTTAAATTTATTTACCTGTCTTGGAAGAAATGGACAAGAGCTGTTTCTGCAGGTGAAATTTCGTCGGTTGATGTCAGTTAATTTAACTAACCTAGGATCACGGGTTTTGTCTTTAGACAGACAGTTGTTTCCCCCGAGAGAGAGACAGAGACTAGAATAAAAGGTGGCAAACAAGTTTCTTCGTAGTTTCTTTCATCGATTTGTGTTGTCATTGGATTCATGAATAAGAACAGTAATAGATAATAAATAGAAAGGATATATTTTATGATTTGATTTATTTATATTGAATATGGTAAAGATAATAACGGATCGATTTAGAAAAAAATTTTGTTTGTATTCAATTTAATTTGATTTTATATCTATAAAATTTAAATTTAATTTGATTTAAAAATTTTTTATTTTTTTTATATTTAAATTTGATTTAATTTAATATTATATAAATTATATTCGATCTGATTTAATTAAAAAATAATAAATTATTTTTTAAATATAATTTTTTAATGTAAAATATTAATTTTAAATATAAAAAATTATTTTTAATATAAATATAAAATTAAATTTATATATTAATATATATAAATAAATAAATATAATTATTTATATATATCGAATCGGATCAAGTTTACTTAAAATTCAACTCTGACTCGATCTTTATTTTTTTTTATTATTATCCAACTAGATACGAAATTCAATTTTTTAAAAAAATTAAAAAAAACATATCTTATGATATTAGTTTAGATCGAAATCCATCAAAACGAGTTGGGCTATCAACCTTAAATATAGATAATTATAAATAATTAATTAATGAATTTAAATAAAAAATTTATTACTTGTAATAAATTTGAATAAGATAATATTAGTTAGATATTTAATATTTAAATTCATTTAAATTTTATTAAATAATTAAAAATATTTAAATTTGTATCTGAATTCATTTTTCGTTTTATATATGTATAATATGTAAAATTTTATATTTATGAAAAGCTTCAAATCTTAACAAAAAAATATTTAATTTTAAATTTAATTTTATATTTTTAATTTTTAAAAATTTTTAAAAATAATATTTTAATAAATTCAAATATTTAAACAAATAATATTTATTTAAATAAATTCAAATTTAGATAATAATATTAAATTTAAACGAATATTTAAATAAATTTAAATAAAAAATAATATATATTCACTTGATTGCCATCTTTATTCATAAATGCAATTGTATGAAAAACATGACAATATAAATTACGGTAGCATTAGGCATCCAATAAAATAACATAATAATACTTTTTTTTTCTATTGTTAGAGATTAAATTTAATAATTCATATTAAAAATTGATTATCATATTTTTCTTTTTACTTACGATTCATATTAAACGTTGAATATCATTTTTTTTTTACTTATGAAAATCAATTAAATATAACTCTTTATAATCTCAATATTTTAATAAAAAATTTGAAAACGAAAATACATTTACTCATTCATATAAATATAATTAACAAAAATCGTAATAATATAATCATCATATTAGAGAAGAAATGAAAATTTGAACTCTATGCTAAAAAAATATATTTTTCTTTTATTTTCTTTTTTTTTTTAATTTGTCTTTTGTTAGCATTGTTTAATAAGTTAATATTAAAAGAAAAAAGATAGAAATATAGAAAGAGCAAGTTGTCTGAACAATGAGACCCAGAGTCTCTGAAAAGAGCAGAAAAATATCTGAAGCCCAAATCTAATGTCTCAAACATGTCGGTTAAGGCCCATCAGTCTCTAACCCGATCCAATCCATTTAAATCGATTTTCTTTTATTTTCTTAAAAAAAATTAAAAAAAGGAACCCGAAGCTGGAAGCAATGATAAACGAGCGCAGCAAAACATACAAGAAAAGAAAAGGATCGCAGCAAGAACTCATTGGAAACCCAAAGAACCGTTTTTTATTATCATTTTAATGTATATTTTTTGCATATAAATACATAATCATTGCAATTTCAGTTATTTCTAAATACATCTGCCTAAGGTATTTTCTTATCCTAATTTCAGCAAGTTTATTTTTATTTTTTTTGTGGTTAATTAATTGTTCGGTGGATTTTGGAGATGAAAAAGTTGAAATCTTTTCAATGTGAAAATTTTAGGTTTTTTCTTACCTGATATAGGAAATCAAATGGGAGTGAAGGTGCAGCACTGATGTCACTGTTCTGGATTGCAATTCGTCAACTAGCTGAAATCGAAGAACAAATGGTATCTTTCTTCTGCTTTTATTAATTTTATTTGGTCATTGGGGATAATTTGATCGTTGATTTTTACTCTTTTAAGAATTTGGGTGTTGTTTGAAACAATGAAATCTTTAACCTTGATTAAGGGAAATTCAACTTTTAGCAGCATTTCATTTGTATTGAAGTATGCATGAGAGACATGATAGATTGCCTTTTAATGGAATTTTGAAGGCATTAGAGTATAAGTTTAATGAATGGAGTGTGTTTATGTTTCAAATTGTTTCGTTGACAGGCTACGTCGAAGAAAGTGATTACAAGGGAAGAGTGGGAAAAGAGATTGAATGATATTAAAATCAGGAAAGAAGACATGAATAAATTGGTGATGAATTTTCTTGTTACTGAGGGTTATGTTGAAGCAGCCGAAAAATTCCGGATTGAATCTGGAGCTGAGCGTATCCTACAAAGAAAACAAATGCTTACTCTTGTGCTCTTTTATTAGTGTTCTTAAAGTATACGTTTTATTTTCCTTATTGCAGAATAGCAGATATTGATCTTGCAACAATCACGGATCGCATGGCTGTTAAAAGGGCTGTACAATGTGGAAATGTTGAGGATGCTATTGAGAAAGTTAATGATTTAAATCCTGAGGTAGGATGTTTGATTATAATGTGATGAGTTCTCTAACTACTAAATTCTGTTGATTACTTATAATGTTAAACTAATAAGTTACTTTTTCAAATGAACACATGATCTGTTTCATATTATTGATTCGTTGTTACTATACATCTTTCCTTCCAGTAGTCTCTATGAAAATCTAAATTTTTCATAAGAATTTAATGGAAGAAGTAATAATGTCCAATTTTGTACTAACAAGAATGAGCTAAAATATTTTTACATTCCATGATATCTTGTTTCAGCCAGAGCTAGATCAACTGTTAGAAAATCCATTATTAGGATCTTGTTGTACTTCTAGAGAGAGTTGTTTTTCTTAATTTTCTGTCATCGACAATAGTATCGAGAGAAGTTGGGTGTTAAAAAGGGGCACCCTTTTGCTTAACTTTTTTGATTTGAAATACTAATCCCATATTTAGTGGTGTTTAAGTAAATTTGGAAATCTGTCAATTAAGGGTAGAGGAATTCTTTTCAGATATGAAGAATTTCTGATACATGCTGTAAAAGAAAAATAATGTCATACTATTCTTTTGAAACTGTCTTCAATTTTGAAATTTATTTTTTTCCAGATACTGGATACAAATCCCCAACTCTTTTTCCATCTCCAACAGCAGAGATTGATAGAATTGATTCGGAATGGAAAAGTAGAAGAAGCCCTGGAATTTGCTCAGGAGGAGCTTGCACCTAGGGGAGAAGAAAATGTAACTCTTCTTCATTAATGCATTAGAACTTATGCTTGCTTATTTTACTTCTTAACATTTTGTACATGTAACCAGCATTTATTTGTTGTAGATAATACTTGGATCTAAGATGACAACTTTTTCTGCAGCAAAGCTTTTTAGAAGAGTTGGAGAGGACTGTTTCACTTCTGGCTTTTGAAGACGTTTCAAACTGCCCAGTAGGAGAGCTTCTGGACATATCACAGCGTCTTAAGACAGCAAATGAGGTGAATGCAGCCATTCTTACTAGCCAGAGTCATGAAAAAGGTTTGTGTGCTGTCTTTAATATTCTTGATTTATTTACTTTTGGGGAGACTTTTCTAAGTTAGTATACCTAGTCATTAAAGAAGTTTGACCTTCCTGCCTTGGCCCGGCGACATTGTTTAAGAAAGTTACTTGTTACCAACTCTTCTATGCTTTGTCTTAATGTTCTATGGCGATAGGAACTTTTAAATATGATTGTTTACTTCTCTTCTAGATTCCCTTTAAATTTATGGACAAGCCACTTAGTTCTTTACGGGTCTTGCCTTAATACCTGCTTATTGATCAACAATTAAAAAAAAAGAAGAATGCAAATACTTTCTCTGTACCATCATCCTAGATATACTTTACCAATCAATTGGCAATAGGCATGTTATTTTCCATCCTTTCTTTTAATTCTTGCATCAGCAATAATATATTGTTAAGATTTTAGTGGTAAGTGGCAACATTCATGCGGCTTCTGTGCTTTATTGGGTTGTTTGTCCTTCAGCTGAATTCTGTCATTATTAAACCGAATATAGTGCCTGGTATGTACACAGTATACAAGAAAAGGTCAAATAAGCATTCTGTGCTCTTGTGTGATTGAGATGGCATCAATGATTAGATGTATTTGGGTTGCAGAATTTCTCTAATTAGGAGAGCAATGTGCAGCAAATGTCTGCCGTTTTTGGTCCACAGAACTTTTTGATGTTTAACAAGCAAGAAGGATTTCTGTGATTGCCTGTACCATGCCGATTCTTTTGTCAATTCTAACTTTTTATTTATTTAAGTTGATACCATCATGTCCCAGTTTGATTTAAAATTTGAGATTATTTCTTCTGTCTTCAAGACTTATTAAAATTTGCTTAATCTGCAAACTATTGGAGGTCAGACCCAAAGCTTCCAAGCTTGCTAAAGATGCTGATATGGGCTCAAAATCAACTGGATGAGAAAGCAGCATATCCTCGCATAAATGATCTATCAAATGCCACACTTGAAGATCCTGCTGTTTGAAAGGTTTGCAAGTCATTGTGGACGAATCAAGTTGCTTTGGATTAACCAGAGGTAGAGCTGAATGGAATGAAGTGATTATGCTTGTAACCTCTACACAGGGACTGTAGCTTGAAATTTGTTGGATGTCATTTGTTAAGATGTGGTTAGAAGAATTTAGTTGCCTTTGGTTGGTGTTTACTTTGTTCTTAGGTTAAGTCAGTGCCCTTGTACAATTGACAATCATGCGTTTATCCTTGGAATGGGATTTCCAACAACAAAATAGAAAAAGCTCAAAGCTTTGCTGTTATTGCTGTGTTTACTGAAACTTTCTCCTTTCAGTTATGTCCATATTCAAGCTCTTCTATCTCATTGACGTTGTCAATCGAAATCAAGCATAATCACCAGATATGGTGCAAATAGCCAGCTCAGCGGCCAGGCAGCAAATATAAATCAACATGTCCATCTATGGTTATTGTACAAATGCCAGTATTGCATGCGAATTTGTTACCACGAAAATCTGCCATAGAGACTGCAAAAGAACAAGGAAAACGAACGAAAATACAAATTATTGAAAGAGCAAATCTTCACTCCAAACCACATGTCTAATGTCTACCAACGGAAAACCATAGCTCCAAGCTGTACTCTTCTGCTTTCTATAAAACAGACTGAACAAAAGAGAGAATATAAAAACCTAAAGATTGATTTATGATTTGACCCAAAGGACATAAACCCACATGATATTCTTACAGTCTGAACAATCCTGAAATCGAGCAAGTTCCATTGTATTTGCTCCTACACCCGAATGGCAACAACCATCATCAAAATTGAGAGCGTAACTGGAAGGATCATATTGAAACTTGAAATGCTGTTTGCTCTTACTCTTCACAGCTTTCTTCAATGCTGCCTTCGCTCTGCAAAAAAGACTTCTGCATTGCTTCTTACCATAACTATTCACCCATTCCAACCAACCGATATATGCTCCCATTTTTTCTCTTATTGGAAGCAAAACTCAATGACCCTCTAGGCTAAAGTGTACAGACAAATGAGGAGAAAGAGCAAGACAGTAGGGTGTTTGTAACGGGGATGGTTTGCAATCCAATTTTATGATGCAGAAGAATCAAAGAACAACAAAGACAACAAAGAAAGACCTCAAAACTATTGAGTAGGAGAGTTGAGATAAACAGAAAAGAAGAAATGAGGAAAAGAAATATGATAGTGGTGCTGACTACAGACTACGGACTACAGAGTGTAATCTTTTTGGTCTTTCGAAGAAGCTGCGCCTACGCAGCTTCACTTGCAGTCTCAACAGCAACACTGCTTTTCTTGGTATTACATTGGGATGCTAAAATTCCATCCAAAAGTGAGAGAGAAAGAGAAAAAAAAAGGATACAGTGGGTAGAGAACCTACCTATGGTCGTAGTATCACCATCAGATACGTTTGCTTTGTATCGAGAGGCATCTTTGATTCAACTACCTCCTCAGTTCTCAGTCCCTCTCAACTTTGTTTATTAATCTTTTGAGCTCTGTCAAGTTTCTTGAGGTCCCCTCTTAACTTTTACTCAACCTCAGCTACAAGTGACAACTTACAGTAGATTTTTTTGTTTATAGAATTTTGTAGTGTACTATATTTGTTGCATCTTCAAACTTAAAATTTTGTTTTTATAAATCCGGAGCCATAGTTGCTGCATGATCAAAGTCTGGGTTCAGATCCCAATACCTTCCGTCATCAAATATGCTTCTCCATGGCCTGGCAATGGGCCAATGGCCATTGGTTAAAGAGTGTTGCAGCCAGTTTAATTGTAAATGGAATGCAACTTGGTTTACCACCTCGTAAAATCACACAACGGCCTTGGCTCTTAATGGACCCCAAAGCCTCATGTCCGGCGCCTTTCATATCAAGCACACACCAAACGCACTCAAAAACAGTTCCAAAGGTGAACAAAGCAGCGATGCAACTCTACAGTGATCAATCAAAATCACAGTATCCATTTTAGTGTTTTCCGGCCCTAGAAGCTTATGGCTATGTGGCTGTTTTGCATAATCTACTTCACTTCTACTTCTCTCTTGTTGTCTTCATCTTCAAAGCCATTTTGCTTTTACATGTTCTCAGTGAATTCCCATTTGTCTCATTCAACTCCACTCCCAATTTAATGTTTTTTCCTTTTTTTTTTTTTTTCTGCCATAGCTTCTTGTGGAAATTGCTGCTCCCATGTCAGATGACAGGTCATTTCAAGCCAACAGGGCAATCTTTGTCCCAAGTTTTGGCACCAATCCCCCTCTAGAAACTGTTCCATTTCCTGGTTATATGCTTATGCACATTACTATTGTCTTGAATTTTGAAATGTCTGGTTTTGGTCACATGGCATATCTGCAAGCAGGTCCATGTTATCAACTGGAAATTTGTCAGACTTACCCTAAGGGACCCAAACTGGAAATTTGTCCACAGGATTGAACAGTCCATTGATTTTGACAAAACTGCATTAGTAGTTTGATTTGTCACAATTTGCATGCCGTGGTTGCTGTTGCCTTAAACAGCAACAAAGGTAAAAACAAAGCCCAATGTTCTCACTCCTCAAATCCATATTTACAGATAAAAAGCAGATAAAAGATACTCTTATTAGTTAGTATCAGATATAAGATCGGATTTCAGGAGCATGTCATCAATATATAAAAGAATTTTAATCACTTTATTGGCATGAAGTAAAGGACATTTCTTGATAACCACACCCAACTCCTAGAACAGAGTTTATGCTGGCTTAATGAGAGCCAAAAAGTGTGAGATTCCAGATGTTGTATCATGCAGCAGTATGTCATATGGATTTGCTCCCTATTCCTTTTTTGAGTTCTTTTTTACTATCATAAGTGTGGTTCCAAAGCGTATGCTACCTCTTACTATTGATCACTTGAAATATGGAATTTCAAGGATTTCTTTTTCCATAAACTTTTGGGGTATAGCAGAGCTAACTCTCTCTTTCCTTTCCCTCATCTTTTGGATTAGAGCAATGGGCTGCTGCCACTGTCACGGTAATTTCTTGTTTTATTCTTTCTGGTAAGCATAAAAATATGTGGGAAATACATGATAACTTTAAATCATACTGGAGAATGTTGATATTGACTAAAATTAATACTAAAATAATTGATGCTGTCGTTGTTTCAGAAAGGGATTAACAAGGTTGAAGTCGTTGACTCAACTACTTCTATGAAACTTGGAAGCGTAGAAACCTTCGTCGCAAACTCACAATGGCCCCCTCAGCGTCATGTTGTTAATTCGAAGTCATAGAGAACTACGGAGATCTTCCGGCACATAACAATCAATGCAACATACAAGTGTCACAGATTTAAGGGATTTAAGGGGAAGTCTCAAATTTCACTTCAAACATAAAAAGAAGGTTATTAGGGTATAAAAATATTCACATTATTTTTTTTTTTGCGAAAGGCTTTTAGTATGATAAAATCATGAGATCAAAGGACTAGGTGGATAATATCTTAGAAGAGTATGAATCGTGACGGTCAAGCTAATATGAGATATCAGATGGTGGATATCCGGATCTTGAAACCGCGCGGGTCAAAGCTTAAGTCTTGACGCTTGATAAGTGGTATCAGAGTCAACCTTAAATCATTCGATCAACGTCAAGCACCTCGAGTGAAGTAGATAAAGTGATCTGCCTCCATGATGAAGGCTTCACAAGGTTAGATAGGGAGAATGTCACATATCTTAAAGAATAGTCATGAATTCTACATCAGACATAAAAAGAGAATCACTGAGGTATAAAAAGGTTCACATCATTTTTTTAATGTGAGACTTATTTTGTAAGACAAAACAGTGAGGTCATGGGTTAGAGCGGACAATAACTCATAAAAGTGTGAACTATAACGATCAGATTGATCTGAGATGTGTGAACTGTGACGATCAAACTGATCTGAAATGCTAGATCAAAGGGTTAAAGCGAATAATACCTCATAATGGTGTAAACCGTGATGATCAGACTAATTTGAGATGTCGAATGAATGGATGTCCAAATCTCGAAACTGTACAGATCGAAACTTAAATATTGATCCATGATATAAGAACCTACAAAAAAACCTATCAAATGTTTGATCACAACATGATCAAGAAAGTCCCTAGAGAGCATCTCCCTGCTTGGATGCTACGCACCCTCGACGCTCACTTCTTAGTCGATGCCTACATACTCCCAATTCTTATAGTGTTATTCGCCGTACTTTTTTCCTATATCTAGCTCAAGTCTTTACATTAAACCTCCCATTTGATATTGAAACAAACCATAGGAACCCGCTTAGGCCTATCACCTTCCCCTACTCCTTCAATGGGTTCACTCCCTGCCCCGCAACGACTCGTACCATCATCGCCACCACCACCATCACCTGATTCAACCCTTCTCATTGTCGAATTTTCGTGGCTTTTTGTCAAAAGATGCGGGGCCTAAATGCTGACATTTTTAACTGTATGCGGTGTTATAATCCCTCTAACAACACATGGAGTCAAGTCAGCTTAATTCCAAACCTACTTGAAAACCATGTTTTGAAGGGTTTTGCTATGTTTTCGCTAGGAGTGTCTATTTACACCATTGGTTGGGAGGTTATGCATAAAGGGAGACCTCAAAATTCAAGTGAATCCGATGAATTTGTTGATGTTGGTGTGGCAAGTGCCACCTACAGTACTTCGATACATGTTAGTTGGACCAATGGTCCAAATGTTCACCATTAGGCATACCACTATACGATTTTGCTTATGCAGTTTGTGACAATAAGATTTATGTGGCAGGAGGGAAGTCCAATTTGGCTAGTGCTCGAGGAATTTCATCGGCTGAGGTGTATGATCCTACTCTTGACGAATGGATTCCATTTCCTAGCATGAGCACTTTGAGATACAAATGCGTTGGGGTTACATGGAAAGGGAAAATCTACGCGGTGGGTGGTTTTGCAGAAAGAGTTGATTCGGATCAAAACATGCTGACATTTTCCCCACGGCGTAGCTCTGCTGAGGGTTTCGACACCCAAGCATGGGGATGGGACCTCGTGGGGATGTGGCAGCTGGATATCCCACCCAACCAAATTGTTGCAGTGGATTGAAAGTTGTTCAGCTCCGGGGATTGTCTCAAGCCCTGGAAAGGTCACAGGTCTACGATAATGAACTCAACATGTGGGATGAAGTGGATGGATCTTGTTTGCAAACTCTTAATTCACCAATGGAACGGCTTTACTTGACAACGGCACCAATCGGAACCCATTTATACTCCTTGGCAGGGTATCGGATGGCTGGTGAATCATCACGAACACTTTCAATGGTTTATAAATTTGACACATTGGCAACTGTTGATGCATGGAAGAGATTAGAGCCAATGGAGGAAGAAGGCGAAAAAGAGCTATGCTGTCATTGTTGTGTACTTCAACTCTAATAAGCCCAGTAACTGATAAAAAGTTCTTGCCTTTGTTGAATGGTGAACTAGTTTGTCTAAGTAGCATATGATTTAACAAATAAGAAAAATCATGTAAAAAACATTTCCCTCTCATAATGAAAGTTCTTGAATTGCTTAAAAGATTCAATGTTACTGTAATTGCTTAAAATTTCTGCTATTCCAATCAAATTATAAGATTTAAATTAATCTAATGTGATTAGTCAAATTAACATAATGCTAGGTTGAGTTTGATTCTTTCACCTTTGCTACTTTATGATTAAATTGGTGAACTTATCAAATGTCAATAAAAATAATATAAATTGAATTTAAAGTTTAATTCAATGATTTATGTAATTATTTTTAAAAATATATTTATCAAATTTTTATATTTTTATTTTTATATTGCGATATTTTTTATAAAATATAATATAGATTTTTGAAAAAAATATATATATATATATATGATTATGTTAATTTTTAGACATAACCAAAATTAAAAATAAGCTAATGATTAAGAATGATAATCATTCAGATCAAATTTGGTTCAATTTTATCAGATAATACATAATCTTATAAATTTTTAAAATTTGATTTGAATTTGAATTTGAATTTTCTTGTAAAATCAATTTGATCTTAATAAAATTTTATCGATTTAGTTTATCGATTTTTAATTTTTTAATTTTTTATACAATTATTTTAATAAAAATTTAAATAATATTTAAATAAATTTATATATATAATAATTATTTTTATTTTATAAAAATTTAAAATATATAAAATTAATAAAAATATATAATTTAATTTGATTTATTTTTTTCAATTTTTTATATGTTGATTCAAATTTAATATATATTTAATATCTAATTTTAATTTAAATTAAATAAAAAATTAATTCAAATCAAATTAAATCCTATAATTTCAAATTGATTTTCCTTTTTTTTTTCTCATCCCTCACCGATATCATATATAAAATGAAAAAAAAAATTCCACCGAAATGAAAAGCCCAAATGGTCAAGATATTCTATATGAAGCAAATGCAAAAAGGGAAGGAGTTGGGTCAATTGAAAATTAGCCATAGGCCTACAAACCTCAAAAAGAAAGAGCCCAATCCCAAGCTATCAAGTAGTCAAGATTAACGAATGTCAGATGACCAAGCTTTCACTGCCCTCAAAAGAAGAGAAAGTACACCAAAACTCAGGCCAATAAAAGCACGTAAAAGATCCTTTCACGTGAGCCCTGAGCTCGGCACTCAGCAGCCTCAGCCAAGCTTAGCACGAGCCACCATGCACCCTCCTGACCATGACGCGTTTTATCCCATGGGTCAAGACAATCTGACAAAGAAGCCCCCATGTAGCCAGTACCCTTGCTTACTTTGGTCAATTTCTACACCTGGACACGCTATCACACTTGCGATGGTACAGTACACTGGAGACATAATTGTAAGCAATGTTTGACTCATTTGACTTTGACTCCTATTAACTTCAATATCAACGGCCAAGATGCAATAGAATGTAACAAGTGATCTGGACCGTTAAAATAAGGGACAATCTCGAGCATTTAGATGTCCAGATGTTGGTTAGAGCCTGAAAAGGCAGACAGTAGAAGCCTGATGTGTCGGATGTGTTAAGAGAAAGAGAGATAGAGAGAGGCTTTTGCTTAGGCAAAATTTATTCTTTATGAATACCATTCTCCAAGTAAGAGTATGTTTTTAAGGACCGACCCTGTATGCCATGTGGCAAATGAGGAAGAAGATGAACTTGGGAGTAGGTCAGGGCAGATGTGGGGACCATGGGGGTCGGTTGGTCTAAGCCTTAAGGAGATTCGGGTGGGGGAGGGGGGACAAGGGCACAGACCCCGACATGACGCATGTGGAGGATTAATGAAATTCGGTTCGTAAATGGGGTCTCATGGGACTATCAGGCTAATAATGATTTAGGGAGCGGCCCTGCGCCTACTGTGCGGTGAAGGTGCCACTGCACCTTCCCCTATTCGGCAGATGCCAATAGCACATTGTTTTTGGCCATTGGCTAATGGGTATGCCCCCTAATAAATTGGCATGTTTACAACATGGGACTCACCTATTTGCATCATCTCATCAACTGAAGCAATTGTTTTTGGTTATTAAAAGGCTTGAAAACAAGCAAATCATCATCTGATTGGATAGAACATGGAAGGCATGCAATGCAATTGAAATTTAGTTTGGTTGCCAATCTCTTGGTTAGCAAGCTCAGCCACCAAGAAGGAGCAGTGGGCCAATGATGTGAATGCCACGTTGGACACAAAAAAGGCTACGTCGGATGCCACATAATTATAGCACAATTTCACAAAGCCTGCAGGGTCTACTTTTCTGAGTTGCCCTTTTCAAGAATGAAGAAGAAAGAAAGAAACAGATGATACTTTTGTTGTCACGATCTTATATCAGTTCCCACGTTGTCACCTGTTGCCCTTTTCTCTCTCTCTCTCTCTCTCTTTCTCTCATTTTCTTTCTGTCCGTATCACTGCAGTTCTTCAACATAATTTCACAAATACCCCCAATGCACTTTCCGGCAGAGTAATGGAGATATACTTTAGTAATTTAAATGGGTTGGCCCCCCTGAAATGAAACAAACTAAACAAGAGAAAAGGCAAAATTTTTGGGAGCTGGCAATGGCCCATGACATAGCTCAATGTTTTAATCTGTCTGCAAAACCTATAATAATCATTTGATGGAGTTACTGTTGAAGGGGAAAATGGAAAAGAAAAAGATACTCATTTGCTATGGATCTGCTAGACATTTTCATGGTTTGGTAGCAACTCTAGATGAGGGCAGCTCAAAAGTCTTTTAACCTTGCATGTTGGGTGTCCTACTTTCCAATTAAAGAGGTTGAATTGATAAAAAAGTTAGGCATGATTGTGAAACTGGCTATATAAAGTGGCGCAAAGCTGGTGGAATTATTAGGATAGAAAAGAATGCATAATTGACCAATATTTTGATCAAAGCATTCTGCGTCTTAAACATGAAATCTGTCATAAAATTAGTAGCAAGAGAGAGAGAGAGAGAGAGAGAGAGAGAGAGAGAGAGGAGGGGAATGGAAGTTCTTTTTTCCTTTTCTTTTTTTGTGGATAACAATTCAAGACAGGTGACTAATCATACTATAAATCACATCCCAAAAGAAAATTTGATCTAAAAAATTTTTTATATGATTGAAAAGTAATAGACTTAGTCAAATGGTATTAAATGGAAGTAAAATGTAAACTTGTTGCATAGTTACAAAGGATCCAGTTGCAAACAGTGTCTCTGTTCAAACCACTTCCATGGACATACAGCAATGCTGACTGCTGAGTGCTGGGGCATCAATTTTTAACTGCTGCACTGTAATTTCTGAACCCTGTCCAACTTAAAGCAAAGGACAAAACTCCCTAGTCTTGGACCTTGATTGCATGAAGGCCGAACATGAGAAGTCAAATTTCAACGCTTAAATAATAAAAACTTTAATTTCCAAATACCCAGAAATTTGTTTGTTCCACCAACGATTAAAAAAAATATTACAAAAGTAATGGAAAAGCTATCCAAATTCCCAAGTTCTCTTTTTCACCCCCAGGTCACCTACACATGCTTCACTCTTTCTCTGTCTGTCTTTCTCTCTCTCTTGCAACCCCCAAAGCTAACCAGTTTAAGTACTCCAAGAAGCTTCGATTCTGGTGTAAAAGCCTTGAGTACTTCCATAACTTCAACACCATCAAAACTCAAAATTCTTTCTCTCTCTCATGAAGAGCTACGTGCTGAGAGTTGAATAAGAGCTAAAACTTCTTTCGTTCTTTTTTTTTTTTCACTGCTGAAAAATGGGACAAGAAGAAAGCTACTTCTATGGTTGGCCACCGGTAGGAGCTCCATTGAATGTACAAAGAGAGGACCACTGGAGACATTTTGACAACTCTGTCAATGCGGTGTCATTTGGTTTTGTTGCTACTGCCATTCTCATCTCCATGTTCTTAGTCATGGCTATCTTTGAACGCTTTCTTAGACCCAACTCTTCCCCTAGTGGCCGTAACCATGTTGACCTTGAATCTCAGCTTAATTTCAATGGCAAGCTCAGCCACCCATCACCAAAAGTGAGTCACCCTTTTTTTTTTTCCATATCTGGGATTTCTTTAATTTTGGTCGAAGCTACATTTTTTGTTTGAATTTGATTGTTTAGCATGATGTTCTGGGGATTAAAATTGGTTACTTTATCACATGGCTACTGTTGCGTAATCCGAGGATAAAAGGAAAATTGTTTCCTTCTGTTTTGACAGTTTGGGGTGGTTTATTTTCGTTTAGGAAAACAGTAGTAATTATTATCTGATCTGACATAAATCTTCCCTACATACATTTTGCATAGCAACAAAATCCTTGCATTTGGCTCAAGTTAAAAATTTGTTTGCTTTGTCAGTGACGTACATTTCTTCACATTCTTTTCTTTAGGGAAAATAGAATGTGGACATTATTTTTTCTTCCTGCTAGCTTTGTCTAAGCTCAATATTTAAGCTTTCTCTTTTAAGTTTGTTCCTCTTTTCCTCTGTCTGTTTCATTTCCCGTGACGCCCATTTTCCATGAATACTATTTCTTATCAACTGTAGCCTTGGCCCCTCTTTTTGACTTGGGGACCCTCCCTTCTCCCTTGAACTAGTCATCTACTGAATATACTTTCGGGTAATGTGTTCTCTCTTATGTGCAAGTGCTAACTGTTTCAAACAATTATATTGGTCAGTCATTTCTTCTTTTTATCTATAAAGCTAGCTAATGAGAGCTTAGTTTTCTGTCAATTTAGTGCCTCATGACATAAAGCATATCCGTTGCTTAATTTTTCTTTCTTTCCTGCTATTGAAAATTTGCATCTTTTAATCAAAAGAGTGATCCTTTATGGAGCTGTCAACTGTCTGTCTTTGTATTCATGATCGTCTAGGCAATGGGCCATCTTAAGAAGTGAGGGGTAAGCTGAAGTTGAACAGTTAGTCTCAGACCAAAGAGTCTAACAAATAGATGTAATTTTTTGTGTTTAGACCCACCATTTTACATGTTGGTCACCGGACATGCCAGTGTCATTCTGATGCTGCCCACGGCCAGTACCTCGAATATGGAACATGTGGTCAACCTTGGTGGACATGCTTCACTTGATTGTCTTCAGTGCTTAATGTGCACTATGTTAACTTCATTATGATAATTGACCCATGGATTCTGTGGAAAATGGGATTATGCGTGATGCACTTTCAGTATTGGAGATGATAAGGCGATTTAGATGACCTATTAATGTGCACTCTGTTAAACTTCATTATGATACTTGACCCATGGATTCCGTGGATAATGAGATTATGCGTGATGCACTTTCAGTATGGGAGATAATAAGGCAATTTAGGTGAACTATCTTAGTTTAGGATAATTTTTTCCAAAGGTATCCTTGGAGCGGTCCTGCATCATGCCACACATGACATCTGTAGTCTACTCAACCGTGTTCCATGGCTTTTGATGTAGACGGAAGGCCCACCTATCTACTATTCCAAACCTATTTTCCAATTTCAGGGGTTATAATTCTGTGGGGTAGCGCATATAAATGGAGTTTTACCTAAGTGATGCAATGCTTGTTACTGATCTCTCTGCTGTGAAGTTGTGTTTAACTGGCAGGTTCAAAACCTTCTAAATGGTTCAATCTAGCCAACTGTGGCATATTGGAATGTTAATGGAGTCCTGCTGGTGAGAAGTCTAAATCAATTCACACCAGACACCTGATTTTGTGTTAAGGACCCATGTTCGTCCCCTGGCATCTTGAGACATAATGTCCCAGGTAGAGTTTTGAGTGGCATCTGTGGAGGGGTCATTGAAATTGTTTTGTTGAGGGTTGGAAGTTAATAGTTAGTTGCATTTGCGGGCCAACTCTTTTAGGATACTGCCTCTATATCAACAAACAAGATACATTGTAGTTGATGCGAGCAACTTGTCCTGCTTAATGGTATTTCTGAAAATGCATTCTATAACTATTGTGTAGAAACAGATGATATGTAGGGCCATAACATAATGTGCAATTAATTATCAAACTTTTTGTCAAATTATGAGTCAATTTGTGATAGAGAGGAACTTGATAAGCAATTTACAAGTCACTTGCTGTTTCAACTTTCAATGCAAACCTCGCATGGGATTCTGAGACTGAAAATTGTTATTTCATTATCTGAATTGACTCCTTATTTATGTTGTGATAAATTTTTTTACCAGGGTAATAAATAATGCCTCTCAAGCTATCTCTGCTTTATGATTGTCACCACATATTTTTCTCTCAGTACCATCGGTTATATGATACTTTTATAACCTGCAATGTTAGTGCATGTGTTGATTTTCGAGATAATATTGGGACCTCTTCTACTAAGTTGATAATAAAAGGTTAAGCCAAGGATTGCAACATGTTACGCTACCAAAAGATGGGAACTTACGATAACTATTTTTATTTTTGGCTTTTTATTTTATTTTATTTTATTTATGTGAAGTACATAGATTGCTCTCTTCTACATTCTTATAGTCTTATGTTTGATGCGGTCTAATACAATTAACTACATTTTGTAGTTCTGCTATTATCTAAGGTGATTAAAACATCAAATCTGCATTATTAGGAGTTTGGGTTTTGTCTACTTGTTGCTCATTCTTCTATATGTTTGTTTTTCTTAAAGGTGAGAGGTGATATGCTACATTTGTTTCATATCACAACAACTAGGTAGGTCTTTGGTTTGTGACTGTGATGTAGTAACCTCCATGCTTCTTTAACAAGGATGCTTGCCTAGAAGCTATCAACTAGGTGGTCTTATTCAGTGTCCTTAATTAAGAAGCCATTATCGGTGTTTGTGCTGTTAATACTGCCCTCATTTAAGCCCATAAAAAGTTCCCTTCTTCGACTTTGGATTTATTCATTTCTAACTTTAGAAACTAGATTGTTTTACTCTCTCCTATTTGGATCTCCATACTGCTCAAGATGATTCAGTTGAGGCTGAGGTCATGCATTATTACATTTTCCCTATTCCAGGATAAACTTTTCCACTTATTCTTTGTGCATGATTTTAATGGTTCCCTATACTTATTCTTTTGATGTTGTTATGAGTAACTTCTTTTTTATAATTCCCCTGAAATTATTGTTTCTTTTCTACACTAGAGCTATCATATCAAAAGTTTGAAACTTCTTTAGAAATTTCAACGAGTCCATATAAGGACTTTGATTGATGTGCTGATGGGCTGATCTGCTTTTGAGCATTGGCAAGGTGACCTACAATTCACCCATCCCAAGTTGCATCCTTGACATTTGTTGTGTTTGTTGCTTTTGCATTAGTAGCAGTTACTGCTTCTCTTATATATGATTTTTCAATAAAACTATTGCAGAGCATTTCATTTGGTTTTGTTAAAAGTGGATTTGGGTTTGATTCTTTTCCTTAAAGTGTTTTAGTTCTAGGAATTATGAAAAATAATGCTCTTTTAATTTCCTAGCAAACATTCATATAAAGGTAATTTACTTTGTGCAGATGACGATATACACCAGTGGAGTTTCAGTATTAATGCCTGGGGATGAGATTCCTACCTTCATTGCACATCCAGCTCCTGTTCCCCGTCTCCCTGAAAGCCCTTCATTGCCTCAGCATGAACACAACTCATCAGCCAATCCTTACTCAAACTCCGGGTAAACATTAATGCAACTTCAGTAGGAGAAAACTTAAATTTAGAAATCCCACCGCACATGCTACATCAAACAATGATCATGAATTCATGATGACTCTCCAGCAGGAGGTTTTCTCTGTCTATGAACAAGCAAGACCGTCTAGTCTGGATCAGAGTTACCCCTATTTCGCTTCTCAGCCATAAGATCCTTATATTCTGTACATAGCACAGTTTTTGGTGGGCTGGCAAGCTTTGTCAAATACATAAATTACCTTGCTGTCAATTTCCTCCGATGCATGTTTAAAATTTCTTGAACTAGTGACTTGGATCCTGAAGCTGGTTTTGATAATGGATCATTTTACATGTAAAAATTTGAGATATGGAAAGAAGTATCAAGCGCAACTTGTTACAGATGGGATGAAAATTAATAATATAAAACAATGAATTTGAACTTCCATTTCCATTACACCTTGTTCCGCCAAATTTTGTTGTTGAAAATGAGATTGTGATGATCCATTTAGGACGGGTTCTGGCAAAGGAATTTCACATCCATGGACTGTTTCTATGAAAACAGGAATTCACAAAAGGTTTGATGCTTGAACTATCCGATGAGTTTGCTTTGTTGAGAGTTGACAATAAGGAGCGGCACTTGTGCCCAACTATATGTCAGTTATCCGATTGTGAACCCTATCAGTTTCTTGCATTTTTCCTAATCAGAGTCTCTTTCTTTTTACAAGAGACAAGGTCACTGGCTTTTTCTTGTTCTGAGTCCATTTCCATGTTTCATTACGAGTGTTAAAACTTTCAATTTTAACCTCCTGAAATTCATCTAAAACCCATCAAATCTATTGCCTATGGATTCTGGATATATGCTTGATATCTAATTCGTAAACTATATGATGACTAATAAGTAAAATCATCTGGTAGAGTACTATTTGCTTGCATGTCTTTGCTCATCTGTTTCTTGGGCACGCTGTAGCCAAAATAATGATTTGGATAAAGAAACTCTCATGTGTTTCAGAACAGAAGCCTTAAAAAATGGCCGTTGCATGGGATATTTTTGTCTCTCAATCTAAATCTGATATAACAAGCCAATACTGAAAATCTAAAATCCATCCAACTCTAGGGAGGAGAGGCAAAAACATGTCCTCTAGTTGAAAAAGCCAAAGTCCCATGATCATCTTTTCTATTGGAAACAAAATTTAAAGCCATTTGGATGAAATTTCTTGAACTTTTGAACTTTGGGACATTCCACCTTTGTCTTTCCTCAAGAAATGGACAACTATTAAGAAAGAGTCCAAAATAACTGCCCACTCCATTAACGGATTAATATTTAAATATAGCACCACTTCTACTGTCTTTATTCCTTAATCTTTTAACGGCTAAAATATATATATATATATATATATTTCCCTCTCTCCATCCTCCAAATTTTCAATTTGCACCTTCATTTTTTTTTTTGTGTTTTTAATGTAGCATTTATGATCATAGAATATTTGTTTGGGCAACTCTCTATGCTTCTCTTTTGGTTGTACACTACTTTCCTCCATTTAATGTCTGTCCTTTCGGCTTCATAAAGGGGAAAGCGTGACCAAGCATGGGGCACTTTGGCTGTTTCTTTCTGGCAAGAAGAAGTCAGCACGAGAACCCATGCAGAGGCATCCTGTTTAAGGGATTTGCAAATATTGGTTTGCCCCAAAATTGTTAAATAGCTTTGCTCAAGATCCCAGTTTCAAAGGCATAATTGTGTACCTCATTTATCTGATGTAATCCTGAGTAGGGTCTCAAGATCACCTTTAGCGCTTATAGTTAGAGGGATATTCTGCTTTTATTTGAATGTTGGGATTCCATCATGATTAAAGCCTTTGGAAAAAGAAAGAGGGAAAAGGAGCAATGATTTGGTACCGGATTGAATCATTGTTTGCAGAAATGCAACGTTCAACCCTTTTTCCTCAGCAGCAAAGAAGAGTAGAAAATATTACCAGAAAATACAATAGCAAAATAAATAAATGATAATCACAGTCACAGGTCAATTGAAAGGCATTTCCTATCCAAGTATCCAAATTTCCAAATCCACCAATGGCAGACAAGACGAGCCCACACTCTCCTCAGCTCTGAATTCTGAAAAATACCAAACTTAAACACCAAAGTCTACCCTTCCAATCCAACTTCGGATTGACCTTTAACTTAAATCAATATTAACAAACTGAAAAAAGAAGTGAAATTACAAAATGAACTTAAAGTTACATTTCTTCATCTCTAGAGAAAGATGAAACATTCAAGGGAGACAAGAGGATTTTCAAGTGATTCATTTGGAGCACTTGTTGTAGCAACATTATTATTGCTACTTGGCCATTTCCCTTCCATGGCAGTTGTAGTACCATGCTGCTGCTTCTGCTCCACTTTTTTGCTATTACCACACTCCCTCGGGTCACGTCTGACCCTACCAGGAGATTGATTAGTCCTTCTTCCAGATGGGCTCCGACCCCTTACAGTTGTATTCACAGCAGGTGACCTTGACCTCCGCCTTGAACTCTCTCCTGGATCCTTCCTTGGCAGGTCAGTTCTTGACCCCTGTCTAACTGGGGGTTCCCTGCTTTGAACCAACCTCACTGATGATCCCCCATTGACAACCCCATTTTTTCTGCCAGGCGATTGGTCAAGTTTCCGGGTCGGTGACCGACCCACGACCCTGTTCGTTGACCCGGATCTTGCTGGCGATCTCGACACTTTTTGCTGCCTTACTTCTTCTTCATCTCTTCTATCAGTTATGGTTGAAAAGCTTTCATTTAAACTAACACTGCAAATCTCAGAAACATCTTCTGAAGCGGACTCTTCAACGACAGGTGATTTCGGCTCAGTGTTGATGTTAAAATTGAGACATTCCTTTTCTTGGATCTTGACAAAGGCTGGTTTTTCTATCTGGGTTTTCTTCTTCTCTTTTTCTTGTGGGATAAAGATGTGAGCTGTGGGAGCTTTGGCTTTTGGAGTTTCAGACAAAACTTCTTTCACAGTTTCTTCTTCAGCGGAAGGTGGTGGAGCTCTGCTTTCAAGACTTGGTTTTTGCTGAAAAGATTCAAGACCCTGTTGTAAATCAGCTTCCTTTTCACGAGGGGGACCTCTGTTAGTGCTTACACAGCAACCCATTTGAGGAAATAGAAGCTATAGTTTTACTCACAAAAAAGGTGGCTTTGTTGGGTTAAGGTAGAAAACAAAGCTTTCCCTCTTCTTCTCCCGAAGGTTGGAACTTTGGAAACGGTTTGATGTTTCCCGGCTTAGGAAATGGAGAAGACAAGACGAGACAAGAAGTAGGGTGGTTAAAAGGGCATTGAATGTGATGGGGGTGGAGAGCCTATGAAAGGCATTTATTATTCTAACATCAGCTACAGTTGGATAACTTCTTGCTATTTCTGTTCATGACATTCACATTTTTGTTTTTTTTCATGCAAGTCCCTGTGTCTTCTTTATGAATTTTCCTGTTGTTGCTTTTAATATAAGACTACAATGTCTCCTGATTTGTGCAAATATTTAACGAGCGGCGCATGTTCTCGTTATAGGGGGTTTTTGTATGTTTACAGCCGTCGGTACATGTGATTTTGGTGTGAGCTTTTGTTATTTGGATTGTAGTGTATAATCTAATCAGAAAAGGCCGTCGATGGGTCACTATTCTATGAAACTTTTTTTTTTTGGGGGGTGATCTAACGGTGGTGATTGGCAGCACGGTATGGGGTGGTTTACCACGTGGCCTACAAGTTTCATTTGTTTACACGAACATGACCTATTCTTCTTTTTTTTGCTGTGCTACCTGTAATGATTGGGGAACTATACAAGAAAATAAGGTGTGTATGACAATGCAAGTTTTTGGCAGGATCAGAATCAACCAAGTTCATTGTTCAAACCAGGCAGAAGAGGGCCTTTACTGTGAAAAAGAAAAAAACCATGAACAAATTTGGTTTTTTGCACTTTTCCTAGTTGGGAAATTATTGGATTTTGAATCATGACATTAGCTATTAAATTATAGTAGTAATCTAGTATTTTTCAATTCAATTCCTATTGATTTTCAAGTTGATTCAAGATAATATACATTCAAACATTTTTCTGTTTGAATCAGTTTGTATGAATTCAGATAATATGAAGTTCTGAATCTTGACTAAGATCATGTGTGGTCATATGAAAAAATTATATATAATGGAATCTTGACTAACAAATTTGATAGATTCAGCAATATCAGTGTATGCATATATAACCAATGGTTTGAATTTTGCAATAATAATTTTGGTTCAAACAAAGTAACATGACAACCACAAACTTAGAAACAGGTGTCTTTTCATGAGCAGTAAGCACATGTATTTATTTCAGGCTAAATGCTCAGATATCTGGAGGGTTAATAGGAGAGCAAGCCCAAGGCAAGAAAGCAATCAATGGAAGAGAATTTGCAAACAATAAACATAATATTGCATTTATGCAGTGGCCTGGCAGGTAGCAGGAGTGGTAATCAAGTGAAACAATATATAAATAGACACGATTGGAAAATAACCATTCTCCTATCCAATTGCAAGCTATTGAGCGTTGAAAACTAGTCCATATGGATGCAAATTGGTGTTGAGGCAGTCATCGGGATTTGATAGCAAGTGCATAGCTTCTGGGTTTGTTCAAGGCCTCCAGCTCATTTGGGTTTGTTCAGAATCACAACAGATCCATCCCAATCCCAATTACTCTGCAGCCAGCCCATAGCCATGGTTTAGCTATGTTGGTCGAAACGCTAGTTCTGGCTTCCGGGTTGAGGAATGACGCAATATTAAATAGCTATATATATATATATATATATCATTTAGTTGACTCTAAACCCATGTTTTGTTTTTGCTCAAGGTGAGTATATAGGCTTCCATGTCATGTCTCTTTGCTCGTTATGTCTCCATTTTTTTTTATCCCAAAAGCTTCCTTTTCTGCATTTGCGGATGGAGTTGGTAGGGATCAACACCTCAAAGCCTATGCATGTACATAGTATTTATAGTAATTTATCGTAATAATAACTTGAATAATCACATTATTGGTAGAGAATTTTGTTTAATAAAATTTAAATTCATTTAAACTTATGATTATTGTTGTCCAATTCTACACTGGTTTTGATGAAATATCAGCTGGAACAAACGAAAGTCAGCAAATGATGGCCATAATCCATTATATTAAAGCAATGGGGCCTTAATTCCAAATGCTAATGGCACAATCCATGTGGAATCCAAGCAAAACTATCTTAAGTAAATAAACTTTTGCCAAGATATGATAGTTCGTCATGAATTTGAAAAAGTTCTTGAGAACAAAAAAACTTATTTTACAAGTATTTATTTAAAAATAATTCATATTGTTTTTAATATAAAAATATCATAATTTAAAATAATTTTTTTAAATGTTAAATTTTGAATTTTAAAATTTTTAATTATTATATCTTAAAAATAATTATACGAAAAAGTTAAAATAAATTGATTGAATTATGAACCATTTATTTCAATATTTAAAAATTTTCTTAAAAAAAATTAAGTCACAGCTCAGCACTCAGAGTTTACATGCAGCTGATTGGTCGTGGTTACTCTTAAGACAAAATGGAGACAGAAAGAAGTAGGGTAACTTCAGTTGGAGTTCTTATGTAAAAACAAAACTCTCTTCTCTTCAGTCACTCCTCTTTTCTGTACTTTACTAGCTTGCTTTGACACTAATTCTCTTTACCAAAAATCTTCATAGCTTATCTTTTTCATTAATTAAATAAGTTACCTTCATTTATTTTCTTTCCTTCAAATTTTTGTTTACATACATTGCTGGTTCTTTTTTATTGTTTGTTTGCTGGGAAAAGGGAAGATGGAAATGGTATGTGTTGGGTTGTTAAAAGGTCTTTATTAAGCAAGCAAATGGGTTTTGCGAGTTGGGGGATGGTATGTGTTTGGTTGTTGTTGGTTTTGACTGTGCCGTTTTCTGCTGGAATGACTGACCCTCGTGATGGTAAAGTATCTTACCTCAAGTTTGCATTTTTTTTTTTTCAATTTGGTTATTGTTGAATGATGTTGACGCTGTGTTTGGGTGTGGGAAAAGTTTGAGGAAAGGGACAGAAAATACTAGAAAGTGGAGTTCATTAACTTGCATGTTGCTTTGTTTGCTTCTTTTCTTATGGAAAATCAAAAGAAATGTGAATGCTGATAGTTGTAAATTTATGTTCCATTAATGTTCAAAATTCTTTTTTGTTTAGCCCCATTTTCAGTTAGATATATGCATTTTCTGAGCTGTTTCAACTTTCAAGTTCTGATAGAATTGCTGAGCTTATATGATGGTTTTTGCAAGGTTGTATCTACTTTAATTATCCTGCCTACAGTCATTGCAGTTGTTAATTTCAGTCATTGGGTTCAAGTAAATGTCTTTGGAGCATAGTTTTATTGTATTTTAAACTTGTCCAAGTTTTAATTTAAATGTTGGAAATTGGAAGTTTGTCAAAGCAAGTCATGGGAAGCCATTAGTAATTGTTTGTTTTCTGTATGTACCTCAGTTTCAGCAATAAATAGCTTATATACTTCTCTGGGTTCCCCACCTCTCCTTGGGTGGATCCCTGTTGGAGGAGATCCATGCGGGGAAGAATGGCAGGGCGTTTCATGTGTCTTCTCGAATATTACAGAACTGTACATGGATTTTCTTTCCTTTTTGTAGTTTTCCTTATTTTCATCAATAAATTTTGTATCAATGTTTGTTGAGCTTATTGGTGTTCAGACAACTAAATGGCTTGAATCTGGGAGGAGTTTTGGATGAAGGCATTGGAGGCTTCGAATCAATATTAGTAATGTGAGCATTTTTCTTTTTTAGTATATAGTATCTGGGTGAGTGCATATTATTATTGATGACTAAGGTTCGGTAATGTTCCAAATCATTTTAGTCTCTTATAAGATGCCAATGCTTCAAAACCGGCTATACTTGTTTCTTTCTCAAATCACTTGTGAATGTTGAAAATTGCCACTGAGGAAATGCATTTTACCAAATGTTTCATTTCGGCTTATTTTGACCTTTGTGTATCAAGGGCAACCAAAGATTTGTCCAAATGGCTGAATTATATGCAGATGAATGTATGTCACATAGAGTAGCATAAGAAGGAAGCATCAAGTTTCAGTTTCCAAATATCATATATTATTTCATTCATTCATTCTAGAAGCTTATGCAGTTTTTTGTTGTTTATGAAGCAGGGATCTAAGTCACAATCAAATTGGAGGGAGTATACCATCCAACTTGCCTCTCACCATCAGAAATTTGTATGTTTTGACTACAATCTTTAAATTTTATCTGTAGAGCATACTTAATAAGCTAATATGAGCAAATGATATGTGCTTTTCTTTTACTAAGCTTATTCATTTTGTTGTTCTCTTCTTTTAGTTATCTTTCTGGTAATCAGTTCAATGGGAGCATCCCTGCTAATTTGTCTTCCTTAACACAACTAACAGAATTGTAAGTATAAAATCAAACTTGCTTATCCTGAAATCATACTGTCAGGCTGTAATCATTTTCTCATTATCATTCAATATTCTACCTTCATTCTCTCCAGGTATTTGGATGATAACCATTTAACTGAAGAAATACCAGATTCTTTTCAACAGCTTAAGGGTTTGATCAATTTGTAAGCTCGTTAATCATACAGCTTCTATTCTGTTTTGTTTTCTAGGTTTAGTTCTGACAAAATGTAATGTTCAGGGATCTATCAGGAAATAATTTGAGTGGTCTGTTGCCTCCCTCATTTGGGAACTTATCATCTCTTACCACATTGTGAGTAATAATCTCATTAAAAGATGAGGTCATTAGATTCATTCACACAAAACTTTCATGACTTGCATATATGCTTCCTAACATCAAGGATTATATGTACTTTTTCTGTGTCAGGCACCTGCAGAACAATAAACTTTCTGGGATCCTTGATGTTCTACAGGATCTTCCCCTTTTGGATTTGTACTCTTTTTCCTATGAATCCCATTCAATATTTGTTTCACAAATTTATCACTGAATGATCTAGCATTAACCTGAAAGTAGCTAAGTGTCACAAGTTGTCACTTTCTTCTTCTGTAGGAATGTAGAGAACAACATATTCTCTGGTCCTACACCACCGAAGTTGCTGAATATTCCAAATTTCAGGTGAATCCTTGGATTGTCATTTGACATTTTTTAGATCTAGCATACTGCTATTTAAGTGCATGATATATGTTTCTGTATTTTCATGTAACACCCCCTGGCCACACCCCCCATCTTCCTTACTTTAGAATGATGTGTGACATCTGCAGGAAAGATGGAAATCCCTTCAATACTACCATTCTTCCTTCACCACCACTACCAGCAGCACTCCCTCCATTTATAGCCAGGGCCCCTTCTCCTGTAGAAGGATCTAAGGAACCAGCTGGTGGACCTTTTAGCCCCAAATTACCTCAGTGGGCAAAGGCAAGAAAATTTTGGACAAATAAGAGGGTTATTTGGATTGCTGCTGTAGGGCTTATAGCACTCGTTGTTTTAGGAGGGTTGCTGCTTTTGGTGTGGAGATGCTGTAAAGGGAACAAAAATTCTGACAGGCATGGTGTGAATGCACATAAGGGCCCTAGTGAGAATCTCAGCCAAATTAATAAATCATCATCTCAACCAACTTATCAAACGGAGAAAGGTAACTTAATCATAGCCTATCCCTGTGTCAGATCTTGTTAAGTTCTTCATTTTCCTTCTACACTCTTATGTAATTGAAAGGCACTATGTTCAGCAGTTGCTAAAGAGGCAGTCACGAAGCCAGGGGATGGAAATGGACTAGAAAGTGGAGGAATGGGAGTAAGTTTGAAGGTACAAGAACAATTTCTTGATGTAACTACAATGCCTGCTAGTTTGAGGCCCAAGAAAAATCATGAGATAAACATGGGAGGCATGGATGTGAAGTCCATGTCCTTGCAGCGACCACTACCTCCTCTATTTCCCCATGTGGAGGACAGTATAAGCCCAATCATGCCAGCAGAAGTAAATGGAGGTGGTCGCTCTTCTAGAGGTCAGGACTCATGTTCTTTGAATGTGAGCGCCTTCACCATTGCATCACTTCAGAAGTATACAAGCAGTTTTGCTGAGGAAAATTTTGTTGGAGAAGGCATGCTTGGTAGTGTGTACAGGGCTGAGCTTCCAGATGGAAAGGTAAGGTGATTTAAATGTGGGAGTACAATGTGATTGCAAAATTGAGTGTGTTCCTAGGCTCAGGCCCCCTTCCTCTGGCATTTTTTGCCAGTAGGTGCAAGTCCTTTATGCTGCTTTCGTTGTTATTCCAGTTTCGTTAGAGAGAGAAAAAGAAAAAATACAATTGGCAACTTCTTTTCCTTCCTCCCAACCTCAATTAGCTGTATGTTTGACATTCTTATCAATTCTTTTGTAGTTACTTGCCATCAAGAAACTGGATACTGGAGCTTCCAGGTGGAAGAATAATGCTGAATTTCTTGAACTAATGTCTACTATCTCTAAACTTAAGCATCCTAACATTGTGGAGCTTGTGGGTTACTGTAATGAGCATGGGCAACGGTTACTTGTGTACGAGTATTGCAGATACGGGACACTGTATAATGCATTGCATGTTGATGATGGGATCCATACGAAACTTTCATGGAATGCACGTGTCCAAGTGGCACTGGGAATTGCAAGAGCTCTACAGTAAGTAAACATATTGACAATACAAGAGCCCTTTATTTATCTAACCAAGAAAATTTGATGTCTACTACGGGAGGAAATGCTATCTTTAGCTTGGATATTTGAGCTGGTTGTATCATCTTTTATATAATGTGTCATTGAAATTGAACCCGAGAACAGCCTGTAATTCCTTGTTTTATGGCTTATATGAATGTCTTTATTCTATAAGTTTTTAAGCTATCGAACAATAAAAAAACTGAGTTTTTTGTGTTGGTGGTAAGGTACCTGCATGATGTCTGTCAGCCACCCATTGTGCACAAGAATATCAAGTCTGTTAATATTCTCCTTGATGACAAGCTTGCAGTTCATGTCTCAGAATGCGGTTTGGCTCCTTTGTTGTCCTCTGGCTCTGCAAGTGAGGTAATTTTTCGATGCAAATATGTTTATATATGTGTGATATTCTAGTCCTGCTGATTTGAGGTTCTACAAATACATTAGTTAGTAATGATACAAAAATGTTTGTTGGAGACTTCAGACCAAATGATACATCATCAATGGACTGCAATTGAACAGTGAGAAAACTTAATCCAATATGTTGCAGAAAAGTTAACGAACTATGAGACTTATGGATGGTATGACACTATAAAGGAATATCTGTTGGGAGATGAACCTGTAAGATTTAGGAGTTTCAAAATGAAGGCATGAGGGATCCTTATCTCTGTCTCAGAGGGCAGGAATTGCATTTCCTACTATTGTTTATTTTTGCTGATCTTTCGTATTGTTGCATTTATCTAAAATATTCCTGCCTCATTTATTTTGCAGCTAAGCTGGTCAATGCAAAAATACTAATGCACTCAAACACAAACTAACTAACATTAGAATGTGGGATCAAACTCATTAAAGCAGATGACAGAGTCCAAGATGAACATTTGTAACATGTGCATATTATAGGTTTTTGTGTCTTAATTATCTTGCAGAAATGTGGCTAATGTTGATGCATGTTTTCTCAGTTTTACGGCAGCCTCTTTGTATCCTACGGTTATGCAGCCCCAGAAATTGAGTTTGGAAGTTATACTTGCCAGAGTGATGTCTATAGCCTTGGAGTTGTAATGTTAGAACTTCTCACAGGGCGAGAATCCTTCGACAGGTTAGCCAAATCTGACATCCATATGAAAGTTTGCCCGAAGGAAATTTATCAATCATTTGAGTGTTTTACCTAGCACTAAACTAATGTTAAGAATATGTCTAGGTCACGACCTCTGGGAGAGCAATTTCTTGTTAGATGGGCAATACCACAGCTTCATGATAGTGATGCATTAGCTAGGATGGTTGATATCGCTCTAAATGGAGCATATCCAGTGAAGTCATTGTCACGCTTTGCTGATATAATATCTAGATGTGTACAGGTGAACTTCTTTATTCGTCTTTTTCATGTTTCTACTTTTGTGGCATGCTTTATTTGAGTGAAATTCTGCAATGACTGTGGAGCATTGTCGTATAGGCACATTCCTGGGGTTTCATATAATCTATTAACAACTGTCTAAAGATTGAATGAAATATAATCTATTACTGAAAGGGATATAAATTATAAATTGATTAAAGCTAAAATGGGAATAGGATAACCAAAGTCCTCAAAAAGCTTGTTTCCATATTTCTTACATTTCAAGTAATCTAAGGTTTATCTTCCTAGTACTTCCTTTCATATTGAGAGCTATAAGGCACCTTATATTGTTCATCTTGCAGTGGGAGCCAGGATTCAGACCGCCAAAATCTGAAATCGTCCAGGATCTTTTGCATATGATTTAGAGGCGAATCTTTAGCAATTTGGTTATATAATGAATGTTTCATAGAAGAGATGTCAGCTTGAGAGAGTGATTAACTACAAGATTAAAAGTTCAATCTGATGAATGAAACTCTCCAAGAAGGTACTTATTGCTTGAAGCAGCAGCTTATCCGATGCATTCTGTAATATTTATCTGCAGTTTATAGTGAAGGATTAGTCGCGTTAGAAATCTCAAAGGCGATCTAACAGCAAATTCTTTCAGGCCTCCCCCGTTTTGTTTTTGTTTTTGTTTTTTTTTTTTATTCAATGGGGAGGTGCTAATGTTATTTTTATTTGATTACTATTATCTCTGCCAGAAATGTTTGCCAGTGTGGTATCATTTGAGGTCTAACTAGACTATATTAATGGTCATGTTCCCTGTATTTAACTAACTACATTACACCAACTATCCCTTAGATTAGTTGATATGTCATTAGAGTTGACACTTAGAGCATGTCAGTTCGAGAGAGTTTAGGCATGTAATGTTCTTTTTCAGTCATGTATGTAATAGGATAAAGGGGATTTAAGACTAGATTCAGAACTTAAAAAAAAAAAAAAAAAAAACTAACTACATTGACTAATATCATTCTTTTAAAATTTCTTTTTGACTGATTGTCCTTTGGCCCTTCTATGAAAAAAAAAAAAAAAACTGAAACAGGAGAAAATGGAGATTTGTAAGAACAAACAAAAAGATGGAAAGTTGAAGACAGACATATTTGGTTTGATGGGTGTTTAAGATGCAAGCATTAGGATGCCAGGTAGTGGCCGGACAGTCAAATGATTTCTTTCTGGTTTGAATCTAGACGAGGATGGGGGATGAGATTTAACCAATTACCAGCATGTGAACCCAACATAGATAACATGTTGGGACCTGCAAAAAGTACCAAAATCTAAGCGATAAATTAAATGGAAAAATACCACATTACCTTGATTTCTGGTATATATACAGGGAAGTCTGATCCTGCTATAACTCCGAATCACCATTGATTGTTGCAACAAAACAATCAGATATCATATCTGATATCATATCGATCAGTTACTAGGTAACAGTCTGACACATGACTTAGGACAAATATGTTTTATCCATTTTCATTGGTAAAAGCTACTCTGATATTGCATTTAATTTGATTAAGACTTCCACATGTAGCAACACATGTAGCAACTTGGTTAAATTTAAATATGATGTTAAACATTCATAGCCATGCCCATGGGAGTTCGTTGAATTGATAGGATTCAATACTTCGCTTGGAAGATTTAAGTTTGAATTTTACTGTTAGCAATCTCTTTTGATGAAAATATATAAACTCAATGTAATCTTTAATGAGATATACTATTTGTCCTGACCCTAAGTTGAAAACGTCTCTCCTCACCTTAAACTTTTTTTTCATAGAAGGGATAAGTACCTGATCTACAATGTTGGAAATGGACTATTCATTTTATCCCTGGAACAGCACATTTTACTGCTGTCAGCTGTAGATAGTCTGTCAAAATTTGCATTTGATAACTCTTACACATCCTTTTTAGAAAAAGAGATATACCATCAACAAGCACCACCATCACACCTTGGTAGACTGGGGCCATAAAAGGGATTGGTTTAAGAAAGAAACAGACTGGTTTAAGAAAGAAATTTTTTTTCTTTTTCCTTTTTTTTTCCCTTCATATTTCATTAGAAATAAGGAAAGGCTTGACCATGCAAAATTTCACAAGACAGTACTTTTTCTATGTGTTTTTGCAGGAACATTCTTTCTTGCCTTCAGAATCCAAATTGCCCCACACAACAACTAAGTTTAGCTTTGTTAGAATTTACTTTTGACCTGCTTCTGCAGAATTGGTAGGCAATGGTGGTTAAACACAAAAACTTTGATGAATTCTGCTACCTAACTCTTTGAAATATTCATAGCAGATTTTTGTATGATACCAATTCCATTAGAAATTTATGATATTCAATAGAAGTAAAATATTAATAATTTTTTTTATATAAAGAAGCTTACGAAATAAGAATATGAAAAATATTATAAATATTGAGATTTGAATTTATTAAATGTTATCAGATTTATTATAAAAATGATTATATAAGTTAATAAATTTAAATTTTAAATTTAATATTAATAGAATTTAATAGTTGCTTTTGATGATTTGATGCGGTTACATATTAAAATTTTTTATTATTCTACAAAATATAGATCACAATTTTTAATTTTATTTGCTATCCATTTTCACCCTATGACCCAAAAGATTAATAATCATGCTTCTTCTCATTACTAATAATTATAACTTTGAATGCAAATCATCTAGCCATGAACCATGAATTTAAATGTAATGATTATTACTTAATTTAAAAAAATTCAGACAAAACATTTATTATTATTATTATTATTTGTTTATTATAATACTAATAAATGTATAGATATTATGAGTACCATTAAGTATTTATTTATTTTTTTGTTCAAAAAAGTCTTATTGGACTATATTTATTATAAGATATTATTCGAAGAATTAAAAATATATTTTAAAAATTTTAATAAAAAAAATTCTTACTTATAAAATTATAATCTATAAAATCGTTTTCATCAAAATTAATTTATAAGTTTGTCTACATCATCCTAAAATTATTAATTTAAAAAAAATAAAAAATTAATTAAGAGAAATCTCTAATTTTATTAATTGTTAATATCGTAAATCATCAATATTTATTAGTTCGAGTAGTAAAAAATTTAATTTTAAATTTTATAAATAAAAAAATATTTGATTTAATTTAATTTTAAATTAATCAAAACTCAAAAGAATTACCGAAACTACGTAAACTCAGGCCAAAAAAAAAAGTTGCCGCGAACCCCTTTTTCTCTCCTAACCGTACTATTTTCTTAACCGTTATCAACGTCATTTTCCAAATCCAAGAATATTATCAAATTAACAGATTGATAATATTCTTGGGATCCAACCGACAATGGGTAATTAAGTAATTTAACTATTCCAACAGCTAAAGATCAGGGGTATTTTGGTGAGAACGAAAAACAGTAAAAAATACTGGGTTCAACTTCAGTCATAGTCTCCGTAAATCTCTGCGAAACTCTGAATTCAACTGTTTATAATTCTTTTCGCGTCATATGTAAGAAAGGACAAAGCAATCTTTTTTTTTTTTTAATTTCCTCTAAATTTTTTATTTTATTTTTTTAGGGGCTGTCAAGTTCACACCAGAATTTGATTCATAGCTTTTCTCGGCGGATTTGCATTCCAAGTATAGTAAACATTTTTTTATTTAATTTTTCGATTTTCCGCCTTTTTAGTTGAATCTTGAGGAATAGTTTCGAGTGAAGTTAATTGTAACCACGGTTCCAGTTTCGATTCCGATTTCATTTTGGATTTAATTTCGTGTAAAATGGCGAAGCGTGGATATAAGCTGCGTATCCTTGAAGCTTAAATTCTTGTTCTTGTTTTCTTTTTCTTTTTGTTATTGTTGTCGAAATGCTTAGCTTGAATACTTAGCTTCTTTTGCATTTTTATTGTGAATTTCAGCTCAAATTTGTTTTTTTTTTCTCTTTTAAAAAAATTTACTTTTTATTGATTAATTCAGGCCGTGTTTGCAACTTTGGCTTTGGTAGCTAAGGAAAATAAAGGAAAGGGAAGAAATTGAAGTCACAAGTCTTGGTTCTTGTGAAAATTTTGAAGCTTTTATAAAGATTTGTTCTTTAAGAGATAATGCTAGTCTAAGCTCAATTAATCTCAAGTTCAAAAGAAAATCGTAATAATGTTTGCTTCATTTGTCTAAAAGTGAAAATTTAAAGGCTCTTGGGGTGTTTTTATTTTGTTTCTTTTACTTCCTTGACAAATGAATGTAGAGGAATTTGTGGCTCATACAGCGAATGTGAATTGTCTAAGTATGGGAAAAAAGACATGTAGGCTTCTTATTACAGGTGGAGATGATCATACAGTCAATGTTTGGGCAATTGGGAAGCCCACTTCTTTAATGGTAACTTTTATATGCTTCTCTCTTGCTTAGATTGTTGCCAAATTTAGCTTTCGGATGGTATCTCTTATGCAGTAATTGTTTTCGTCCCTTGAATTCATATTTTGGATCAATTGATGCCAATAAGAATAAGGGTGATGTTGTATCTTGAATAAAAGAATAAGGGTATTCCTATGTGTTAATGTGCAGAGTCTCTGTGGTCATACTAGTCCGGTGGAATCTTTAGCTTTTGATTCGGCAGAAGTCTTGGTGCTTGCTGGAGCATCTACAGGTGTGATAAAGCTTTGGGATCTGGAAGAAACAAAGAGTAAGTTTTTGATTTCTCCTCAGGAAATCATGTTAAGAGCCCCATTGAAACTGCCTTTTATAATGTTTTATATCAGTTGGATGCCAAATAATAAAAGTATCTTGGTATTGGGTAAGATATTATGAAACTCAAATTCCTACTTTTTGACTTTCATTTTTTAAACATGTTGACTGTCAGCTTTTTCTTTTTTTTTTTTTTTTTTTTGGATAAGTAGTATTTCATTATCCAAAGAAGCTGGAGAAACCTGCTATGAGATAACAATATAATGAATGTACTATAGGATCATCAGCACTTATACCGAATTGACATCGGGTAATAATTAACTTGTAAAATGCTTGATGTTGTTCTTGAAGTGTAGTGGTTCGCGGACTTACCGGACACAGATCTAATTGCACTGCCATGGAATTCCATCCATTTGGTGAGTTCTTTGCATCTGGTTCCATGGACACAAATCTAAAGATATGGGATATCAGAAAAAAGGGATGCATTCACACGTACAAGGGCCATTCTCGAGGCATTAGTACTATTAAATTCACTCCTGATGGCCGCTGGGTAGTTTCTGGTGGATTTGATAATGTTGTAAAGGTAATTAGAGATCGCACCATCATCTGCATTGAATGACATCAGTTCTACTTATCTAATCATTTTTATCTTGTCACTGCTGAATAGGTGTGGGATCTTACTGCTGGAAAACTCCTGAATGAGTTTAAGTTTCATGAAGGACATATTTGCTCCATAGACTTCCATCCTCTTGAGTTTCTCCTGGCCACAGGTGAGATTTCCGTAGGAGTCATTGAGTTTATCATAATTGCATTTGCCTTTTCCTGTATTGCTTATCATTTCCAGCTTGATAATTTTTTCTATCAGATAAGGTGGGGTTTATGTGATAGAATTCCTTAACCTGCTTGCAAAGATTTAATCTTTTTCAGCAAAGTTTTAATTATTAATTTAGGGAAATGATTTGTCAGTCCATGTCTCATGCATTGTTCTTTTGTAAATAAATAGAAAATTCACAGCTTTGAACTTTGTTCCTTTTGTCATTGTGTATGTGGAACATTTACCCAATATTTCTGAATTGTTTACTCTCTTTATGCCTCTTGAAACCAGCATTTTCTTGGGAATATCTTAATTGATATGCAACCAAAATTTTTCAGGTTCAGCGGATGGAACAGTAAAATTCTGGGATTTAGAAACTTTTGAACTGATTGGATCTTCCAGACCTGAGGTATATAAACTTATGTGTCTCCAAACCAAAACCATAGAAGTTTGCTCCACCGATCCCTCCTCCCCTTCCCTCTGCTGAAGATACTCATTTTATGTAACAATCAGTCATTTACTTTTTTTATTCATGTGGAGGGGGGAATGGAAAGAAGTCATAGAATGGTTTTGACTTCTCTTATTCTTTTAGAAGGAAAAAAAAATTAACTTTTTCCCTTTACCCAACATTTAACCAGATAGTGCTGTGTAGAATGCTAGGAAAACTTATTTTACTCTATTCCTCACTTAAGCAAATGTTTCTGTATTGGAGGTATATTATATAGATAAGTTATTTTGGCGTGATCATTCAAATTTCCAACAAAAGATTTGACACAGTTGTGTTTGATATGTATTAAGTGTCCTGTTTTGACACCTAAGTTTGAGAAAATATTCTCTCACTTTAAAGGAAAAGAAAAAAGTAATTAAAAACTCCCTTTATTGATAACAAACCTTTTCCATCATACTTCTATAAAATGTTTATGTTCCTTCTTTTCAGGCTACGGGTCACTCAATTACCTTTCATCCTGATGGAAAAACCCTGTTCTGTGGATCAGACGATGGTTTGAGGGTTTGAACCTTACATCGTGAAACCGTTTGATTCTATCTGAATTAAAAAGCAAACTTCTGAATATCCGATGTCATAATTGTAGGTTTATTCATGGGAGCCAGTAGTTTGTCATGATTCTGTTGATATGGGATGGTCAACACTTGGTGACCTCTGCATCAATGAAGGGAAGCTTTTGGGTTGCTCATACTATAGAAATTCTGTTGGAGTCTGGGTAGCAGATGTAGCAGTATTTACAATCATCCTTTTCTTACATTGCATTCCCTTTATGTTGGATCAATTTTGAACTTTTGCTCCAAAAGGTCTGGACCTGAGTGAAAAATTATTTGCACATGTCTCAGCATGTTGAGCCATACGGGCGAAATGACCACATGGAGAAGAAATTTAATCTTGAGGGAAGTTATTCTTCAGAGAAAGCAGGGAGTGGCATGAGGTCAACTTTGGGATCACGGTCCTTATCTCCTGATTATGAGACCAAGGAAATAAAGAACATATATATTGACAGTAAGTTCTCTTTTCGGTTGTTTTTATTCTTTGAACTGGTTGTTCTACCTAGTGTTACTTTGTTAACATGGTCAATATCCATGCCTGTGGAGCTTGACTGCTCAACTAATGACACAAATAAATTTGAAGGGGGCTTAATTTCCAAATATCAATTTTTTCCCCTACTAATTTCTTAAGCTATATTTTGTCTGACATGATACTCCCCCTTCTGTGAAAAGCTGCTGGCAGTAATACGATTACTACACAGAAAGATGACTCTTTCAATTCTACAAAAGTGATACTCCCATTGGATGCCATTGAAATAAGTAATCTGGTCGCTGAGAAGCAGAGTCCTGGAACAGGAGTTAATGCCAAATCTAATGGACAATTGGTAAACAAGTCTTTTATCACGCCTACCGTTGTTCCACGGGACAATCCTGTTGGGAAAGACTCTACCAATTCTGGAAAAGAATCTATCACCTTTTCAAGGACAAAACCGGGTATGTTGCTTAAACCAGCTCATGTTAGAAGACCATCGGTCAACAAGTTTGAGGTTGAAAAGCTATCAGCTGCAGTTGAATCAGGAACTCTTAGCAATATAAAAAGCGAGTTAGACAGTGCAATGGATGTGACTTCTCAAACTAGGCTTGTATCACAGGATGGAGCTAGAAAATCATGTGATGATAAGGATTCAAACATCAAGAATGTTATAGAGGAATCTAAAAAGATGTTATTACCACAGACAACCCCTAATCAAGAAACTTGTAAGTTTTATTATATACCATGTTATCATTTCTTAAGTCAGTTATGGTCATACATTTGTTTGTTATTCTGTTTCCTTGTTGTCTTTCTTGTGATAATTTGTGTCATATTTATTTATTCTATAGTTGTTAATGATTAGTGTTTGGTTTTTTCTTATCATTTTCAGGTAATGAATCCCTCAATTGCAACAAGGATTCAAACTTAGTCAAATTTGTGAATGGAGGTTTGCTATTTCTTTCCAGCTAAGTCTTCCAAATTATAAAACTGGATATATTTTGATCCTTAGAAATTTCTTTCTTGGCAGTGGCTGTTGTTCCAGGGAGAACGCGCACTCTGGTTGAGAGGTTTGAACGAAGAGAGAGATTAAACAGCAGTGGTGATCCGGCAACTAACATTACACCTCCTGCTGTACCTGAAACAGATAAAACACCAGCCCTAATGGTAAGCATAAGTGTATCTTTTCTCCAAGTTTCAAATTTCAATTTTTGCATGATCTAGACCAAGTTGGACAGACTTTCATGTGCATGTACTTTCACATTTTTATGACTGAATTAAATTTATTCCTCATGTTTAAACTTTACAGAAAGTAGAGACACAAATCTCTAAAATACAGCCAATCTCTTACAATGATGCAAATAGTGCCGGAAGTCAAATTTCTAGAAAGGAATCAGCTTCTGGCTGTGAGGGAGGCATTATTGGAAGTCAGATTCCTAGAAGGGAATCAACCCCCACTTCTGATGGGATCATTACTGGAGATCAAATTTCTAGAAGGGAATTAACCCTCACCCCTGATAGAATGATTGCTGGAAATCAAAATTCTAGAAAGGAATCAACCTTTGCCCCTGATAGGTTGATTACTGGAGATCAAAATTCTCGAAAGGAATCAACCTTCACCCCTCATAGTATCATTACTGTAAATCAAATTTCTAGAAAGGAATCAAGCTCTGCATCTAGTGGTATCGTTACTGGAAATCAAATTTCTAGAAGGGAACCAACCTCTGCTTCTGATGGGATCATTACTGGAAACCAAATTACTAGAAGTGAATCGACTTCCATTTCTGATAGGATCATTTCTAGAAATCAATTTTCTAGAAGGGAAGCAACCTCTGCTAATGATAAGAGTGGACCAAATGGAACAATTACTGAAAATCAAATTTCTGAGAGGGGATTGAGTTCTGCTGATGATGGGAATGTTACTATTATTGAAAGACAAATCTCAAAGGGAGAATCAATCTCTGCTAATGATGGAAACATAACTGAAAGTCTGATGCAAATGCATGATATATTCTTAAGCACTCTTCGGTCACGCTTGACAAAGTTACAGGTAAATTTCGCTGTCTATTTGTGGATATAATTGGTGGTTGCATTGTAGCCGTTGCTTTTTTCTTTTCTGGAATTAATGTAGCTTTAGGCAAAGACATTGATACTTTCATAATCAGTGGACTGCAGAATACTATATTAGTATTATGGTTTAGAACATGTCCACGTGCATCTAAACATCTGTGGCGGGTGGCAAACTTTTGTTTTGCTGAAAAGAAAGCAATTTAATTCTAGTAAAAAGAAAATGGGAAAAGAAATCTCCATCATTAATGTTTCTGTTCTTTGTTTGCTTCTTACATGATATTTTTCTTTCATTCCTTGGTTGGATTTCTTAATTGATTTTGTGGTGAATTGTAGGTGGTGCGGCATTTTTGGGAAAAGAATGACATTAAAGATGCAATCAGTGCCCTGCGGAAGCTGCCAGATCATTCTGTGGGTATTTATGGGAAGATTTCATGTGTGTTGCTTTATTTAATGATGGTTACAAGTAGTAACAGAGGCTTGTCATGCATATTCTTTCTCTCTTTCTTAGACTCAATTACTTCTGGTGCAGGTGCAAGCAGACATAATCAGTGTTCTCATGGAAAAAATAGAGATTCTCACTTTAGATCTGTTTTCTGCCCTGCTTCCCGTGCTTATGGGCTTATTAGATAGCAAGATGGAAAGGTAATTTCAAAACAAAGTTTTAGTTCTTGTTATTATAAAATATTGTTCTAGAGATTTACTCTATCCATTGCTTTCAAAAACCAAACTTTTCATCTCTTAAACAATAAAATAATGGAGGAGGTATCAAGACATGGAATTCCGTTCAGGCATGTGGGTGCAAATTTGATTGATGTTATTCCTCATTTTTCAACATTTAAACAATGGACCTTTCTACTTATGAGTTATGATGCTCATACTGATTTTTGGGCTTGTGATATGAATATACAGGCATGTAAATGTCTCATTGGAGATGCTTCTGAAGGTTGTAGCAGTTTTTGGTCCAATGATACACTCAACTGTTTCAGCCCCACGTGGTGTTAGTGTTGATCTTCACGCTGAGCAGAGGTTCTGCCTTTCAGCTTCTTAACCATTATTATGGGTTTGATGAAACCACTATGAACTTATTGTTTTTCAAAATTTGAACGCAGACGAGAATGCTGCAAAATCTGCTTTATGCAGCTGCAAAAGATTCAAAAGCTTCTTCCACCACTTGTAAGGTGAGTTGCTCTTCGAGTAATTGCAGCTGACATTATAATAATAACTCAATATCCTTAACGGCAGTTTGCATATCATGATGTTTATATGCTTTGAAAACCCAGTGATGAAGCCTCGAGTATCCGCCTAAATTGGTTTCCTAGTTGAGTGAACGGCCAACATGATAAATTTCTTTTCCTTGTATTACTACAGGAGAGGCGGTGTAATAGCAAGATGTGCACAGGAATTGAATCAAGTTCTTCAACAATGACGGTGAATGCTGCCATCTAAATCATCTGCTGCTGAAGCATGAAAATATGGCTTGGTTGACACCACTTTTAAAGATTCAAGTGTCATAGATGGCCATTTCGTATCATACATCTCGGATACACAATTTTGTCTTGCTACCTTATTATATTTCGATCTACCCATCTTCGTCGGTACCAGACTACTAGCTTGAGTAAGTATCACCACTTGAAACCGTTAAATCTTGAAGATGGAAGAAGCCAGCCTGTGAATCTCAATGTTTCTGGCACTCCACGGAAATTACCTTGTCATTCTGTTGTAATCTTTTTGTTAAAAATGTATGTAAGCATGTGCCAATGCAAATATACTCTTCAGCTACAACACTCAATGAAATATATCAATTCCTTGAAGCCGATTTTGTGGATTGAACCTTACAGGAACCCGAAGAGGTAGAGCAAGATTTAAGAATTGGCTACTTGGGCTAAGCTCTGCAAAACCAAAGAGCCAAAAGAGCCAACAATTTCTCCAGTCTTGGTAGCACAAGTGCAATGCAAAATGCCATGTGGCAAGAATAAGAAAACATCACCATCAGCACATTTATTGGGGACTGGCTTACTCTAGCCCACAGGAACAACGTAATCAGCAAAGCCATACACTGTCTCTTTTCCAAGGGCCCGCACCATTTCCTGAATTATGAGAGCCGTTCATCAATTTTTTTGTTTTTTCCTTTTGTCGAAAAAATAAAAAAAAGGGAGATTATTTTATTTTTAAGATTAACATAAATTGTGATTCATGATAGAATTTAAATTTTAATCATTTATGTCTATCTTTATTGGAAATTTATTTGTTCCTAAATTTTTTAAGTTGTTGCATTCTTCTGGATTCTGTTAAAACTCTCCTGTTTTTCCTTTAACGAAAAACCTAATTATTGGAGTTCAAAAATGGATTTGGATAATGTGTTTATAAATATTTTTAATTGATTTGATAATTTTAAATATAATAAAATGATACGACATAAAATAATATAAAACACATAAAAATAACAAAATCTAAAATTGTAATAAAATTTATTTTGATTTGATAATAATAAAAAAATATATTTTGAATTAACGTGTTAACATAAAATATAATATAATAATTTTTATATTTTATTAATATTTAATAAAAAATAAATATAATTTTCTTATACAAATTATTAAATCTAATATACATTAACACAACCCAACAAGCAGAAAGAGCTGTTTATTTTTTGTATTGTCTTGAAATGGAAAACATCATCAATAATACTCCATGAAAGGCATGTGAATGCTAATTTAGTACATTCCTTTCTGATCCATTCAAGAACATGTTCCCTTTGGGTTAACCGATATGATTAAGACAGCAGACAATTCATTAATCACATATCAAAGTTTGGTCAGTGATGTTGAAACCAATGCCAGAAAAAAAATGTAAAAGAAAATTCCCTGCGATGGTTTGATCATTGGGAAAGTTAGGATGTCAACCTAAGTGAAAACAAAGCCTAATTAAAAGCAACAAAAACTGTTGAGTCAAACATTAGTTTCACATTGTCAGGGGAAAATTTTAAGAAGATTTTCAACAGCATTTTCTTCTTACCTACTAATTTATGTCCAAAATAGATGTAGTAATTTAAAATAAAATATAAATAAGAAAGATGAGAGTAATATAATTTAAAATTTTAATAAAAATTATAAATATATTTTAAAAATATATATATTTTTATATCGATATAAATTATAATATATAATTTTTATATAAAATATAATATAAATATATAAATTATTTATATTTTACCCTATCCGAACATATAAATTATCGAATTTATGTCCAAATAAAAAAATAATTTAAAAGGAAAAATAAAAGGTGGGGGCTCATATTATATTCTATGCTTGTTTTCTAAGCCATTAAAACTATGCTTTTTGAAGCATGATAATATACCTAAATTCTTGTAACAATTAACCAATTGAGATAATGATATTCAAATTAAAGAATAAAATTTTCATTTTCTTTATTTGGAAATTTTATTTTCAAATATTGACTAAAAAAAAGTCTTTATGGAATAAAAATTGCTTATGTTTATGATTGCACCTAATGTCAAATTCAGTAAGCTTTTCACATATTAAAAAAAAAAAAGAAAATTCAATTAACATTTTTTTTTCATTTTTTTAAGAAGAGAAAGTTCTATTTAATATGTAAATAAATATTTTATAATATTTTAAATAAAACTATTTAAAATTATCTTCTGATGCTATTAATTCTTACACCTATCAAAACTATTGTATCCACTAATTTTTATACATTATTTAAAAAAAATAAATAAAAATATTATTTTAAAAAATAATTATATGTACCAATTAAATTAAATTTATCCTAATTGATATAATCTAGTATAAATCCTAATTAAGAAAGGAGTTGAATGCCATTTAGAAAAAGACAAAGTGACTGTAGGGACAATTAGGTCAATCCAGCGTGTCCAAAAAACAGAAAAGCCAAATAAAAGACAGCGCCCCTTAGCCCCCGTTTCTTATTTCCTAACCAAAACAAAAACAATGTAATAATTAAAAAAAAAAAAAAAAAACCAAAAACAAAAACAAAATTCCAGGCCCCTTAAATTAGAAAAAGAACAAGTCTTTTCATTGTCCCATGTTTTCTCTCTCTAAAAAAATTGTAATCTTTTAAAATTTTCCCTAGAAAAAAAATCAAACCTTTAATCTCTCTTTCTCTCTCAGCAAATCTTGTAATTATTCCATAAATTTTCTTCGCTTCCGTACTGTTTTCTTCTTCTGCTCTCGCTTTGGCTGTTTCCAATTTTCCATTACCATTAAAAATTGGAAATTTTGTACCCTTTAAACGAATTTAAAAAAAAAACCACTCGTCTTCTCCGTAAAAACCGCCTTTTGTTTTCGTTTCTGGGGAAAAAATGTTTTTGCGAGGGTGGTGTCGGCGAAAGTACGCCGAAGGTGCCTAGAGAAAGGCGGTCGCTTTTAATTTAATTTAATTTTCCGGTGGTGGGTCGTTGTTGCTGCTATTGAATTAACCCTGGCCGTACACGCGGACATGGGAGCGGAGACGATAACGGGAAGGTGGGGTACGTGGGAGGAGCTTTTGTTAGGTGGGGCAGTTCTCCGGCACGGTACCCGAGATTGGAATCTCGTCGCCTCGGAGCTCCGAACCCGAGCCGTTTCTCCTTTCGCTTTCACTCCCGAGGTTATTAGCCAATTAATACTTTAATTCAATTAATGAAATCTTATTTGATTTAATCCTTTTTTTATTAGAAATCTTATTTGATTTAATCCTTTTTTTATAAAAAATAATTTTCCCTTTTTTTTCACAATTTTTTAATTTTTTCTTTTATTTATTTATTTTGAGTATTAAAGAAATGGGCATGGAAGAAGACAGCGACATGAATGGGAGGGGGGGATTCGTTATATTTTATGTGGTAGTTAATTATTTTTAATGAAGATATGATCATTGGTCAATGTCAACGACGGCTTCCTTGGCCAACAGGGAAAGGACTTGTCACGGGGTATCCACGTGACTAATAAGGATCAGAACATGAAGTTGAACTATGGTTAGTGTATGATCTGCACTTCAGGGTGGTTTCTTAGTATAATGATGTTTAGGACAAGAGTAGGAAGGTAATAATGATTTGGCTTGGAAAGTGGACAATTTAGGAAATGAGGGTTAATAGGATCCAATGAAAAGCTAATTATGGCAGCTATTGGTATCCATGAATGTTACTTGATTAGCTTCAACTAATGCTTAATTTTGTTGGTTGTATTACAAGTTACCTCTCAAAACCATGGAACTTTAGGTTTGCAACAACCTAGGCTTGTCCTAATGTTTGGTAAGAAAGATTTCAAGGTTCGAATCCCGCCTCCCTCTTGGCCTTCATCATATATACAAACAAAAAAGAACTTTTAAAATTGGCGGTTGTGAACTAGGTAAGCTGGGGCCAAGCTAGACAAAAGGCAAACAGTGAAGTTAATGAAAAAAGGAAGGTTGGCTGAATTACTATATTACAATGGTGTAAAAAAATTTTTGGGGGGCCATGGCCCATGCCTGCCCCCCTTTGGATTTGCCTCTATAGGTAAGGGATGTAGTTTGGTTCATCCCATGTTTATATACACTCTTTATCAGCACTCCAATTTATTTATCGTGAAGTATTGAAGTTCCTGTGAATAATGTTTCAAAGGCATTGGTATGAACCAACCTGTTTATAATTCAACTATATGATTAAGGATGTGTCTTTTATTGAACAAGTTAAATCTTCCTTGTTCATGCAAGAAGGAGTAATAGAATAGTACTGCTGCTGTAATGCAGTCGATTAAATTATTTGTCAAAATGCTTAATTTTATTTTCATAAATTTCATCTGATGAAGTTGGTAACTGAATGCAGGTTTGTAAAGCTAAGTATGAGGATTTGCAACGACGATACTCAGGTTGCAAGTGGGTAATCCTGTGCTGAGTTTGTCACATGTTTGCTTAATTACATTCTGATATATGGTGTTTTATTAACATTTGTATTACATTTTCTTTCTTAGAACTTGGTTTGAGGAGTTACGTAAACAACGAATGGCAGAGCTGAGGCAAGCTTTAGAACAATCCGATGATTCAATTGGGTGAGTAATGTGCCTTTTGCCAACACGATGTAGTTAACAGCACATTTATTCCTTTCAGGCAAATGCATTATGCTACTAGTAGTGTGAATCTTGTTTCTACACTCTTCTTTGTTATCTGTCAATGGATTTAGCTGTTGGAGTACCCTTCAAAGGTTGCTTGCCAAAGTAGTAGAAGAGAAAGCTAAGACCTGGTTAATAGTTTTGGAAGAGCTTTTCTGAATAGTCCTAACTTCTTTTGTTTGTATAATGATTTGAACTTAGTGAAGATATACTTAAAGTGAGTTTGAGAGTTTAATTAAGTTTTTAACTTACTATGTCTCCAAGTACATGGACCTGCATTTTGTTTTTATAGCAATGGCACATGAAAACTTATGAATTTGGTCTTTGTTTCTTTGGATTTTTTACGTCGTAAAACTTGCATTCTTGCGTTTATATTACTCTAGACTCAATCTAGTCCTTCTCAGGTCGCTGGAATCAAAGCTCGAAAATTTAAAGGCTGAGAAAATAGATGATTCACGGGTTGATTACGATTCCAGTCAGACAGAATCAGCCCTACCATGTCTTAAAAACGAGGGAGTTGAATTTTCCAGTAAGGATACATATAAGGATGGCCTCTCTGCTGGTAGTTTCACACAGGACGCTGAGACAAACTGGGCACCTGATTGTCAGATTCGAGCTGCAGTGCCTGCTGAGGAGATGGATTTGAAGCCAGGAGATTCATTGACCTCCAAGAGGGAGAAAGTTTTAAGCATTGACAAGTTGACAGACGCTTTCTGTGGAGGACAGTTGCAGAGTATAAGAAAGAGGAGGGGGAAGAGAAAGAGAAAAGACTGCAGTAAGGATGCCAAAGAAGGGAGCGTTGGAGAAAGTGAGTCTCTAGGCCCAGCTGATGTTGCAAGTGCCTCATGGTACAAAGAAACTTCGGCTAGCAACTCTGCTCAGTTTGCCAGATCTTCAGGTGTTGAGGATCATAGAAAATGTTCAAGTAAGGAAGGGATTGATGATATAATGGGAATATTTAGTTCTGTAGCTGAGAATGATTGTGCTTCTGTCTTTCGAAGAAGGCTTGATAGCCAGGTAAGGACAATATTCTTAGTTTAGTTAGTTGATGATATCAATAATTTTTTTAATCTGCTCTTCAGCTACACCAAGCTTTGGTCTTCATTCAGTTGTACCAAAGCTTTATGTTGATAAATGGGTAATCTCAACATTGTTCTTTTCTCAAACACAGAAAAGAGGAAGATACAAGAAAATGATTCTGCGGCACATGGATTTTGACACCATAAGATCAAGAATAGCCTCTAATTCCATCATGTCTGTTAGAGAACTCTTTCGTGATATGTTATTAGTCGCCAACAATGCCTTGGTTTTTTATTCCAAGAACACGCGTGAATATAAATCTGCACTACTTCTGAGACATATTGTCACTGCAACTTTGCGACAACATTTTAAGGAGTATGAAGGTAAGGTTCCTATCACCACCTTTACCTCTAGCAGACCTATGCATAAACCTCCTGCAAAGCCCCGAAGCATTCGCCCTTGTAATCGCAAACTGCCAGGAAACACAGCCAACAATATGAATCCAGTGGTTGAGAATTCTCATGGAAGTAAAAAGACACCTAATGCAGATTCTCCTCCATCAGTGGAGTCCTTAGCGGAGACAAAGAAGGGTTCAGCTCGGCCAAGAAAAGTGGGCCGTGGATGCACTAGTCAAAAGTCCGACAGTCCAACCAAAGGAAGAAAGAGAACTCGAGTCCGGTGATCATGTTGTATAGTGTACATTCATCCTTGTAAAAACCGGTTGTAACTCAATGTCCTAAATGTAGGTTTCTATAGTCATCTGGTGTATATGTTTTCCCCCTTTAGATAGACAGCTGCAGAACTGCACTGTAACTTGTAACACTAAAACATTAAACAGTGAAAGAAGAAAATTAAAAAAAAAAAATGAAACCTTTTTTGAAGTACAAGTTTTCTTCTTCTGGATAAACAATGGCAGAACAAACTAATCACTGGTTGCTCTCCATGTTTAGTGTAATGGTTATTGTCCATATGTTCAAAAAGATCTAGGACATTGAACCAATCAGATTCACAGGCTTGTAGGGCTGGCTTTTGCATTGTAAGTTTCTGTAACTAGACCTTGGCTCATTGGGTTAGCAAGAGCCACCCATATGTTAGACAGGGTTAAAACTTACATACTACACTAGTAGTCATACCATTTAGAATTGTAGCCGAAAACAATGATAAGCAGAAGCAACTCAAGAAACGCAAACTGCATGGGCCATTCCCACAAATCATTGGATTGCACATAAATTTTGAGGTAGGGCCTTAATCATGGCCCAACTCAATAAAAACAAAGTAACAAAGAAAAGGGTTTCTGAAATTATAGTACAAGGCTTCAGCCAGAAAATTTTTCAATTGTTTATCTTGACTTGGTCGCCCATGCTAAATTTGCTCGGTTGTTGGTTAACCTCTTTTGCTTGGATAAGCAATGATCTTTAACCACTTTGATGACCAAAATCACTCGCTTTTCAAGCAACTTCATTTCTCTAAAGTGGATGTTTCCCCAGCCACTCCCTTGTTTCTTCCCAATCTCTATCGACTCCTAAAGCTAACTAAAGGCCATATATTCATGAGGTAAGCAACACCAACCGGTTCCAATATTATAAACAAGTAAATATTGTTGGGATTTGATTATTTATGCAAGACAAAAAATGATAAAGCCAAAACTAGCTCACGGGATTAAGATATATCTGTTTCCACAGTATTTCTAAAAGAGTTAGTTCGTGACAATGAAAGGTCAAGTTTTATTGCTACTTGTGTCATTATTACTTGTTGACTTTTGCATCAAAGTGGTTAATATTTCTTTTCTTCATGCATAAACATAGAAAGAGTAAGTCGAAAGCTTGCCATGCTGGCATGTGTTAGACAAAAACCCTAGTCATCAGTCGCCCAAATCTGACCCATGTCTTTTTTTTTCTTTTTTTCTCTAAGCTCTCTTGAAACTCAACATGTTTTAGATGACTTGCAAACCTAAGCCATAACAAGCTTAGGAACAGCTCTTCACCGTCCCCAGCTACATCAAACAATAACCATACACATTTTTGTTGCTAACATTCCATCAAGGAGTGCTTATAGCACCAAATCTCGCAATTTGTATTCTATGCTGTTTTGGAACCATAAATGGGTTGTGTTTGATCACATGAACCTAACCACATTGCTGCAACATTGATAAGAAAGATATTATGAACAAATATGTGGGCATGCACGATTGTTATGTGTATCTTTTTGATATTCAAAAGCACTCTATACTCAGTCTCACATGAATTATGTGATCATCAACGTTAGCTTCATAGCAACTCTTTTTTTTAAACTGTTAGTAGATCTATAAAACATCCTTGTCCAAGCTGATTATATATGTTTCTGATCGGGCAGACAGGGGCAGCTGATAATCCTGCCAAAGCTGTCATGTTTTGATTCGGCACTGTCCTTTCCTAAGATTATTAGTAATTTATTAAAATTTGTTTCTCTTATTAATTGCTTCAGGTGGGTCCATTTAATTTTTAAAGAAAAATAATTTTAATAACAGAATTGAAAAATGAAAATCCACTTGAGAGGGAGAGATAGTGAACTGAGGTTGAGTATAAAAGGGATTGGAGTGAGACAGAAGACGACAGTGTTTTTGCAGCTTTGTTCTTCAGCACATCCCTTTGAAACGTGGCGTTGCTTCCAATTTTTTCGGTTTTTGGTCGACCCTTTCCTCCCTTCTCTCTGTTTTTGCTGATTCATTCATTCAATTTGGTATTGTTGAATCAGACGACTCACATTTATCCAACCCTTTGCTCGTTTCTAGCTTCAGCTTTGATCAATCAATTCGCCTCCGTTTAATCTCTAAGGTTCCATTGTCTCTTCTCAATTTATGTTTTTTATTTTTACTTTTCTTTTTTGACAATGGTAGGTGGTTCAAGCTTTTAGCTGTCATTGCTTTTCGATTTTCTCTTTTGGCTTCAATGTTCTTTCTATCTCTGTTTTCAATCTGAAAATCTAAACTTTGCTCTTTACACTGATTGTTCTTTCATTTTGTTTTTAAATCTCATTCTGGAGCTTAAAACAGTAATAGCTACAGTCTCAGATCTAACAAAAACTCAAAACTGATTTTTTTTTCCTGTTTATGGAAACGAATTTCTCTGCTTTCTTATTTTCCAAATAACCCTTAATCTCTGGGGCCATTTATTTATTTTTCATAGGTTTTTTTTTGTCTGCCAGTTGCAGTGAAGCTTTGATGACTGTAAGGACAAGTAATGGTTAATTTTAAATCTTTGTAACTGGGATTCTGTTCTGTTCTAGATTTTGTGGGTGTCGGTCAGATTTCCAAATTTAGAATGGCAATGTGAAGCCTTTTTTATTTTATTTTAAATTTGGCCATTGTGATACCGTCACATGCTTCAACTTCTTTAAACACCTCTTATATTTCATGATTTAATGGCTCCACCTATTTCATCTCTTCTCCTCCATCTTAATTTCTCAGGTTTTAATTTATTTTATCTTCTATTTGCAACTTCCAATGCCTTATTTCAGTTGTTGAGGCCAAAAAAAAAGGGTCTTTTTGTTATTATGATTAATAGTCTTTCAGTAGACATTAATTGTTTGCATTTACCTTGAAAAACTTTTGATGTAACTTTTTTTTTTTTTTGTACATGCAATTACTTGCAGTTTGTTATGAGGGTAATATAAAGGCTTTGATTGTCTATGAAGACATTTAAATCATGGAATGCGCTTGTCAAGAAAAGAAATGCTTTATCTGACGGGGTATGCTCTTCCTTTTTAGTTAAAGCTTGAAGGCCTTCGAAAATAGAAGTTTCTGTCGCATTTTATTTTTAAAGCTTCTAAATGTCTGATGCTGTTGCAGGGAAACTGCGGATTTAAAATGAAGCAGCTTCCATTTATGGGAGTTATTTGTACAGTTATGTTGTTCATTGTGTATAGAACCACAAATTATCAATACCATGAGACAGAGGTATGTCAACTCCACTTATTCACTAGATTTCACTGGTTTTGATTTCCAATCAGGAGATAAATGGATTTTGTTATTCCTGGCCTTCTGGTGGTCAATCTGGGATCTTTTGTTAGTCCACTAATTTCATGTTGGATTGGTTTATTGTAACAAGGTCTCTGATTACTCAGAGAAGAAAAAATGGTCTCTCCTTGTGAGGCTTTCTAAAGCTATATTCTGATCTCTTTTAAATGCTTTTCTCTTATTTTCAGATGGAAACGAAATTGCATCCTTTTGAAACAGTAAAGGTAAGCATGTTAATTCTAGCGTATACCATGCCAAAGTCAGTTTTTAGTTCCTTTAGTTGCCTGAGCTTGTAGAGCTGGAAACTTTTTGCCTTGGTTTTTCGTCAGACTACGTTTTAGTATAAATTAATGTGTAATTCTTAATTCATTAAGTTCTCTCATTGGTACACCATTTGGCTGCATTTCCCTCATGTAATTGTTTTCTTGTCTCCAAAGTTGTTTATTATGTTTGTGGCTAGGATTATCGACTGCCTTCTGGGAAATTGAAAAGTTTGCCTCATGGCATCATGCAAGCTCATTCAGATTTGGAACTAAGGCCTCTGTGGTCAAGGAGTAGTTCGCGGTCAAAGGTGAGATTCCAATCTCTGGCATGAATTTGTATGCTAGGATATGAATGTAGCCCACTTTCTTTGTTGTTTTTGGTTTTTCTTTCCCCTTAGTTTTCTCTTTGAGTGGATAAAGTAACAGATGATCTCAGTAGGCTTAACAGGTCTAATGACTATTGCTTTCTGCTGGAATTTTTATTCTTGCAAAAAGGATCTTTATTCTTGCAAAAAGGATCGGATTGTTTACAATTGTTCATGACATTGGTTGGGTATCTCATTACAGGTTAATGATACCACAAATAAGAACTTGCTGGCAATGCCTGTCGGTATCAAGCAAAAAGAAAATGTTGATGATGTTGTGCAAAAGGTATTGCATCTTGCCCTGTTGACTTTCAAATTTGATGAACTGCACATTCTTTGCCTAACTTTATTGAATTCAGTTTCTTGAAGCAAAATTTTCCATTATTTTATTCCATTATGATGGCAATGTGGATGGATGGTGGGATCTTGACTGGGGTGACAAAGCCATACACATAGTAGCTCATAACCAAACAAAGTGGTAAGACTCATTGCTGGTGAAAGGATTTCTTTTGTTCTATGTCTTGTGAAACATGTTGGTGGATGTGTATGCTCATAATAAAATTGAATTATATCTAAGCGCAGACCGCACATATTGTAGGTTCTCTCATTGAAGCAGTTTATGATTAGTTAAACTTATGATATCTATTGGATTCAAAATATAACCCATTTCATAATTCAAGCAATAGGATAGTTGGGGAAATAAAAGGTTTTGAGTCGTTTTAAGTTGGATTCTTCCATCTTGGGACTTACTGTGAAAAAATAAGGCCTTGATCAATAGTTCTATGATTCTTAAATTTTGTATGCTAATACTGTGAATTCGTATTGTTCAATCTAAAGTTTGTGCTGCTGTCGAGTGCACATGTAACATTATTAATTAATGTTTGTATGTGCCAACTCTAGGAGTTTGGTCTGCTAAAGAATAGGGTCATGGACCTTGGACTGCTCACTGCTTGAAAAATAGAAAGCCACTGTCTTAGATGAATGTTATTGATAGTTTTATTTTATCCATATTATGTCTATGGAATTTCCTGATTGAATTGCCAAAATGATCATTGTCCTTGTTGCTACTTCAATATGGTGTTTCTTAGGTTTACATTTTTCTGTTAATTGGATAAACATAGTGATCTCTTCCTTCTTTCAGGTGGTTTGCAAAGCGCTTTCTACATCCAGATATTGTGTCTATTTATGACTACATATTTCTCTGGGATGAAGATTTGGGGGTGGAGCATTTTGATCCAAGAAGGTAAATGGCTTTTATGACATTTCTGTTACCGGCAATATCTTGATGTTATCTTGACTTTACATAATATTATGTTCCATTCCATAATAATATATAATCTTCTGTCTGGTTTTCTCAACATCTAGTTCAATCTTTCACTTAGTTATTATTTGCGCTTTTTGAGGCTTTTGTTTGTTGCTTAATGACCCAAACAATTTTATTAATTGGGAACTTTTCCTTCTTCAGGTACCTAGAAATTGTAAAGTCAGAAGGTTTAGAGATTTCTCAGCCAGCTTTAGACCCAAATTCGACAGAAATACATCACAGAATCACTATACGAGCAAGAATGAAGAAGTTTCATAGGTGAATGGGATGGTCTATGACTATTCATAAAAAGCTTACATATTATTATTTTTACACTTATATGAAAAGTTTTGGCAATCACAGGAGAGTCTATGACCTTAGAGGTAAAACAAAGTGTTCAAATGCAAGTGAGGGGCCACCATGCACTGGGTGAGTAATTCTATCATCACATTGCTTGGTGGTATGATAGAATTTTTTTAGCAATTTAATGACAGTAATTTCATACAACAAAGTATTTGGAAAAAGAGCAATCTATGTTTTGTATCCTTTGTCATTGTGCTTGATAAATCTTACAAGTGTAATGCACGATTGCTTGGATTCAAGTCCTAAAAAGGATTTGCTCGAATTTTCATCTTCCAAACTCCATCTGAGATCCACTGCTGCAAGCAGGTAAAACCATCTGCTTGTCCAGTAGATACGACCAAAGATAAGTGGATTGATGAAAATCTTGAAGAATATCTATTGTCATTATCTAGTTAGACAGTGCTAATTTTAATCATTCATATTGTCTTTGCAGATTTGTGGAGGGAATGGCTCCTGTGTTTTCAAGATCTGCCTGGTATTGTGCATGGCATCTGATACAGGTAATCTTGTATGTTATCCTTCTCTACATAGAATTTCTGGCATCTGATACACGTAATCTTGTATGTTAACCTTGTCTACATAGAATTTTAACAATGGCACGGTTGATTCTTTGCTTCATTCTCTGCCTTGCATTTCCAAATGATCTACTCTTTCTTTTTTCTGTCAGTTTGCAGCGTAGACATGTATCACAACACGTATCATTTTCTCATTTTCTGTTTATTTTTGCTATTAATCTTTAAGCCTTTCTTTTTCTTTTCATTCAGAATGATCTTGTTCATGGATGGGGAGTGGATATGAAACTTGGGTATTGTGCACGGGTAAGATTCACTTGATGCTATTTTGGACCTGCTTAGCCCTTGTTGACTACTCATTCTTTGTAGTTCATTTCCCTTTTTCATTCTAATAAACATATATTTCCGCCGACGGCTGAGAAAATATAATATTATTATGGATACATATGTTAATATTTAGGGTGATCGTTCAAAGAACGTTGGCGTGATTGACAGTGAGTACATTGTTCATAAGGGCATACAAAGTCTGGGCGGGAGTGGGCATCCAACAACAAGGGCAACAATAAAGGTTCTGCTTTGCCTCCTCCCTTCTAATATTTTCCGTATTTTTTGGGTGACTTAATTTGCTTCTATCATTTCTTATCTTATCATCAAGGTCAACTATGATAAGAGACAGATTTCCTTTCAGATTCATCCAGGCAGTCATGCTGCTCTAGATATTATATTTCCCTTGGTTTCTCAATTGATTTTCTTGCTTATGTGCAGGGACATGGGACTTCAGGTTTTGATCTACGAACCGAGGTGAGATTAGTAATTCAATTATCCCCACTCAATATACCTGCCATGGATATTACGGCCCGTAGGATGGATGAATGAACTGAGATGAGCTTTTGCCCATTTCTTCGGATGAATGAATAGATATCTTATGGCCTGTAGGACATGATTGTCTTCAGATTCATCTAAAGGCCTGTCCAAGGACAATGGTTTTGTAATAAAGTCTTAAGGATGAATGAATGAACCGAGATGAGCTTTTGCCCGGTTTCTTCGGATGAATGAATAGATGAGATGTCTTATGGCCTGTAGGACATGATTGTCATCAGATTCATCTGAAGGCCTGTACAAGTGCAATGGTTTTGTAATAAAGTATTATACTGTTGCAGATTCGGAGGCAATCCACCGGGGAACTTAAAGCCTTCAAAGAACGATGGAATAAAGCTGTAGAAGAGGACAAGAACTGGGTGGATCCATTTCTAAGATATCAAAGGCGCAGAAAACAGAAACGTCAAACACAATTGAGTTTTAAACTCATGTCCTAACCAAGCTGGTTGGTTGGATATGTTTGTTCGGCTACCTCACACGCAGATACAGTTGTCTCATCCATTACTTGTATTTTAGTTCCCCTAGCCTTTTCTTGGATGCTTATTATTATTTCATTATTTGAACATTCATAATTCTTTTCCCATGCTCCGAATCTTGTCTAATATGCCTAGCTTTACATATTTTCCTCCATTTTTTTCTGCAATTTGTAATTAAAAAGTATATCAACTTGTAACTTCAATTGATTAATTTAATATTAAAAATCTGACATTAAACAAATTTCTTTTTTTTTTTATTATGTCTATTTCATTTGTTTTAATCATCATTCATCCGCTCTGGCTAAGAATTTACTAATCATGAGATTAAAACCCATTATTTATGTTGCAAATAATAATAATAATAATAAAGAAATCCTTTGTTATAATTTTTAATTGACTTGTTCAACAGTCGGAATATTCGTTCAAGTCTTAAAATTTATCTAAATTTTGAAAAAAAAATTTTGAAAAATATAAATTTATTAAATTAATTTAAGCATAATTTTTAAACTCAGATTTAATTTTGAATAAAAAATTTAAAACTTAAATCTTACTTGAATTCACATTATATATAATTTTTAATGTTAATTTTTACATATACGTTTTATTAAATTAAATTTAATTCTATTTTTTAATTTTTTATTATATAAATTAAATTTAATAAATAAATTTAAAATTTATTTTTTAATTTAACTCATATTTTAAAATATTTTAAAATCTAAAATTTTGAATCAAATTAAATTTAACTAAATATAAAAATTATTAATATCAAATATGATTTAAATTTGATCTAACTTTATCAACGAACACCTTATATCTTTAATACAACCCAGTGTATAACAGACATATGCTTGATCTTATCAATGCAGAAGCTTAAATTTTAGAAATTAAAACCCATTCTTGAATTCTCACGTAACAAAGGCATAAGAAAATCTGTCACTCACTCTCGTTCCAAAATTCAGAAATAAATTAACATTTATCTCAAGAAAAAAAAACAGCTATATGAAGAGGTATTATTCTCTTTTCCAGCTGTTTTGTTTCTTCTTAAATTTTTTTCTGTCAATTTCAACAAATCCGTACAAGCTGACTGTGACCGATAAGTCCAACTTATCTCTCTTCCGCCGCAAGTTTCTCTCTTCAGTCTTCCCTTTCAATTTGCTTCTTCGAAAAGCTTTTTTTTTTTCCCCTCTAGTTTTGATAAATATACAACATCATTTTTTTTTTATTTAGTTTTTACGGATAAAAGCCCGACTCTGATGGCTGGTCGTTACGATAAAAATCCTTTTGATGAAGAAGAAGAAGAAGTCAATCCTTTCTCCGTCAGTTTCTCTTTCTCTTTTTCATTGGTTTTTTATTTATTTCTGTTATTTGATGATGTTTGGTGGAGTTGAATTTTGAATTTCAATTATGGTAGCTCCGTTGCGTTTTATTGATGCATTTTGAAATTCTAGGGCTTTGCTGAAAGGTTTTGTAACAGATTATCCGTTGAATTGTTTTTATTTTGTAATAAAGCTTCGGAATTTTAGTTTGATCTGAAATTTCGGTTGAATTCGGTTTTGAAAAGTGTTTTACTTGGTTTTTGTAGTTGACGTCATCATTCAAGTGACTTCGTGTTGTTCAATTATCAATTTGTTCAAAAAATAAACATTTTTCCAGTGCTAAAGTTCACGCTTTTTTTTAAACTATTGTTATAAATTTTGAGAAAGTGATTTTGATAATGTTTTTCTGCATGTTTATGTAATCATATATCAATGATACTCAGAGAGAAATGATTTCTTTTCTTTCATATTAACTCGTGGTAATCTAATTTCCTTGGCAGTACCTTTTTAGTATCTATAGACTTCAAAAATTGTGTAATTCCTGCTATGGCGGTAAAGCAGAAGGGTGGATTCTTATGGTTTTCATTTTTGCACTTGATGAACCTTTTGTTTATGAAATGCTGATTTTGACACATTATCGGGCTTTGTAACTTGTTTATCCCTCAATAAGTTAGTATACGGATGCGAGGCAACTTATCTTTTAATATAATTCTCTTTTTAATAATGTCTAACAGGAACCAGCAGTGAAAGGGAAGACGTCTGGCCAGTCTAAATTTGGTGGAGGTCTATTTTCAACGGTAAAATAAATCCTTGTTTACAAAGTTTCAAGGGAATATTTAATTCAAAACTTGTCGTTGAAATTAAAAACCAGTTTTAGGACATATTTGTGATTAGATAATCGGTGAAAGGTGTGGAATTTAGCATATGGATTTGGTTGTTTGTCATCCTCTTGATGTCTGTGGAGTGTGCTCTCTTTTGGTTACCTAATCTGTTCTGGAAGGGTAGGTTTTAAGTTTATCTTTTAGACATGGATTCATAGTCACCAATGCTATGTAAAACCATAGCTTGAGGTGTTGATGTGCTAAACTACCACTTTTTACACCCTTTGGCAAGCTGAAATTCCATATTTTTTGCTTTTTTGCAAGTAATTTGGTAGTAAAATTCGTAGTGATTAACCTAGGGCCTGAGTTCTCTCTGTAATTCTGATAGGTTTAGGATTTAGCTTATGATTTAATTCAGAAAAAAAAATAGATTGCTTGCTATATTTGTTGAGGTTTGCTTTTTAGTATTGCTTCTGAACACGTATACCAGAAAAATTGCATATAATACTTACTTCTTGAATCTGTATTATCAATAAATTTCCTGTGGGAAAACACTTATTTACGGCTGGTTGTAATCTTGTAATTTGTATATTTATATTTGTATCTCTAGAATTAAGTATTTGTATCCCTAGAATTAAGGACAAAAAATTAGGATAGACAATCCCTCAATTATAAGATGAGTTTTTTAGGAAGATTTAGTTTCCTAGTTTAACCCCTAGTTAGTTGTATATAAACCTAAGGTTCTTGTATAATTATATATGAGCTGTTTTTCAATATACATTCAATTTTCACACTGATTTATTTCTTAGTTTTTTCATATGGTATCAGAGCTTTAGGCTCTTCTTGGGAAGCAAAATTTTCAGCCTTCATTGCTGACTTCTATTTTAGGCTTTCATTGTCGAACCCTTTCAAAGAAAGATATCACTACCACCCAATTTGAGGATATGTCAACTGAAAAAATCACTGGAGTACTACAGATGTCTTGGAAACAAGGAGAGTTCGACAGGGAAGAGAGTGAAAAGCTAAGAAACTTATTGAAAATCCTTGAAAAGCTTACTGTGGTATGTTCTTTGGGTAAGGTCTCTAGTTCAGGTAAAGCTTCTAGTTCTCATGGATTAAATATCTTGGTTAAGCCTATTACGAGTTCTTGGCTCATTGACTCTGGAGCCACAGACCATATGACACATTCCTCACAGAAGTTTAGTACATATACCCTGTGTCCTAGTAATAAAAAAATTATTGTTGCATATGGTTCACTTGCTACAGTGGCAGGATTAGGAGACGTTCAAGTTAATCTCTCGTTTGTTCTAAAAAATATTCTTCATGTCCTGGATTGTCTACTAATCTGATATCTATACAAAAATTTACTAGATATATGAAGTGCAAAGTGACTTTTTATCTCGTTTATCCTGAATTTCAGGACCAGAGTTCAGGAAAGATAATTGGACTTGCTAAGGAGAAGGATGGATTACACTATATTGAAACATCAAAAAACACGAGTAATATCAAGAATAGTTTACCTTTGTCATTTCTTTCTGAAAAATCTTTCAATAAAGACAAAATCTGGCTTTATTACTTTTGTCTTGGACATCCTTTTTTTGGAACCTTGAAAAACATGTTTCCTTCTTTGTTCAAAGGATTAAATGTCGAAGATTTTTATTGTGATGTTTGCGAACTTGCAAAGCATAGACGTGTGTCTTTTTCAATTAGTAACAAAAGAAGTTCTATTCCCTTTTGCTTGATTCATAGTGGCATTTAGGGTCCTTTTACAATTCCTAATATTTCTAATGTAAGATGGTTTGTTTCATTTATAGATGATTGTACCAGGGTCTCCTGGTTTTTTTACTTAAATTCAAATCAGATGTGAATAGTATTTTTAAGCTTTCAAAACATTATCCAAAATCAATTTGGAGTGAGAATCAAGAGATTTAGGTCTGATAATACAAGAGACTACTTCAACCAAAGTCTATCCACTTATTTCCAAAACGAGGGAATTATTTATGAGTCATCTTGTGTTAGTACTCCACAGCAGAATGGAGTGACAGAGAGAAAAAACAGCCATTTATTAGCCACAACCCGAACCTTTCTTTTTCAAGCAAATGTACCTAACTCTTATTTGGGAGAAGCTGTTCTCACTGTCACACACATTATAAATAGGTTACCTTCAAGGGTTTTGGGATTTAAAACTCCTATGAAATTACTCTCACAATTTTATCTCAACCTTAATATCACAAACAATCTCACACCTAAGATATTTGGTTGTACATCATTTGTTCATGTTCACAGTCATAACAGGGGAAAGTTGTATCTAAGAGCGATTAAGTGTATTTTTGTGAGGTATTCTTCAACTCAAAAAGGATATAAGTGCTATCATCCTCTTACCAAAAAATTCTGTGTCTGCAGATGCACTTTTGAAGAAAGTAAACTATTTTTTACTCAACCTTATCTTCAGGGGGAGACTTCATTCATGGAAGATAAGGATAAAGACTTTTTTTTGCTTGATTTGTCCCTTTCTTCAACATTTACACAAATTAATTCTTCTGAGTCGAAATCTGTTTCTGCTGAGTCCAAGTGAAACACTGAATTTAAGTTTGAACCCATTCCAAATACAGAAGATGTGACAAAGGATAATATTGTTCTTGATTCTATGAAGGAATTACAAGTGTATTCTAAAAGGAAAGTTCTAGATCCTGAACCAGTGTCAGTCCAAGAACCTGATCCTAACTCTGAAAATGAGGTAACTACAGTTTTTGACTCTGTTTCTCTAAATGAGCATGCATCTCCTAAAACTATAACCAGTGATTATGATTCTGTCTATTGCCATTAGGAAAGGAACCAGAGAATGTACTAAGCATCCACTATACTCAATCTCTAATTTTGTGTCATTTGAAAAATTCTCACCATCTTACAAAAATTTTCTTATGAGCCTAAACACTATTTCTGTTCCAACTACATTATCCGAGGCATTACCCAATGAGAAATAGAGGCAAGCCATGAAAATAGAAATGGAGGCTTTAGAGAAAAATCAGACATGGGAATTGGTAGAGTTGCCTAAAGGAAAAATCCAGTGGGGTGTAAATGGGTTTTCACTGTAAAATGCAAGGTAGATGGTACTGTTGAAAGATATAAAGCCAGGTTAGTGGCTAAGGGCTACACTCAAACCTATGGAGTGGATTATCAGGAAACCTTTGCTCCAGTTGCCAAGATGAATGTAGTTAGGATTTTGTTATCATTGGCTGCAAATTACAATTGGCAACTTCAACAATTTGATGTAAAGAATGCTTTTCTACATGGGGTTTGAAAGAAGAAATATATATAAAGGTTCCACCGGGATTTGGAGGTCACATAGAAGCAAACAAAGTATGCAGGCTGAAAAAGGCTTTATATGGTGTTAAACAGTCTCCTAGGGCTTAGTTCGGGCGATTTGCCAAAGTGATGCTAGTAATATGATATAAACAGAGTCAAGGAGATCACACATTGTTTATCAAGCACTCTGATTCAGGGAGAGTCACAATTCTATTAGTGTATGTTGATGATATAATTGTAACTGGTGATGATGAAAAAGAGAGAGAATCTCTAAAATAGTGTTTGGTTAGAGAATTTGAGATAAAAGAGCTAGGGAGATTGAAGTACTTCCTAGGAAATGAAGTAGCTCACTCATGGCATGGTATCTTCATCTCACAACAGAAATATGTGATGGATCTTTTGAAGGAAACTGGGAAGCTCGCATGTAAACCTGCAAATATCCCTATAGATTTTAATCATAAAATTGGAGAAGCTAATGAAGATGCTGCTGTAAATAGAGAGATGCACCAAAGATTAGTTGGAAGACTTATTTATCTCTCACATACTAGACCTGATATAGCATATGCTGTGAGTGTGGTAAGTCAATTTATGCATAGTCCTAAAAAAGTGTACTTACAAGCTGTCTACTGTATATTGCACTATTTGAAGGTCAATCCTGGGAGAGGTATGTTATTCAAAAGAAATTCGGAGCTAGTTCTAGAAGCCTATACAGATGCTGATTATGCAGGTTCAGTAATTGATAAAAGATCTATCTCAGGCTACTGCACTTTCTTAGGTGGTAATCTTGTCACTTGGAGGAGTAAAAAATAGAATGTGGTGGCCAGATCAAGTGTTGAAGCAGAGTTCAGAGCAATGGCTGAAGGAATTTGTGAACTATTATGGTTAAAGATTATCCTAGAAGACTTGAAGATCAAGTGGGATGGACCAATAAGACTACTGTGATAACAAGTCTGCAATAAACATTGCACACAATCTTGTGCAATATGACAAAACAAAACACATTGAAGTAGACCAGCATTTCATAAAGGAGAAACTAGACAGTGGGTTGATTTGTACACCTTATGTATCAACCAAGGGTAAACTTACAGATGTGTTGACTAAAGGTCTCGGTAGTACAACATTTCAAGAAATTATTTTCAAGCTGGGAATGGAAAACACTTATTCGCCAGCTTGAAGGGGAGTATAGGAAAACACTTATTTACAGTTAGTTGTAATCTTGTAATCTGTATATTTATATTTGTATCTCTAGAATTAAGTATTTGTATTCCTAGAATTAAGGACAATCCCTCAATTATAGGATTAGTTTTTTAGGAAGATTTAGTTTCTTAGTTTAACCCCTAGTTAGTTGTATATAAACCTAAGGTTCTTATATAATTATATATGAGCAGTTTTTCAATATACATTCAGTTTTCACACTGATTTATTTCTTAGTTTTTTCACATTTCCAGAATACTCCAAGTACTGCATCTGCATCAAACTCAAGACTTTCACCACTACCTCCTGAACCTGCCGGTTTTAATTATGATCATGAGGCAACAATTGACATTCCTTTTGATACAGCTTCAGGAGGATCGCATTATCAGGTTGGTGAAGAGTGAAGACCTGACTTGAAATTCCATTCATGTAATTTGGGTAAGTGTTGGATCTCACTGTTCTAGTTTTACTGTTAAATCCAGGATTTGAAGACGAAAGAGAAAGAACTCCAGGCTAAGGAGGGTGAACTGAGAAGGCGTGAGAAGGTATGCCACAGAAGAAATTTATAACTTTGAATTCATTCTTATTCTACAAATCATAGATATATTTTTGTTCTCTCAATTTGCTTCCAAGGCGTGTTATCAACAAATTTAGAACCTGATGTAATGAGAGCCAAATATATCTCAATAATTCTTGTCTTACAAATTACGATATTAAGACACTATTAAGTTGTTGGTGGGAGGGATATCATATGTGTTATCTCTGTGTATTTTAGCACACTAAGTTATTTGGATGGTTTTAAGATGCAAGTTTTCATTCATGCATGTCTGTTTCATAAATAAATAGCAAGAACTTTATTTTGCTTGCTGCCCTTTGGCACCTCATAAATTATTGCATCTCTACAATTTTCACTGATCAGCTTATTCCATGCAGGAAGTGAAACGGAAAGAAGAGGCAGCAGCAAGAGGTACCTTTCATTTTCCTTTTATAATTTGACTAGTCACACTGATCACATTTAGTTTTGCTCTTAGTTTCAATATTCGTTCTAGGTCACATTTCTTTTGCAAAATATTTGACCTGATTCCATTTCCTTTTGTGGTCAACTGCTCATACATTTCTGCCTTGAACTAGAGTTTGACTTCTCTGTGTTGCAGCTGGAATTGTTCTGGAAGAGAAAAATTGGCCGCCTTTTTTTCCAATCATTCATCATGATATTGCAAATGAAATACCAATTCATCTACAAAGATTGCAATATGTTGCATTTTCAACATTTTTAGGTATACAAGTTTTTTTTTTGAAGGTTATTGCTACCTTTTTTCCTTTTTCTTTTGTTCTATGCCTGGTGCACCTAAGCATTGCTCAATGTTTGATATTGTTGGCCAAAAAGAAAATTTATGCTGTAATGATATGAATTTGTATTGTTTGATAGATTGCATTGGGTGGTTATTTTTACCATGCTTTTAGTTCATTTAACTCTTTAGTTGGAAAAGGTTCCGTGTAAGCCAAGGGCTGGCAGCCAGTTGGGTGATGTATGGTGATTCTATGCAGGATTGGTTCTATGCCTTCTGTGGAACGTCATAGCTGTAACAACAGCTTGGATCAAAGGGAAAGGTTAGTTTAGAAATATACATTCCATATTTCTTGTTTTCCTTTTGAATATAATGTAAGGTTAGTGTTTATTCTATTTTATTTATTTGTTTAGGTGTGAGGATCTGGTTCTTGGCTATCATCTACTTCATAGCAGGGGTCCCAGGAGCCTACTTATTGTGGTATCGCCCGCTGTATCGTGCTTTTAGGTACTTAATATACTCCACGCTGTTCCTTAATATTGCAGTTCATTTTTGCTTTTGTTTTTCTTAATGTTGGCTTGGCTCCAATGTCAACTTCTATTCTTAGTTTCTTAAATCTGGCTGTTCATGTTCCTTGTACTTGCTAATCAGCCCTTATTTTAATTTGAATTACTTTCTCACTTATGACTATCATGCAGGAATGAAAGTGCTTTGAGGTTTGGATGGTTCTTCTTGTTTTATTTGGTAATATCTCATGTTTCTCCTGAAAGATATGTCTTTTTTTTTTTTTTCTAGGAGTTAGGTACTGATTCTTTTATTCCTTTTTTCTCTGTTATAGTTTCACATCGGGTTTTGCATCTTTGCTGCAGTGGCTCCCCCTATAGTTTTTAGAGGGAAATCACTAACGTATGTTCCTAAACTATTTTTAACTTATCTTTGGCAATCTCTATTTAAGTTGGACTGATAAAACTTGCATCTATCTATCTTTATTTGCAAATAAATCAGTGCATTAGAGTTGACATGATGTGCTTATCCTCCAAAAGACTGCAATATTTTTTTGGATTCTTCTATTTCAAATACGAGATAATGGGTCAATATTTATCCCAGTGGAATGCAAGTATTGCAAGTATTTGAGATGCAAATTTTGTATTCTAGTTTTTTTTTTTTTTCTTCATCTTACTAATGTTGTTTTGTCTCATACAGCGGGATCCTACCTGCAGTAGATCTTGTCGGTGGCCGTGCTTTGGTTGGGGTAAGTATATGCTTAAACCTGAGTACAATTTTTGTGCCCACAATCGGTTTTCATCATTAAAACAGTTAAGCATTTGCTTAAACTATAGCAGAAATCTATTACATGGTGGTGTTAAGTGGGATATAGATGGGAACAGAAGGAATGTTACTTGTACTATTGAAGGCTTGAACATTACGATTGCAGTTGATGTTAACCCAAAAGCTGAGAAAGATATATCTCTCAGTTTCTCTTGACCATATCGATGAAATTTCTTTTGTTTGTATAGATCTTCTACTTCGTTGGTTTTGGGTTATTCTGTGTTGAATCAATTATAAGCATCTGGGTTATTCAGGTTTGTTCAGCACCCAACCAGATTCACTGCAAAATTAACATACAGACTTGTGTATGGGATTTCTAACATCCTTGCCTGTTGGCTTTGCAGCAAGTATACATGTATTTCCGTGGCAGCGGCAAAGCTGCCGAGATGAAGCGTGAGGCTGCAAGAAGAGCTATGAGGGCTGCCATGTAATGGCACAGTCAAGCAATTCAGTAACCTCATTTGTTGTTTCTGCCTATATGCACTTTGCCAGGGAGGAAGCAGATAAAGCTTTGTTACTTCTCGATCCTGGCTCTTTTCGCACATATCTTTGTAACTTGTTTTGAGTGCTACTACCTTCTGTAAAGTTTTTTTTTTTTTAATCTCTGGAGTTTGATTGGCAGACACCTTGTACAAGATTTAAATGATTTTCATGTATAGAGAGACTTGATTCACAATTTTGTGATTGGTTCATGGTGTAATGTGTAGTTAAGACCAATCAGTTCCAAGGCGACAGAGATATGTACATATAGAATTGACCATTGGGGTCGGTATCTAAATGATAAGTGAAATGGAATCATAGGGACAGTAATTCGAGTTAGGTCTCAGTACATCAAGCCTGGACCCTGGACAAAGAATATTGCAGCCAGGCTAAGATTCAGGGATCTGCGAAAATAGCCAGAAATAAAGCTTCAAGGTTTGGATAAACACCAAGGAACGGTGGTAACGAGTCACAGGACCCACGACCAGAATTGTCAAGGAAGCAATTCTATTGATTTCTAAGGAGCATTTTTCTATATGTGAGAGAGAAATGTCACAGTTATTCAATTCACCAGAACCACCCTGTGATTTGGTATCTTTAAATTAAGCATGAACAGAAGATGGTGTGCATTTTCATTCTTAACTGTACTTTTGTTCTGAATCTACCCTGAGTTTTCAATTCATGCAGGAAGACCAGTGTAAATTTAAGTGCAATTATAAAAAGCAAGTGTCGAAAATTTTCATCACAGACAGATGAAATGGACTGTTGTGACGTCACTAACACCATAATAATTCAAAATTAAATTAAAGAAGAAACTAATTATAAGCATATTCTCTTGGTTTTATTTATTTACAATGGCATTAATACAGGGGGGAACAGCCCATTCTTTACAGAGTTATTGGAACAACTTAAAATAGAAAAGCAACTCTTGGTTGATGCTGAAGCAGCCTGTTATCTTGAGCTTTATAAACAGAAATAAACATAAAGACTATGTCATAGCATCCTCACTGTATCAAGCATTTACCTTTATGGTAATCAACGTACATGGTAAATCGATTATAGATTAGAGGAGTTCCAGCTATCATCGATAGCTCTGATGATTTTTTCATGTAGTTTAGCTCCAGCACACACAATTATACCTCGATCAAGACCTTCCAAGAATATACCCTTCGAAAAGTCGAGAGGAGATCCTCCTGCATCTGTTACAACACCTCCAGCCTCCTGTATGATAATAACACCAGCAGCATGATCCCCTATCTTTTCCTTGTACCCAGTCCTTGCAAACTTCATAAATATTTCAGCATCCCCTCGAGCTATGGCTGCATATTTTACCATACTGTATACACGCAGTGGTTGCTTCCTGCATTTGAAAAATAGTACTTTTTGTTACACAGCAAAAGCATGTCATGTTTATGAACTAGTGCAAAGAAACCTATATAATCTAGTTCTTCACTTGCTTTCATCCATTTTGATTTTTCTTTTCTATATAATCTAAGCTAGCCATGGCTTATAACCCAGGAACCTAGTTCCATTTGGTGACAAGTCATGGAACAATGGATATAGAACTTAAGTTCAATGTTTTGATTTTGCAAACATCATATGTAGATCAATTTTACATATTTGTCAAAAGGGAAAGCAGAATATGTGAATCTCCCCTATTCAAGAGTCAAAAATTCCGGCGATTGCTAGGAAATGAGATAAAGAGAAAAACATATGCACCTAAGCCCAACACTGTGAGCTAATCCTGCTGTGAAGGAGTGGCTTGAATTTGACTTGTCAACTGGTTCACAGAAAGTAGCCAATGCTGGATTATCAATTAAGGATACTCGAACTGGTATTGCAGAGTTTGGCCACGCTAGCAGCTTATTCTTGTGGTGTAAAGGCTGCATCCAAGCCTCACCACTGCCTTTCCTTGCATAAATCACGCAACCTTTATCCCACGACTCAGATGTTGGTGGGGTCAATTTAGATATGATTCTGTGATAGCGATGATGATAACTTAGCCATTCTTTCTTCATCGGATAATTTGGGCAACCAAGAACACCAAGCACTACTTCTCCATCCTCTATTAATGCTAAAGCAACAGCATATTGATCACCACGGACAAACCCCAATGTACCATCAACAGGGTCAAGCGCCCAAAATTTTCCAGTAGGGCCTCCTGTTGAATTGCATCGGCTAATGGCTTCAAGAACATCTGAACTCCCAAGTGGTGAGTCCGGACCCTTAAGCCCAAAATAAGTTGCCTCAGCTAGACAGTCATTGACCAGTTTCACCACAGCATCTAACAGGCCACTTGCATCAGCCACAGAGAGTCTCTGAACATCTCCTTCAGCAAGAATAGACACATTTCTACATCCAAAGGATTCAGAAAGTATCCAGCTTACCGTTGCTTGAACACTCCAATCTTATTGCATAGCATAACCAAGATGATTAGATAATCTAGAATGTTATGATTGGCAGAAAACTACTCAAATCAAATATGAAACTAAATTCACTTATCCAGGAGTAACAAGTTATTAACCAAAAGTGTCATCTCAATTAAAAACAACTAAAATAAAATAAAGTGGCTTGACTACTTTTACTGCACATTTGCTTTAACCTGATGCTTTATAAATCAATAGCAAGGTGGCCCCAAGAAAACAAATCCTATTATAAAACACAGAAAAAGGAAGTGGTCTGAGTCAGATTATTTGAACCCATAAATGAACAACCAATATGATAATAACACAATGATTAACCAAGATGATATTATCAGATACAGCAAATGTGTCTAACACTAGTCCAATGATGATTACTTCAATATTTTGATTGAAAGTGCTTCACTCCCTTCAAGGGCAAATTTCAGTGACATTCCAACTAAATACTGTTAGATGGGTGATGAGTAGTGCCTGGATAAGAAATGTTGAGATTGTCAGGAAAGAAGCTATGTGAGCAGTAGTTTACTTCACTGAGAGCACAGGAGAGGGTCTTGAGGATGGAAGAGAAGTGGTCCAAACACTATGGAAAGAGAATTCCAGCCATAAACTACAGATCATGTATGCAGATTAGAAATCTCAAGCATCAAATGAGCTTGCAGTGACCCTCTACGTTAAATAGGAACTTCTGGTTTATCTAAGACTGATATTGCAAGCATAAACAAGGGAATAGAATAATTAGTAGAAATACAAGTAAGTGAAGGCATGTCTCTTGTTTAATCATCCACAACATTTGTAGGCATCTCCTAGTGTCATTAGCATATTTTACTATCAAAGACTGCTCTTGTTACAAGGAAACTGATATATGCTAATTCATTAAAAACATCCCTTATGCCCAGTTCAGTTGCATAAAGAAGTTCACTGCCAGTAAAAAGAGTGAAATTCATGTGATTCTATACCATGAATATGAGTTTTCGAGTACTAGATAGCTTTGTATTGGCTATATGAAGGATATTATGTCGTAATTTCAATATGGGGACCAGGAGCCTTCAATATTTTCTAGACTTAAAAGGATGCAAAAGATTAGAAAAGTTGGCACCTGAAACTCTAGTACATGACTGCAATATTGACCGTTAAAGTCACAATCCGGCATGAATGGAGGGATGGAGTTATCCTGAATGTTCCAGCAACATTGACTGTTAAAAAGTATGCAGCATTGCTGCCCACTTAATTGGTGGCTGCTATAGTTCCTCCCACTCTAAATTATTTAAAGACTAATTAAAAGTGAACTGTGATCATCATTAGCCATAGGTATCAAATCCTTTTCAAGATTTCCTAATTAAAAGTGCAAATAGATTGTTAAGAAAAGATTAATAAAGCAACCATATAAATCAATTTGAACTACATTGAACCAACAAATATGCAGAATTAACCGGAAATAAGCAGAAATAGAATTAAACAGCCTAAGGTGATTGGTATACCAGCCACAGTGACAGGAGAATTGTCATCTTTGGAATGAACTGGACTGTTGGTTTTAGAAATCAAACTGTCCTGAACTTTCTGACATAGTGAACATGCCATCTGAACAACCCTGACAGCAACAATCAATTCCTTGGAATAATTTTCTGGCCTCGGAGATGAAAGAAGGTTTGTCTGGTCTTCCATTACTGGGGAAGAAGAGTAATTTTGGTTAAACTGAGAAACAATGTGGAAGGACTTGTTTTGGTAACTATGCGTTGTGAAGCAACTTCCTACACAGCTTGTTGATGTTAACTTCTTGGTGTTTGTTAGTCTGGTTTGTGCCAGGATATACGGGACTCTGAAAACCAGGCTTGAGCAATTTAAAGGCATCATGGAATGACCGGATACTCAGTCTCTCTCTCTCTCTCTCTTTGTGGTTTTCCTGTGGTTTGGACTACTCTCGAGTCTCGGCTTTGTTGGACGTCAAGACCTTAAAAGGGATTATAAATATAAAAATGAAACAAAAAGGACAAATGTAAGTGAGTAAAACTATTTGGTCAATTCAAAGAGAAATGCAGCCTGTGAAAATTGACCAAAGACCCTATTTTTCTTGGCGGGGGACCCTTTTCTTCCCCTGTTATGTATCAAACTAAATGGAAAAATCTGCAAACTTTGATTTCTGTCTCGCTAATTCATCTCTTAACTTTTATTAACACTTAAAAAGTCTTTCATTTTCGATTTCCCCTCAAGAATTGAAATCATTTAAAGAAAGCTTTAAGAGCTTATTGGTGGATAAGCACAATTAATGAAGGAAAAAGATACTATTCGTCATCACCCCATTCTTGAACCTTAACTGTCACCAAGCATCTAATCACCAACGCTAACTGGCTAAGGACAGATAACTTGAACGTTTCAACCTTTTATATTAGAACTTTAAATGCCATTACAATTATTCTTGGATACTGACAGTCACAGCTTTTGGCACTAATCTTTTTCTTGAGCTTTTTAAATGCAAGTATGGGGTATTGGGTCATCATGATTTCATCAATACGTTATCCTTTAATCCAAGTGCAACCTTCCTTTTCATGTGAAAGGCTTAGGCATTAACATATTTTATCAAGTGGTTCAAGCTATGAAATCTGTATCTTCATTACAAAACAAAGAACAGAAAATTTATGTTTCTGATATGTCGCCTAACATTGAAAAAGAGTCCTTCAGTAATCGAGATCAGGGTCTTGGTTGATCTCCCTTTTTAAAACAGGCAAGTGATTAAAACATTTGGAATCATCATGTAGAAAATAGAATGATCAGCTAGAGTTACCATGATTGTTGTGCAATGCCTAGTGATCATTCAAGCTATGAATTTTAATGTTTGTAACATTTAACACAAAGTTTATCTTGGAAACCATAAATCTATCATTGCCCTTCCTTTTTCTATTATGTGAACAAGGGAGGTTTCGAAATTTTTTTTTAATGAAAAATCATGCATCAATCATTAAACTAAATACTCAAATGTCGTCTTTTCTTTCTTTTTCAACAAGAATATAATATATCAAATTTTGTGTGAAATCAAGACAATTATCTACAATATGTGAAAGGGGAGACAGGAGAGTCTGATCTGATTATGACATTACATGCAAATTGCAAAATGAGAGTAAAATTGATCTGTCAAGCAATGATAAACTTCCACTGCTATATCTCAATGAAAGCGATTAAGCCATTTAGATGCCGCAGCACTCAAGTGGAGCATAGGCAAATGGAAATTCCTGTCAGAAAAAATAACTTTATGGAGAACCGTCCATGCACTGTGCTTGGATTTATCAGGCCATTTTCATCACGACACTGGCTCCGTTGCTCTCTTACATAAGAGAGACCACAATTCCTTGTACATGTTCCTCAAGCACAACTTTTCCTTGGAAAAGCCATGAACGATAATTCATTTGCTTTAGGCCTACTTCAGCATTCGTTATCATGACGTAAGTGCATCATAATCCATAAATTATTTTTAATAAAAATTAAAAATTGAATGTATTTAATTAATAATATAAGAGTAATAAAACTTTAAAATTACGAATATCTCTTAGAAGTAATTTTATAAATTAATTAAGTCATGTATGGATTTTATTTTTTTATCATATTTTGTATTATTCTCATATCATCATCGTATCATCGTAAGAATAACAAATTTTTTTGCATTATACGTTTTTATTGTAAAAAAAAAAAAAAAAAAAGAAATTTGTGAGTTAGTAGTAATAGCTACTCTTTGTAAAGGGCAAGGGCCTCCAATTTTACTTGGCCAGTGGCAACCGAGTCTTCTAAAGTTGTGAACAAATTTTCACACCATTTAAGCCCAAATTGAGAAATTATTGTCTAATGGGTTAAATATTTGGGCTCCCTATAACTGAGAAATGGGTCCGTTTTATGGTTTTCCGAAGCCCTTCATCCAACCCAAAGTTGGCGAAAATGGCTACAGCAAAGCCGCATAAAACTAGAGCTGATCATAGCTGGTTTGGGTCGGATTTGGTGGAATTAATATTTAATATTAATAGTTTATATATTTGATTTAATATTTTAATTATATATTTTATTTGAATCGAATTTGAGTTTTAATTTTTTTTATCTAAAATTTAATTTAAAATTTAAATAAATTTAAAAATTATATTTAAATTCATTTAACAAATTTTAATTTTTTATCTAAATTATTTTAAAACTTAAATGAATCTTTAAAATTATACGAATAATTTGACTTTTCAACACCTCTACATAAAACCCAACATCACTTTTTTTTTTTTTTCTCTTAGAATCTCCAGCAATTAAAATAGGAGAAATCTTACCCAATCAATTAAAAAATACCAAAAAATTTTTAAAGTGCAAAACGGAATCTTTTTTTTTCTTGAAACATATAATCAACCTGATAATGCTGCATTATTGATATAAAACTACTATAAGAACTAATTATATACTACCAACTCATATTAGGTTGTTGGTGGATGACGGCCTTATCCCTTTCAAATCTTGAATTCATGTCGTGCCCCGAACTGAGGCTTTCTAGACGTTAGAAAATCAGGGTCCCAAATAAAAATTTTCAATCTCCATCAGTCCCCCATTATCAATCTTAGTGGAGATGATAAAATTTTTTAATACTGAGATGGATGTGACCTAAAACTTCTAGCATTATCAGTCATATTTTGAAACGCAACTCTCACTTATCCTTTTATGTCAGCAAAGGTCCCATGTGTTGTCAGCCGCCGGGCTCACCTCGTCAGTTTCAAGTTCAAGTGTTCAACCCATTTGGACTTTTCAATGGAAAGTGAGATTTTATTTACTTATACCTTGAATCACTTGTTCGTACTGTAATGCAATAACCCAACATTTTTTTTACCATAAAAAAAAAAACCCAGCTCTCAAAAATAGGATTGGTGCAAATTGCAAGTCATGCATTTTTTTTGATGATGAAACTGACTGATCTTGAGTGGGAATGTTTTAGGGCATTTTCTTTACTTTGTTTTGCACTCAAATGTGGATTGTGGGTGGGAATTAGAGGATTTGGGAGGAGAAACAAATGGGTGATTCAGTGGTTCTGAAAGCAACAATGGAACAGTAAAAGTAGGGCCCGCCAAGTGTATGATTCCTTGAACCTAGGAAAAACCCCATGCGATCGAATATGCAACTTGGCTACTAAAATATAATAAAAAAATCACTTACTTGATCATCAAGAACTTTGCTCTTAGGATAACATTGGTTGATTATTATTGGATTTCAAGCATATAGAGGCTCTATATAAAGGGCACCTTCCTGCCTGCAAAACTCAACCTAAAATTCAGACACATCTGGCATCACAACCTTCAGATTTCAGTACTTGGGTCTACTTCACTACTCCAAACGTTAAAATCTCCGAAGAGGTTTAATCAGCAAAGAGAAGAAGATACATATGGGTGGTACGAGGAGGGCAATGACGAAGGGTGGGATTTACTCTCAGAGAATTGCTGGCCGACGGATTCCCAAGAGGGGACAAGTAAAGGTGGCTATAGTGTTGGGTCTGGCACATTCTGTTGCCTCCATCTTTTCTCGGAGTAGCAGCCGATGTGCCGGTGCTTTGTTCTCTCGGTGACGAGACCAGATTCAGCTTGGAAAGCCCAATTTTGATACGATCAACATGGCCATTTACGTCCTTATGGACATATATGAAGAAATTTTCATTTTTTTTTTTGGGTTCTCTTGATGCAAGTGGGTGCATTATTTAGTCTTTGTACAAAGAAATGTTTGATTGTAATGAAATTTTATTGTTTTCTTTTCATTTGAACTTTCAATTTTCAATTTCCATTTTCCAGTTGCTTTGACTGAATTGAATTTAGTGGCATCCATCTTTGCCAAAGAGTGAAGATTTATTTTTTTTTCTTTTTCTTCTTTATCCTGATAAGCATCAGAGAACAAAGATTAAGGCTTTGAATGTTCAAACCCCAGTACCCCACCTCTTCCAAAGAGTAGTTCCTTCTCTCTTGTTAGAGATTGTGATAATTGGTGGGCCAAATCCTTAATTTCAACAGAACAAAATTATGTCCCTTCTTTTCATATCTTTAATTTTTCATAAAAGGAAAAAGATGTGTGTACAAATATATTAATCAACCTGATAATTGCAAGTCATGCATTTTTTATGATGATGAAACTGACTGATCTTGAGTGGGAATGTTTTGAGGGCATTTTCTTTACTTTGTTTTGCACTCAAATGTGGATTGTGCGTGGGAATTAGAGGATTTAGGAGGAGAAACAAATGGGTGATTCAGTGGTTCTGTAAGCAACAATGGAACAGTGAAACTAGGTGGTTCTGTAAGCAACAATGGAACAGTGAAAGTAGGGCCCGCCAAGTGTATGATTCCTTGAACCAAGGAAAAACCCCATGTGATCAAATATGCAACTTGGCTACTAAAATATAATAAAAAAATCACTTACTTGATCATCAAGAACTTTGCTTTTAGGATAACATTGGTTGATTATTGTTGGATTTCAAGCATATAGAGGCTCTATATAAAGGGCACCTTCCTGCCTGCAAAACTCAATCTAAAATTCAGACACATCTGGCATCACAACCTTTAGATTTCAGTACTTGGGTCTACTTCACTACTGCAAACGTTAAAATCTCCGAAAAGGTTTAATCAGCAAAGAGAAGAAGATACATATGGGTGGTACGAGGAGGGCAATGACGAAGGGTGGGATTTACTGTCAGAGAATTGCTGGCCGTCCGATTCCCAAGAGGGGACAAGTAAAGGTGGCTATAGTGTTGGGTCTGGCACATTCTGTTGCCTCCATCTTTTCTCGGAGCAGCAGCCGATGTGCCGGTGCTTTGTTCTCTAGGTGACGAGACCAGATTCAGCTTGGAAAGCCCAATTTTGATACCGATCAACATGGCCATTTACGTCCTTATGGACATATATGAAGAAATTTTCATTTGTTTTTTTTTTTTTTTGGGTTCTCTTGATGCAACACCTCTTCCA